ATGACAATTACACAAAGTGAGGTTCCCACTCCGTGCAATAATATAAACACTACAATAAAAAGCACAATTTATGTCTGTGTATAATTCTATAAAGAACTCAAATATCTCAAGGTGTTGACGTGCAGTTTGGTTTGGTGAAAAACACTGAGATTAAGGTAAGGGAAAAAGTTTAGACTATTTAAGTGCATAGCACGTTACTCGATATAATATAGTTTACATAGTAGTTTCAATGCGGTTTTAGTCAGTAATTATCCACACATGGCTATGACAGAATAAAGTAACCAGAGACAAATTATACACGCAATTCAATTTAAAGAAGTCACTTCGATTAATGATCCAGAAGTCACCGATTCAGTCGAGTCGCTTTATCACCAATGGTCAGTCACCGCCTTATCACTGTTCCATCACTACGGCCATGGTTAATGTTCCCGTGAACTTCAGCCGTTGATTCCTCCACCCGTGTTGAGGAATCAGTCTACAAGACACCAACTGTTTCGTCTCATCCACCAAACTGTGTTCAACCACTCACACACTTACCCACTCGTTGCCTCACCAACTCACTCACCCACCCATTCACCCACACAATCACCCACTCGCCCGCACTGCAGGTCAAAACACGTCCCTTTATTCTACCCTCATACTGCTCCACTTGGGAATTCCCTCCCGTCGCCACTTTGCAGAAGCTCTCAATATAATTTTGCTCTTTTCAAGAAAAAATCCTTAACTTTTACATACCTATAACAACTCTGTTGCTGGCTGCTCAGGGACTATAAAAAAAAACATAAGCATTGCCGTCCAAATGGGGGAGCTAAAGGGAGAGACTTTCCCCGGGGACTCACGCAAGAGAGAGGGGGCCACACCCGGCCCGAGGATAGTGGAGTAAGGTGACCCCAGATGGAATTTTTCCCGAGCCTCCAAGACCTGCACACACGGTAACAACGGCAATAATTGGTTTCTGATGGAGCGCCCTCCTTTGGGCGTCTCAGAGTGCTGTACATTGCGATGCGCGACTTGCATCACATTTCAAACATTTGAAAGGGCTCCCCCAGGAGCAACTGTCCCTGTGCAGCACTAGGCGACTCAGCACCTGCCCTGCAAACGGGCATGATTTTGCCAGTAAGAGGGCGTATCCCAATGGAGTCATTTGTAAGTAATGTTTCGAATTTACCAAATGTGGGCCATGTTGAAGTGCTCGGCTGTGCGAATGATACAGCGGAAGCCAGCATAGAGATGCCTCTTCCACACCCGCAGAAGTGTGGCTTGTCAGTGCCAACCGCTCGCGTCTGAGGGTTCCACGTTGGCGACAGCTGTGACGGAGAAAGAGCCAAAAGGAAGGATGTTTTTAAAACAGTTTCTGAGCTCAGGCCCACAGCCCCAAAACGTCAAGCGGTCAGCAACAGCGAGCACTGTCAAAGTTGTAATCGATAAGAAGAGTTAACGCTTCTCTTGAATTGAGCTTGGGGATAAGAGGTGATGGGAGGGAATTTAAAAGTGGAGTGGAAGAAGTAGATAAAGTAAGGTGACCTGCAGTGTGGTAGTTGAGCGAGTGGTTGAGTGAGTGGTGAGTGCATGAAGGAGTTCGAAGATGAGTGGGTGGGTGAGTGTGTTGTGATCAGCAGTGTGGTGAGTAGGTTAGCGAATGTTGGTTTGACCTTTAGTTTGGTGTTTGTACAGAGTCTAGATGAGACAAAAACTGCCAGTCTGTTAAACCCAGTCCTCAAAATGGGACAACAAAATCAACAAGCCAAATTCACGGGGAGCTGCGATGGGAGGGAATTCCAAAGTGGAGTAGTCCGAGGGACGAAGCAGAAAGAGAAGTGAGGTTATCTGCAGTGTGGTGAGTGTGAGTGAATATACTCATCAACAGACTCGACGCTGCCATAGAAATGTGGATTTTGGCTGCGAACGGGAGCTGAGCACCAGCGCCTCGATGTTAATTTGAGCAGGAAATCACTTTGAATCCGAACTATTTACGTCGCGTTAACCACTTGGTGAAGGTACACACCGAGTAATTGGTGGCTCACGCCACCGGTGACGTAAGGGCCTCCCCTGGAGCTCTCTACCGCTCAGCCTACTCTTGGACGCTGTCCGGATGGCTTGGAAGAGGGGACGTCACCCAGACTACCTCACGAAGCCAGCGTGCTCATTGGTTCAACCTCCGCCCTGAGAGGTGGCCCTCTGGATTGCGAGTTCAAAGTGTCAACCAATACACTGCACGTAAGCTCAAGACATTGACGGGATACCCTGGACACCCTTGCGAATGAGATGTTCCATCTTAAGGGATTTCCAAGTGATTAAATATTTTGATTAAAAAAAAAGGATCTGCAACTGGCACAGTTATGTGCACAGTCAACTAAAGCTATGTAATAACCAAAATTTTTCACTTCCGTGGACGAGAGAAAACATTAATGAACCATCCCATCTCTCATCCATGCATCGCCTCTGTACTTTGATTTCCTCTGTATCTCGAGCTGTGTTATGCAATCATTGTTCTTATCTTACGAAGCAGTTTATTTTTCTTTCTTAACACACAGGCCCAACGTCTCAAAAGTGGCCAGCAACAAATCCGAAATGCATTGTGATACTTCTGCACGGACCGTGAAATCACGTGTTCATTCGTTTACTATGTTAATGTGCATAGGTGTATTTCATCAGTCTTATGTTTCAGTGTTCTACTTTGACTGATTAATGCCATTGGTTTATTCATGTTATTGGCAGCGTTTGGTACGTGCTTTGGTTGTAACATGCCGAGTTAATTGCTCAATGAAGTGGTCTTTTTTGTGAGGTAGAGTTTTCCCTCAAGCTTGGACCGATATCTAACAGACAAGGTGTCTGTATGTTGAACTTCGTATGCATGTTGAACTTCTTTTGCACCATACATAGCCAACCAGAGGAAGGACAACAAACTAAACGCAGGGTCCTTGCTGTCTGTAAAGAGCTGGCAATCCACCAGCATTGGTTCAAGCAAAGCCTGATTCTGCTTATAAAAAATACTGAGTTTATAAACCGGCCTAGCGTGTGCTTGTGTTGAAAACAAATCTGCTGAAATTATGAACCCCCAGAAGAAAGATCGTGTGATTGCTGCATAGTGTAAAACACTCAAGTATATTTGTTTCTGCGGAGTGACAGACAGTACAATATATATGAAGGGGGCGAATTGTCTACTTATTTATTTTGTCCACAACCACGCTGACGCGAACGTTATATAATTACGGTGGGTTTGCTACACATGCAGTGAATGGTAAGGGAGCAGCGCCATCTACTGGTGGGCGAGGGAAATTGTGGAGTGGAATTGAGACTCGAAAGGTTTCCCCACCCAACTTGCATTGCATAGCCCCGCCATTATGCCACGAGTCGCCGCCCGTTCGGCCCATTCTTACCCCAACCCACCCAACAACTAGCGCCCAATCACTCACTAGCCATGCCCAACCTCACATAGCCCCACCCATTCAACCACTAGCCCCGTCCACTCAACTATCCCGCCCACTTAGCCATTAGCTCTACCAATTGGCTTGCCTTCTCTTGTATAACCCCACCGACTGAGAAACTAGCCCCGCCCACCCAGTCACTAACTCCGCCCATTCTTGCACAGCCCCTCCCATTCAGCCACTCGCCTGCCTACTCGTACACTGCCCCACCCATTCAGGTACTGGCCCCTCCCACTTTAACATAGCCCCCACCCCTAAGCAACTGTGTCCACCAACACCATGGGTGGCCTCGCGGATATTTTGGTGTTGGGCTCACCTACTTTTACTCAGCCACACCCACTCAGTTGCCAGCACGCCCATTACTCGAGTAGTCCCGCCCCTTTGACGTTTATTTGGAATACAATCTGGATGAAAAAAAAGCTTCACCGTGGGAATGTAATGACCATTATAAACGCACGCATGTACAACACTTGCTTCCTATCAGTCACGCTATTTTGCTCAAGAGACCTGCACACTGCTCGCATTCGACATTAAGTGCCTGGGAGGCTTTTCATATGCGCTGTCAACGGTCTGACTTCGTCACAAAAATGTTACCGTGACATCCCGCACCTGTCTCCTCAGTATAGAGGACCTCAGCAAGGTCGTCTAGGTGTATTCGTGCACGTAGCTTGTCTTCAACCAGACGTTATGGCTTGCCCTGCTCTGCACTCGTGTCAAAATCAGATTCGGAACTCGACCACAAGTGGGCGCGCGGCCCGCGAAAATGTCCGCGCTTAACCTGATGCTGCTCACGGATCATTGTTATCGATGATGCGGACTACGCCTACCCAGGAGGCCTGGCTTTCATCGATGGATCATGGTGACACCTGGCTTAGCAACTATTACTACTTCTACTAACCCTCAGGGACCTTTGGTAGCCCTGAGTATTTTTATGGGCTCGAAAAGCAAGGCACTTGCAAACTGCGTGGTGTGCTGCGTTTTCTGTGTTTATTTATGAGGGTCGAATAGTATACATCGATTTTGTTTGCATAACTGCATGAGGAAAGTAAGTTCGCCGCACGTAGACGTGTCTAGCAACACACTCAACATGTTTACATATTTACTGAGACACGGTGGGTAGCTGCCACAGTGCTGTATTGGTTAGCACACTGGACTTATACTCTACAGGTCGCCAGTTCGATTCCATCTCCTAGTGTGGCAGCTGAAAAAATGGGCACATGTTTCATGAGTTACCCCGTCAAATAATGTCTTGATTGTGGACTGCCATAACTACAATGCTGGGAAGCAATAGTAAACTCAATTGGGATTACAAATAGCAATCATTGCTCCATATTGGCAGACTAAATCATCTTTGCAGGCCAGGTGCTGAGTCACTTAAGTGCCCAAAGGGACAGCTGCCACTGGGAGTGGCCTTTTCAATGTGTTAGAATATAAATCGCTTTGAGATGGGTGGTCTATCTAACACAGCTCATGATTGAATTTCGATGATTGCTCTAATGATGATGATGAAGCACTGCTCTTTTAACCTTCGGTGAGGGTAAATATGGGATGTCTGTGTCGTTTTTGCTGCAGCTGAAACCGTTAACATCCTTGAAGTTCTTGGAATGTCCTCCCTCCCGTCTGGAGTCACCAAGTCTGCGGGAGCTTGCGGTGGCTCGGCGGGCGACACACCAGCGTTCCACGTGAGCAGGGAGGCCCAAGCTGAGCGTGCCCACCTCACAACTATACCCAGGTACGATCATTGTCAACGTGTAGTTTTAAAGTTTAATATTAACTTATATTCAGCTATAGTTCAACAATCCCAGCAGTCAAAGTTATTTGCTGCACAAAAGAGCATTGGGACATTGGTGCTTATCTCCCGTTTACAGCCCTGAGCCAGTGATGGAAATTCCACATTCATATGGCTGGGGTGAGTCTCCCCACAGGAAACCAACTGTTGACTTTCCTACAAAGTGGTACTCATTTCATTAACCCCGGAGGAAGGATGGACGGAGTGCTTTTCACGAGTTGAAAATTTTTAATCAGTGTATAATAAAACTGATACAAACTTCCAGCGGTGATGTTGTCCGTGCGTTGCAGGTGGAAAGTTTCCGCGCGACTTCTCAATTCTGACAACGCTGCGCACGCGTCCGAGCCTGCGGGCCTTCCTGCTGGCGATGTACAGCTCCAGCTCGGTTCAGCAGCTGGGCCTGGAAGTGGGGCCCTCTCCTGCCCTCCTCTATGAGGATCAATCTGGGAGGCCTCCTCCTGAAGATCAGCCCACTTTCCAGGAAGGACCCCTTATCAATGATGGAAAGTGAGTATTCTTGCCACGGGAGGGGAATCTAAATTAAATTATTCTGTACTTTGATATTTCTTGACATAGTCATCCTCAACCACGAATAATACACTGCTGGATGAAGGTCTCCTCAAGCCGCTACCACCTCCCACGACGCTATGATGCAATGAGCCGCCCAGCACCTGGCTGCCATGCCATCGTTATTCGTGGCCATCGTCCGTCATCCCTTCTAGTGACGTGTCCTGCCCAATCTCACTCTCTTTGTCATATACCTGCGTGTGCCATTCACCTTTTTGTAACATCAACAACACCATCATTCCATTGTAGGCAGCACAAGCTATGAGGAGAGGTGTAAATAACAGCCCCTTTTAATAAGTTCCAATGGGAACCTGAAAACAATCTTCAATGTCTCAGTATGAGTTTCGAGACTACAGCTCGCTTGCTGCCATTTGAGGAATCGTGACGATTGGGGTCACGATTGAGTTGAATTTTATATTTCAACTCTCTAATTTGGTCCATCAGCCGAGTGGGAACATTTCATATAATTTGCATACGTTGTAAATGATAAATGATTACTTAACAGAATAAATAACCAGACGAGACGCCCTCCTTCGCAAGTTGATCACTTCGCGTGAAAAAAAATACAAGTGTTTTTGGTTACTTATCCCATCGGCCACATAGCCTTCTCAGATTGCATCATTTTAGGAGCATTGGTTCAACACAAACTCTGGGCCAGTTTTGACATTCAGCGTCTCATGTGAATCAGGCTCCCGTGAACCAATGCTGGTTAACTTTCAGATGTTTAGAGGCAAAAACCCACCTCTCAGTTGGGTATGAGTCCAAGTTTGACTGCAAAACCATCAAATTCGTAACACGAAAATAATCATTGCATATGATTCAGCAATTGTATGCTACATGTCAGAATGTACTTTCAACTCATTGTTACATTCCTATCATGAAGTGCATTCCTATCAAAAGTGCATTTCTCTAAGTTTAAAGCATGGAAATTGGGGGAGTGGTTCCACTTTGGTTAGCACACTGCGCTACAAACCCAGTGGACCTGCTTTCAATTCCCGGCCTGACAGGTGTCGTGCGGTATCGTCAAATGATCACATGCCCCACGTGGCGTAGGAGAGGAGAGCTGCCCACATGTTCCATTGTACACCAAAAACGGCCACATTTCTCAGTCAGCATCAGGTATATCAACACTGTGGGATATACCAGTAAGGAGATTTAACACAATACCGCTACCAGATCTCGGAACCAATTGGCCCAGACAGATGAAGCACCCAAATGGGGAGTTGTTGTTTGACAGTTCTGAAAACAGTGTTAATCATTTGTTAGCAGCGACGAACACGTGAATTCCCAGTGGAGCAAGAGGGCCACCGAATTAAGTGATATCGAACAGGCGTTGCATCGAGAGAAGCCATGTTTTCGAGGTCCTTCCATTGTAATGTCATAGTAGAATAATAGTGCAGGCCTGGAAAACCATGATTGTCAAACAACACGTATAAATGTGGAATAAACACTCAGCCTATGTGCAAATGTAAATCGTCTGCGCTTGTTACACAATTTTGTGCGTTTCACATTTAAATTTTTTACCTAATTTGATTAGGCCTCATACGATTTCCTCTCCTCACGATTCGGGTCGCGATTCAGCTCAATAATAATGATTTATTTATATTCACCGCAACAACAAAAATTCACGAGAAACCATGTGCCCAATGACATCATCTCCGTGTGCGGCTTGGAACGTTCCTGGCAAAGGTGCAGCCCTGCAATAACTTCCTCAAGGCACTGGTAGTGGATGGGGCATCCTCGAGAAGGAACTATGGACAGATCTTCTAGAAGGAATTTGGCCTACTCTTCCACACGAGCCAGACACTTTTGGAAAAGGTGGGAGTACCCATACTTTACCCCACCACACGTGACCTGCCAACTATGGTGCATCCATTCAAACTGCATGGAAGACGAGTGGTGGTGGTGGCGCGCGCCTGTAGTCCAGCACTAGGGAGGCAACGAGGGCTTGGTGGGTCACACAAATGTCGCGAAACTCACTTCCCCCCGTCGGCGTCGAATAAGTGGCATTGCCTGGCTTGCCAGGATAATGTGGTACAACAGGTGTGAGAGTTAATATCCATCTGTTCCATCTATGTGGGATAGTGTTGCCTCCCCCCCCCCCCCGTCTCACACGCGTGGCTTCTCTCTGGGCCCTGTGGTTTCCTCCCACATATGTAAACACTCGGCTGAAAACACATTTCATCCTTGTTAATCACTCAGTGGCACATATGCTTACTGCATATGCAGTGTTACGCACATACACATACGCGAGCTCACTCAGACTTTTATCATCATCAATACACCTTGTCAAATCGCTGTGGAAAATGCACACCAATATTGCAACATCAAAGTGCAACGCGCTCTCCCGAGTGACTATGGACGTAACTTTGGGATGCGTGCTCATTAATAGATCGTGCATGACACGAAGACGCACGCACATATAGAGGCCTCCCTGCCAGGTAGGCCTCGGCAAGGCAAGGTAATTTACCCTTTTTACCAGGTAAAAGGGTAAAGGTAAAGAGTAAAGTTGTCGACATGCCAAGGGGTAAGGTAAGGGTAGGGTAAAGGTAGCTCGGAAGAATTACCCGGTAGGGTAAAGGTAGCACGAAGTATTACCCGGTAAATACGGTACCTTGTTTACCGCTAGAAGCTCCGTGGCGCAGTCCGTGGCCTCCATTTAATAAGTAATATTTTTTTTTTACTTTTTAAAAAACACGCTTTTATGAAATGTACTAGTAATGGAAGAACTTCACGACTCCAGGAAGTGGCCCCGAAGCATGCCACAACGTAAGGGACCGTGGTCAGTTACAGCCAATGTCAGTTGACTGTGGACAATTAGACCCAAGCTGAAACATAACATATAAACAAGTAATATTTTAAAATATGTTTTCTATTTTTTATGATAGCACACAGTGTTGTCATCAGTATCACATAAGTATACCAAGTTTGCAGTCGATACCACATTGCGAAGTGGATTAAAATTTAGTTACAAGATTTGAGGATACAGCAACGACAACAACAACAACAACAGACAGAGTGAGTTAAAAGAAAGCGTGTAAAATTGGAATCATCGAGAGTATTCTATATGAATAAAGCGCTATACCTTGTAGCATTTACTGTTATAAACCTTGTTCATGTGTAGTAGTACCCCAGTAATTACCCTGTAATCGGGTAATTTGTATGGGGTAAGGGTAAAAGTAGGGTAAAGGTAGGCTCGTTGTTTTTACCTTTTAACTTTTACCTTATCTTGCCGAGGCCTACTGCCAGGGTGGCGGTGACACGGCCCAGCGGCGGTAATTTGTTACCACAGAATGGACGTTAAAGATCATCTGGGTGTCATTTGCTAGATTAGGCCTTCATGTACCGGCGTCATGGTCCAAACTTACCGAATTTGAAAAGTCACGCGCAAATTACTGAATTGGGATTAAGTGTAGCAATAAAAAAAGAGTCTTGAGACTCAGAGAAGCGTGCCTGGGGGAGCATACTTTCAAACTGGCACAGCACATGAGGCAAGTTAATGGTTTGCAACATGCTTATCCACCCGGCGCTCTGTTCATTGTTGTGAGTGTCGCTCGCTCCTCTGCTCTCCATTGTTGTTGGAGGGTGGCTCCCTCCAAATGCCCAGTAGTGTCCACGAGTCACCTTCACAGAGGCCGATGCTCGGCTCTACATCCTTCTGTACCATATCAGTCCATCTCTTCTCTAGCCTGTGCCGCGCCCATATAGCCCGCATAACTCTGATCGCACGTGACTTGCAACTCCTCGTGGACATGACTTGCAAGTATACAGGGGCACGACTCGCAACTTTGCTTGCTCGTGACTCACAACTCCGCGTGCAAGTGTCTTTCCACCTCGGCGATCAGCAAAAGGCTCTGACCAGGAAGTCGCGTGGCAACTCATGTGTATCCATACGATGGGGTTGAATCTAATTGCAGTCGCCCCTCAGCATCACAGTAATTCATTATGGGCACCCCCCCCCCCCCCCCCCATAATGAATCGATATAGTGACGTTGACAAACTCGCGAAGTTGGCAACACTGGTGTCCGATTCTTTCGGAAATGCAGTCAGGTTGGAATGTTCGCTCCCCACCACACCGTATCAAGTGTTCACCCTGCCCGCTGGTGCGCCGCTTTGTTTGCCATTCAGGTGGCACAGGGTGGCATTCTCCGTGGAGGGGAAACGCGTGTCTCTCTACGTGGACTGCAAACTCGTGGGAACCCAGAGATTGGGCCGTGGCTCTTCCCCCCGACTGGACACGCGTGGTATCATGGTGTTCGGAACACGCATACTCGACGATGATGTTTACGAGGTGCAGGAGCATGCGCACGTGTTCAAACACCCACACACACAATATTACCCATATACTATATAATATCACAATTGTTGAGCACAGACCCTAAGGACAAACACAATCAAGTGGCCAGCATCAAACAGCACTGCCAATGTTGCAATTGATAACGCCTTCTTGGAATTGAGCAAGATGATGAGAGCCTTGGGAAAGAGACAATGATGGGAGGGAATTTTAAAGTGGAGCCGTGCGAGGGAATGAACAGTGTTCTGACCTGCAGCATGAATGAGCGTAAACAGGGAAATAGTGAGCGCAGGTGGAGGACCCAATTCGCGATGTTCACGGGAACGGTAACTATGTTCGTAGTGGTAGAAGACTTATTTTGAATGCATTATGCAGCCATCCCACATGCATACAACTAAGCGCCCCATGCCGAATTTAGCAATTCATGTGTGGCCAATCAAGGATAAAAACGATAATTGGAAATGTTTTTGCACGACACAAAACACTTTGGAATGGAAACGTTATTTTTAAAAGGCATGGGTTTAAGGCAAGAATAACGATTCTTAGTCAGAGCTGAACTTTAGTCAATCAACTGGAAAATAGCGTTGCTTCTGAACACAGCTACAAAGAAAGTCTAATATATGTTTCATGGAAACACAGGGAGAGATAAAGATCTGTAAGTATGAAATAACATGTGACAAGAACGCAATAATTGTATGTATTCGTGTTGAACTTCTTTCGCGCTATATGTAGCCAACTGTGCTAATCGGAGGTGCAGGGGGAAGGACAACAACTTCCGCATGATCGCATTATAGATGCGATCATGCGGAAGAAGTTGTGATGGATCAGACGCACACGGATGAAGGAGGGCAGATTACTGAGACAGACATCGGAAAGACATCTACCACAGGTCGGTAACCCAGAGGAAGGTGCAAAGCCTGATCATAGGCAACTGTTTACATGATCAGTAGAAGTTGCGAAAGGTCTTGCAGAAGGAAAGCATTACATTTGGCACCCATATGATGAGGTGGAGTGTGCTGGCACAATCGCACTGTGGTCTTAGTAAGCCCATGCAGGGGCTGGGTTGTGGTCACTTCAGGGGCATCTGAGATGAGGGAGGCTGCACTGACTCCGAGTATACATGTAAGAGTTACTATGTAGGCAAACGGTCAGAGCGCTGAGCTGGCACCACTGAGGTCATAGGTTCAAACGCTGGCTACCGAGTCCCCAAGTATAGAGTTGATGGTGGTCTCAACCCGAGCATCAAAAAAAAAAAATCACTTTACATTTGCTTCTGCACTTGAGTAAATTCCAGTTCTGGGAATAAAACAACCACATCGATTTGACTGCAATGTGACGAACATCGCTCTCATATGCAGAGTGAGTGGAAAGTGCTGCCCACTGCTACAATGTGTGGACCCGAGGTCACTTGAAGAAGGAATTTCAGAGGTAGCTCCGTGATAACCGTTTCCGTGGGACCTTCTCTAACAACGCGAAGGATGGCACCGGTCTTCGAGATTTGCCAATGGATTATTCGTCTCGTGACATGGCACTGATACCACAATCCGGAATATATATATATAAAAAAACATTGTAGAGCAACACATATAATAGAAACAATTTTACAAACATTCATTATATGAGTTATATATATAAATAAGAATACTATAATGGGAGTGAATGTAATAACGTCAGCAAATGTCAATGCTAAGGAATGCACTGCATGATAGATTATTGTGTTCACGTAAAAGATATAGCATAAATATGCATCCAGTGGCAATTGTTTTTGACTCTGGCTGTTTATGACACGAGTTTACTCTAAAATATTGTTCTAATCTTTTATGTAGATAGTTGGTGAAGAGCGATGTTATGGCTCTACTATGTTTATTGTCGTTAGTGGCCCAGCAGTGTTGGTCCATCTGACCACAACCAATTTGACTTGTACTGTTGGTTTGTTGCCGAGAGCTGTACGATATTAATGTGTGCGTGTGTGCCGTGTGCGTTTCCACTACGTGCCTGTGTGTGTCCCTTGCATGTGCAGGGAGACATCCAACAGTTGCTGATTGTGTCAGACCCAATGGCCGCGAAGGACCAATGCACGCACTTCTCTCCGCTGTGCCCCTCGACGCAACCCAATTCCAAGCCACACTCGCTGCAGGCGCAGGAGCCAGAGGTTCGTGTGGGCCACGGTGCCACGAGCGACGTGTGATTTCATTTGGTTTCATCGTTCCTCGTTTCTTTTGCAGGATAAATGGTTTCTGAAATTTGTTCGCGTGGATACGTTTGCAAGTACTGTACAGGACAATGTTCTGTGTGGACATGCTCTTTGCAAACACAGGTTTGGAAGTGTTTGTGTGATTTGGGTTTCCACCTTTCCCACAGACTAAATCAGGACATTGAGTACACTGTAATAGAGTTAAACACCTGACTGGCGCAAGATCCCGGCATAAATTAACGTCTGCAACCCAAACACAGATGTCAATTCCAGGACTGTCTGGCTCAAACTCTGAATGGTGGTAACGCTAATGTGTGACCCGTTTGCACACGAGGGTGGTTGTGGTGTACTCTTTAATGCACTACATAGGAATTCTGGGAGCCTGACTTAAATTCCCGACTCTGCACACCTGTGACAGCTCACATCTTATCCAAGTCTGTGACATACACAGCATTGTCAGACTTAGCATAAATTATTCTCGAGAAAAGCAAAGCATTCACTTCTCATGATTGCAAGGGAAATATTATGAAGCAGCTTCGGCAAAGAGAGAATGGGAGATGACTTGCAAAAAGTGGAGCAATGCCAGGGACGATGCAGAGAGATAACTGAGGTGACCTGGAGTGTGGTGGTTGAGTGTGAAATGAGTGAGTGTGTGAGGTTAGTGTGTTGTTGTGACCTACCTTGTGGTGGTTGCACATTTTGGATGAGACAGCACAGTCATGTCTGTTAGACCGAGTTCTCAACATGGGAGGAAGAATCAATTAATGAAGTGAGCGTGCTAGTAGAGCTATAAGAGTGATAAGGAGGTGCCTGAGCACTGGTGAGCTACTGACTGGTACCAGCGGTGTCAAGATCGGCCTCTGTGGAGAAGACTCGTGAAGGACGCTACTGGGCAGTTGGAGGCAGTCGTCCTTGAGCAACAACGGAGGGCAGAGGAGCGATGTTCACAAAAAGGTGCGGAGCATCAGGTGGCTATAACACAGCAAGTTGGCGCAGTAGGGGGCACAGTGGTGCATCTGCCAGTCATCTGTCAGTTAACCTATAGCACCTGGATCTGTCACATGACCGTTCGACAATTCACGTGGCCTTAAAGTAAACGTAGCCTGGCATAAGTGCTGAGGTGATGTCAATGCCACTTAGTGGTGAATGGCAGTTGTTGTTGTTGGATCGAATCAATGAGTACTGGATCATCAATCAACCAGACTGCTGTACATTGAATTCCATCAAGTGCAGTGAGATAGGAACTTGATATGTCAACAGGATTACAACTTTTGCTGAACTTGAGATCCGCGTATAAGTGGCCATTGTTTGCAGTGAACGAAGGCCCCTTATGGAGGCTGCCTTTATACGGTGATGTCGTGACGATGGCCAGAAATCCACGTCTCACCATCGCCTCCTTTTGCCGCGCAAACTGTGCTCCATTAATTTCGGCTATGGAGAGGATCACGCATGGCCCAGTGTGAATGAGGAGTAGAGTGCACGGTGCATTATGGTCCTATTAAAGTTTAGTTGGGATCTTTTAATAAGAAGGTAAGGAATGCAAGGAGGGCAGAACCAAGGTGTATAATAGGAGGCAATGGTTGGCAGAGGTTGGTTCTTTGCCAGGTCATGAAACCTCGCAATAGAATAGTTTTGTTTGTTATCAAATCTCACCTGGGAAAATCCTCCAAATTAAACATTTAATTTGCAAGAGTGACCAGGACATCAACCGACACACAGCAACACGTGGTGACACGTGCATACGCCTATAAATCTATAACTCATATAGTACGTGCTTACACAGTGAAAATCACGCCCAGTCAAATGAAAGAATCAAGACAGAAATAATTAACTTGTGTACATCGCCAGTTTATGTCGAATGTGCTGTAGCTGTAACAGTTGCCGATGTTTTGCAAATGAGTTTTAATTAGAGATGTAAATAAATTGCAAGTAACGTGTGCAACTCATCACAGTGCCTATGCCTGGGACGTTGTCAGACTGGTATTTTAAATGTAAGGCATTTCCTACATGAAGAGCGAGACGAGGTACGCTGTTAACACATGGAGTGCTTTGCATATGAATGTATAACGGTCAACATCTACAAGTCTCTAATGTATAAAATGGCCGTGTCTAGTGCTACCAATGCCAAGCCACCCGACCATTCATGTTCGCAACTTCAATGGCTGCCACACCATGTGGGACTACAATGCCAACTGCCATCATGGGCAGTGGCAGAAAATGAATGTCATCGAAAGAGCACGGAATTTTAAAGTCAGCGCATTGTAAAATGTTACACGCCCGATTTAAATTTTGGATCGTGAGACAAGAGCGGTAATCCTATTTAATCAAGGAGAACCATCCTTCACTATATTTCAAATATCTAACAAAGGCCTGCAGTGCTCCATATTGGCATTCATATTCTGCTGATTCGCATTGCACCGAAAACTGCGTTGGAACTTGACCCTGGCTGTATGGCCTAAGTATGCCACGGCCACAGAGAAATCTGTTAGAATGATTACCCCATGTGCACGGCCAACCAACACCGCTCTGCTGGCCTCATGAAGGCAGCTGCGAAGGTCAACGTTTTAAAAGGCTTCAACTCCTCGTTGGTCTCCAGAAAATATCGGGAGACTTTTGTCAATCAGAAGCAGACCACAAAAGCATTGCTCGAGTCACTGATATAAAAAAAGAAGACAAAGGTGACGTGAAAGAGTAGAGGCACTTTACTTTTAAAAAACAGCCAAAAAATCCTGGCACCTCCTAAGACTTTTAGGAGCAGCAGTGACACTGGCCTACAAATCTCCCCAAGTCAGCCCTGACAACATTTCCGGACAGCTAAACGGCAATTCACGAGAGCCGATCAACAAAAACACAAGATGTCAAGGTTATAAAAAACTATATTGCACTTCCAACCGTTGCAAACAAACCTCTGCATTATCTGGCCCTTTCTTAATGGAGGAAGTAGATGCTCATATTGCCCAGATGAGATCCGGGAAAGCCGCAGGCTTCAATAGGATTTATCTGGAATTCGTCAACAACTTGGCAGCATGAGCAAGAAAATGGCCAGGCACTTTCCTCACTGACATCCATGTCTTAGGTGTGGTACCAAATGAGTCGAAGATTACAGCCATTCTTAAACCCGCCAAGAACGCATTGGATGCTAAAGACTACTGCCCGATTTCCCTCAGAATTTGCTACAGGCTATTGGAGTGACTGCTGATTCAAAGGCTGAAGCCTATGCTTGAAGATATAGTCCAAAAGAACTAGCCAAGTTAAGAAGCGGGCCGAACTTTCTGCGATCAAGTACATTGAGATGGTCTACGAACGTTACCTCAAAAACCGCAACAAGTGTTCATCGACCTCTCCTCAAGATATCACACAGTATGGTGCTAAAGCTTACAGTAGCAGTGTCTTGCCGTCTGACAATGAGACTCATCTCATACATTCTGAGCAACCGCTGATTCGTCATCTGCATTGGTGAAGCTGTAAGCATCCAAACAAAGAATGAACAACAACAGACTCCCACAGGGATCTGTTCTTGCCCTAGTGCTGTTTTATCCCTTTACCAGTGACCATCTGGTGACATCTTCCTGCAAGTCCAATTACAAGAACAGTGCACTAACAACCCAAGCCCGCACAATAGAGGACACTAAACGTCGTGAAAAGGGTCTAAAGACCCTGGAAGCATCCTTCGAGAATTGGCATCTTAAGTAAAACACCTAAGAGAGCATCGTCGTCCACCTGAACAACAACCAGGCCTCTGCCACCCAGGAGTTACTCTCGAACGAATGCTCACATACCTTCTCGAACAAGCCAAAAAGAAAACAACAGAAAAAAAACTACGGAACATTTTTCAAAAACTTGCAGGAACAACGCGAGGAAGCGATCCTCACACGTTGGCGACATTGATGCAAGTCCTCATACTCCACTGCATACTACTGTGCCCCAGTGTGGAGTGCCACCTCTCACAAAATACCGAAATCAACATCCGCACTTGGTGTCAGCAGCAGTGCCTTGAAGTCCACTCTACTCTAGTGGCTTCCCGTGCTGGCGAATATCATCTCAGCCAACGTGCAACGCGATGCCACAACGACCTGGGAGTACCATAAGATTAAGGACAACATTGTTCTGCTGCTCCAAAAAGACCTAAAAAAAACCACGCCATAGGCTCACATCCAGTAAACCTTTCTAGATATGCGCCTCCATTTCAGAAGCTGTAAATAAATAAATAAACACATAAGCACTCGCTGGATGGAACCGTGGTTAGCTTTAGACATGGCAAACAAAAGCCTCATTGAGGGCCCAACTGTGAAAATACCGGGATTCTCTCTCTTCCGACAATCAAAGACCTCTCGAAACCATGCTCAACTCCAACATGGGAGATGTACGTACACCTTTCCGCAAATGGAAGATCAAAAACATCGCCTAACTGTGACGATGGTGAAGTTCAAACCATCAAACACATCATCAACGAATGTGTGATCCATGCAACTTTCTGGCGGTGGACCTGCAATCTATACCGTGTCCACTGTCCCACATGGCTTGGTTTTAATAACACTTAGGATTCAAGTTATAACACGCTTCAAAAACTGTTTATTTTCCTTCCTGACATACGAAAGTAAGAGAAGGTGTGAAGACTGACATTTTTACATGATTCAGTTAAAACAGACATGATAGTGCACAAATATAATTTCAGGACAAGATAACATGTCATTCTGTCGACGGAGGTAGACAGTTTATTTAAATGAAAAGGATCCAATATTCGGACACGTGGCACGACGGACGTTGTAAGAAGGTGCAAGGGACACGACCTCAGAGATGACGGTGATTTACATCCGGGCCATTTACTAATGCTCCGGAAAATACCCCTCTGGTTCTAGATTTGAAGCTTTCGTGACTGCAAGGATTCATACTCTTACTTCTTTCGGTAAAGTCACGTCGGTAAAAACTGAAGTTAAAATTAATAAAAATAAAACAATAAAATCACGACGTTTCGGAGGCAACACAAGCTTCCGTCTTCAGGTGAAACCGTCACAGCAAAATATCTGTATACAGATATTTTTTATTTCACCTGAAGACGGAAGCTTGTGTTGCCTCCGAAACGTCGTGATTTTATTGTTTTATTTTTATTAATTTTTATTTCAGTTTTTACCTACGTGACTTTACCGAAATAACTAATAGTATACCCCTCTGGTGTTATAACCTTGTGATGCACATGTCGATGATATCATTGTGACATCAATGCCATCGATGTGATGACATGCACCGTTTTATGTCAATGATAACATCCGTGTCATCGGTGCTCGCTGAAACCACTCCGACAAGCCAACAGCTTTATGCGTGCACACGTGCGTGTGAGCTTCATGCCTCGTGCTCTAATTCCATGATGTGAATATCTTGACATGTGAGATTGCTGCTGCTGCTGCCGTGTCACCGTCCCACCGTGCTTTTCCATTGGCACAATCTCCATGTGAGGTGGATGTTTACCGATCGTGCAATTGGATGCGACTCGCTCGTGTGCCCGTGCAATGTGCTACCCCCAGCCTCTTTCGCTTCCCGCCACAATCTTCACTGCTCCTCACTGCTGCGTTCACGACCCCCCCGCACCCACCACAACAAAGCAGCGCACTGCATTGCACCGTAGACTTTTCATTGCCCGAGCACTGCACACAGCTCTCTCCTCCTACAAATTAGTCCGTGCCCTTCTATTAGCAGTGTATAACCTCTCATCACCGCTGTAATGAAATACACTCGGTATCAAACCGCAAGGCCAGGTGAAACAACATGATAATTGGAGAGGGTTCTTGCAGTCTATAAACATCTCTGGCAGATCACCAGCATTGGATGAAGCAAGCCCGACTCTGTGGATGTGATGATGAATATAGAAACCGGTCTAGAGTTTGTTTGTGCTAAATTGTACTCTTACAGAAGGCAAATATTCCTCCCTCTCCTCACTCTCCATGTCCCCTATCCTCATTTCAATGCTCCCTCTCATGGAGCTCCATTCTCCCACACCTGACTCTCCACGCTTCCATGCCTCACTTTGATGATCCCTCTCCTCACTCTCCATGCTCCCTCTCCTCACTCTCCATGCTCCCTCTCCTCACTCTCCATGCTCCCTCTTCCCACTCTCTACGTTCCCTCTTCCCACTCCCACTGTTGACTCGTAATGCTGCCTCTCCTCACTCTTTACGTTTCCTTTCCCTATTCTTCATTCTGCCTCTTCTCACTCTCAATGCTCCTGCTCCTTACGCTCTGTGCTGTACTCTTCACTCGTCATGCTCCATCTCATTATTTTGAAACTCCTCATTCTCCACACTTCCTCTCCTCACTTTTCATTCTTCCACATCTCAATCTCCACGCTTCCATGCCTACGCTCTATGCTCCCTCTATTGACTCTCCATGCTCCACCTCTTCACTCTTTTTGCTCACTAGTTAAAGGTCAGTGTTGAGGATTAGGCTGGGCGAATGTGAGTTAACTTTCACTGTCTGCATTTCTTTGTTAATGCACCAGCTGAAGGCTTCCCCATTCCATTTATAGAGTATGTGGCTGCTATAACTTTTCCACGATAAGCCACTTTGTTGAGCTATTATGTATGGCCAGGTCGCTTTAAAAAAGAGCTGCAAAGCTCAGTGGGGGCCTTGCCTGGTAAATAAATATCCGTCATGGGTCTTTTGGGTCCACACTTCCTAGCGTCTTAAGTATGGTCATGCAACTTGTTTGATCGTACTTCACCACTTTACCATGCTGGGGTTAGTGAAGGGCAACCCACGACCAACGTAGATGTCACTCGCTACTGATTTTAGTCGTGGTGGACAATCGAACTCGAGTTTACCAGGTTCATAGTGCAGTGCCTTAACCACTGCAACATTGTGATAATTGTTTTTTTACCCTTCTATCTGGCAAAAAAACTAACACCTTTTTACAAGGAGTCATGTTTGCATAGACCACAATACCTGCAGTCATAATACAAACAAAAGACATAACTCTAATAATGTGCACTGTCCTTGAAGTTGATTGGTCCACACCCGAGACAGCTTTCCTTAGAGCCTAGTCTCACATGGGTTGGACCAGATGACGCCAAAAGGCGCCTTTTGGCGTCATCTGGTCCAACCCATGTGATCGTAGGCAAATACCGTTCTGCATTATACACACTAAACACCGCCTCCTACTTCCATGCAAACCTCATCTCTCTAAGTCATTTATTTATTCCCCCATATTAATTTCCAAAAATGTTTCTTCCCCTTACTAACCCCCGCTACCCATCTCTCACTATGCCTTCAGTACTCTGCAGAGGAATTCGCTTACGAAGACTATGACTACAACCCCGAGACTGACACCCCTACAGACGCAGCAAGGCCAACGGCTCAAACCGACAGCGGCGACCAGATAGATCTAGACACCGAGGGCCAGTACGGCGAAGGGGGACTTGGTACTGAAGACGAGGTGGATGCTTCAAACCAGGTGGATGCAGCTTCGACAAGCAACACAAACACGGCAGGGAGGATGGATGGGGAGCCCGAGGTAACGTGTGGACACGTGTGTGTATGTGTGCTCATGCCGCAAGTTGGCACAGTAGGGGGCACAGCTGGTGCATCTGCCAGTCATCTCAGTCAGTCAACCCATGGCACCTGAGTTTGTCCCGTGACCTGTCAGCGGGCCTTCGACACTTCACGTGGTTTCAAAGTGTACTTGGCCTGGCACAGGCGCCGTGGTGACATCACCATCACTTAGTGGCGAATGGCAGGTATTGGTATTGATATGCCGCAAGTGAGGAAGTGCAAATGCAGTGCTCAGAGGTGTGCGAGCACTAAACTGTTCAACTTATATTCCTCTATGCATACGTCAAATAATAATCTTATAATATTATTAAGGTGCTTGCCAGGCAAATCAAAGTGCCTTATGTCAGAACTCAACCCCGATCATTGGGAAGGGACCCCCAGTGGAAGCTGTCGTTGTGCTGCAAGACGGGACTCCTCAGTTAAGGGCGCCGCTTTGGCTAGGGGATGTTAGCTCCCTTGCCTGGAATACAGGAGGTTGTAAGTTTCATCCCGACCATGACCCCTGTGTATTTGGAGTTTGCATGTCTCTCTCCCCATGGTCGCGTGGATTTTTCTTTGGGTCCTCCGGTACCCCCCCCACCCCCACTTTCATTTAAAATCAACATCATGCGTTTAGAGTATTTGGCCGCTATTAATGTCCACATGATAAGCCACTTCGTTGAGATATTATTTGTGATGGCCAGGTCGCTTCTGAAAACAAAGCTATATAGCTCAGTGGGCCTTACCTGGTAAAATAAAAAAAATAGTTGAGTTGAGTTTGCCAGTAGTGGGCGATGTTGCTGTGTGTAGTCCCAATTCAGTCATCTGTGGGTAATTTTCAAATTTGGCAAATGCGGACAATGACTCTGACTCGCGTTGACCAACTATTTCCAAATTATGTCACGATATCTTTAACGTCCACTATGAATCAGACGGCGTGTATTATTTCACAATAAATTCTAACCAGGGTGGCTGCTGGATTCCAGCCACGAATCCTCTGCGACAAGCAGCCAATGCGCTGCCGCTGGGCCACATCCCACATCACCCCGCCCCAATGGAAAGACCAGAGGAGATGGGGGACAGAATGGGAGTTCTGCTTGAGTAGCAGCAGCAGAAACAAGCGGTGTGTGGAGCGAACTTCCAGTGGGATGACATTCCAGATGTCAGGGACAGCAGCGGAGGAGTCGCCCCTCGCAGAGAACAGTGGTGGTGACATGAACACTCTGAGCTCGCTGGCATTCGGTTTATAGTTGTTACGAATTTTATAGGGACGTGACGATTGGATAAATGTGCTTGTTCTTGATTCTTGCATCTGGATGAAGCTCTCCAATTTAGGTTGAAAGCATTAATGTGTTGAAAATAATGTATTAAGATCCGATGAAGGAACTGTTTAATTTGCTTGTTTCATTTCCTGTATTAGCCACCTCCCACATAGTCGCAGATGGCGTCTTCTACACGATAGGACATAGATGTAGAGGATTGTGTTCAAACAGAAATAATGAATGAACGCATGTGTGTATAAGTTTGATCATGTTGAATACAACTCACTGGTTCAGTGTACATGTGGTAGATGTGCATTTTAAATATGCATGTGAACCTACATATGTTTATATGCATTTATGCTTGACACAGGGGGCATGGTGACATCACTACTTCGTGGTGAACGGTGGCTGCTGTAATTGTGTGTATGCTTGTATACATGAGTATAAATGTGCGTGTGCAATTCCAGGCACCGTACTCAGTTGACGGAGAAGATGATCTTGATGTTACCAGAGTCATCGCCAAGCCATCACACAACCAGTCACTTGATGTAAGTATCTTTCTAACATTGCAGTAATGCAATTGATGAATCAAGCAAATATCACGGAGACTCAATAATCTTTTTCCAATAGGTTATTTATCAGGAAGTTTTACTGTTTCCAATAAGACATTTAAAAAGTGAATTTCCACAGCTGCTTATAGTCCAAGTGCGGTTTTCTGGGTTGAGCTGCACATTGAGTGATTAATTCATACGATCTGTAGTGCGCACACATTTCAGAGGTGCGGGAAAATAAATAAACGATTACCGGGTCAATGTTAGAGGGCACATGGGAAATAATCCGTTGTTTGTTTATGATCATGGCCTCAGATTGTTACGGATTCAACAGGAATACGTTTTTTTCTTTACATATCCAATGTTAGAGAGGCCAGTGAGTAAGATCCGGAATGGCTGCCGAAATGTCAAGACTGGCGATCATGGCAGCAGTGAATTATGGCCAGGATGTTGTTGATTACCTTGAATGAGGCAGTTTTAGTCAAGGGTGCAGGTTGATAAGCAAACTGCAGAGAACAAGTTGGGAGAATGGAGAATATTAATTGTTAACCCAACCAAAGCAACCCTTTCAAGGATGTTGTAATAGGTTGGTAGTTATTAAAAACACAGAGTGTCAGGGATCGGCTTCTTTATGAGCAGAGTAACTTGTCTGGTCTTTGTGATACAGGGAATTTGACACAATTCAAAGGTGAATTGGCGAGGTGGCCAATCAATACTAATGTTCTTAGAGAGCATGTCTTGAAAATAGATAGAGAAGGGGTTCATCGGCGATGATATATAGGAAATTATTATCTCAACTTCTGAAATGGTGATGTGGAGCTGAGTAAGGGTTTGAGGGAAAGGGGTTTGATAATGGGCTGGTTTACATTGTCAGTTTAGTGATGAAAGAATCGCGGTATCCCTTTGCCAGGATCGAGGGTTTCATACACGAGGTGGAAGCTGGTGAGGTTGTATGAAGAGGTTTTTTGACCTCCGATGACAAATGGACCTGTGTTTCCTCTTGATTTGAAGCTTTCGTGACTGCAGGAATGCATACTTTTTGGTTCTTTCGGTAAAGTCACGTGGGTATAAAATAAAATAAATCACGACGTTTTGATCGCAAAACAAGCAGTCGTCCTCAGGCGTAAAAAATATAAAACAGCAGTGGAACTGCTGAACCAACGAGAGAGTAGTTACAACCAGATTGTATATGTGGCGATGGGCAAGCAAGCGGGGTCTGAGCTGGAAAGGAATTCCATCCACGGACCCAAGCACGTCAGTTGTGTTAATGGGGGAGATTAGGGAGAGAGGGATTAGAGAGGGAGATTAGCATGAAATGAGCTTCCGTCGCCGCATAAGAGTATCAAGCCCGCATGTGTGCACAACACCACGCAATGCTACTGCTGCTGGCATCTTCAGGCGTTGAATTGAACAGCATTGCAGGAGAGATCAAAAAGAGTACAACAAACACAAACCAATATGAAATTGTATAATTTTCCTGCCACGAAAGTTGACTCGGACAAATTATTTAAACGAAAAAAAAAACTTAATTTGGAGCTTTTGTGACTGCAGGAATTACTCTTTGGTTCTTTCGATAAAGGATAAAAAAACTGCTCACGATAAAAGTAAATTAGAGAAACATCAAAATGGACTTGGAGTGAGCATTCCAGTATTGAGTAAACATGCGTAAAGGAGGTCCACAGCAGTGTTGACGCCACGCGTACACAATCCCACACTCCGTTCCACCGCTCCTCTCCCCGTGATTGTCCCCGCAAGAGCGTCGTGCTCACATCACATGCCCTCACGCCTCACCGCAAACCTTCTTGACTCTCCCTTAGCCCCTGCCCAAGTTCCCTCTTCTACCAATCCTCTTTCTCTCCACCTCTAATCGCCTCCATTTTACTGTTATTTCCCACTCTTTTTATTTCAAATTCCCTGGCCAATTCCCAGGCTGTTTACTCATCCCCTGAGTTTCCTGGAGTGGTTATTGGAGTGACCAGTCAGGGCTCTCAGCCCGGTCCCCTGAGTTCCCTCGCGTCTCCAGCATCACTAAGTCCTCGTCTGGCCCTTTGGTGGTAAGCACTATGCTCGCTGTCTCTTACATGTCAGATGCAACTTCAAATGAAGTTATCACTCGTGGAAATGTGTCAGCATTCACCTTCTATTTAAACGAGGACAGTGTAGACACTATTTATGTAATATAAAAGCCCATATCATTCTAGTCGTGTTTGTTCAGGTTAAATTCCAGGCTCTGCCCATTCTAACTAAGTTCACATAATGAGATAATTGTTTTAAACACACTTCCTGAGCACAACGGCATACGCAGCCAGCTACAATTAGTACTTCTTAAGGTTGTAACAGATAAGAGTGGAACATTGTTCTTGAATTGAGCAAGGTTATTATTATTATTATTCTCAGGGCTTGGGGAAACTAGATGATGGGAGGGAATTCCGAAGTGGAGCATTGTGAGGAAAGGAGAGAAAGGAGAAGTGAGGTGACCTCCAGTGCGGCGATTGTTGAACTCCGTGTGGATGAGACGAAGCTGTCAGTCGGGAAGACCAAGCCATCAATATTGGTTGAGGCATCAACAAGTATCTTCATGAGAATAGTGACCATGGTAGTAGTGATAGAACGTTGAAAAGGACTGCTCTACATTGAATTATATCCTATCCAGTGCAGTGAGATTGGAACTGGGTGCTTACCTATTCATAATAAAGCGATGCGAAACGCACACCCCAATTTAGGATCGACTCACAATCATGCAACAACCCAACCTGCCAAGTCAAACCTTGTTTCAACTTTTTCACACATCTATTCATAACTTTAAAAATATATATTTTCATTTACTTCACCAATTGTGTTTTGAATTCTCTTAGCTATGCAATGATTATATATTCATGTATTTCAAGCTGTGTATTACGTGTTGTTTCTATCAATGCATGTCATGTTTTGTTGGTCTTTTTTTCCTCCATTTCGATTGAATCTGATATTTTCTGTGTGGCTGAATCGTGAACGTCTTTGCCCCTCTCCGCTCCCTCTCTGACCCCCCTTGTTGTTATTGGTCGCATGTCCCCTTGCTCTCCTGCCGCTGCTGCTTCTCTCTCCACAGAGCAATGACATCACACACTCAGACGACGCCAGGGTGAGTCAGTGGGACTAGGCTGAGCCACATCATTACGCATTGCCGTGAAGCATTGTGGGTTAAGAAAACATGTAAATACATGTATTTCATGTGGAGACAGAACGGGGTTATATATATATATACAGTATATTCTCTTTTCCCATAATACTCCGTGGCTATGCAGAATGAGTGTGTGTACGGCATTGCTTTTTGCGTTGAACATGGCTTTGTATTTTATCTGGAGTGCTCTTGTCAGCAATATCTGGCAACCCAGCAGTAATTGTTTAACAAGCCTGACTCTGCTGATGAAACCCAGAACGTTGAAGCCGGTCCGGAGCTTGCTTGCTTAAACAAATGCTGCTGGATGGTATTGGTCTGGAAAGCCGACAGGCTGATGGACTCAAATATGTTTCGATTTTGTGTGGAGATGCGTGCTGTTGGATAGTGGGGTTTTTTCTAGGGCCAGGGCAGCATACCACGTGTTAAGTTGTAGAATGTAAACAAGTAATCAGATGAAGCTACGGTGATAATAATAACAAGAGATTACGTAATGTTTATTGTGAAACTTCGGGTACAAATTACATAGCGATCGATTACCTTCCTAAAGTAACCCTAACAGCATTCACCATATAATATAGGGAACGAATGTGTGCTAGATCAACACGCCCACATAGTTTGGCCTTCTTAGAGACTTACTGTATTTGAAATGCTGTACTGCCTGAGCCATGAGAGACAATGAGCCGTACTCTCACTCGAGTTGTTTCCTGAAAATTCTATTGGAGAAATAATAGGTGTAAAACTAAATAAAACATGATTCACATACTTAGATATAAGATCTCATTCTGACGGCCAGTGGCAATGAACTGCATGCAATTATTGAAGCAATATACAACGAAAAACTGAAAGTTGGGCTCAAGATAAACAGGCTGAACAAGAGTTTAGTTCAAAATATTTGCGAAACATTCAAGTATTTGTTCAAGGGACCCTGCTGAGATCGAAATGGACCGTTCCCCAAAACGAGGAAGTAAAGAGGCAAGTGATGGCTGAGTTGGGGGGTTTTCGGGAAACGCAATTTTGTAATGAAAGCAACGTTCCTGTGTGTCTACCGAAGAATGCTTCCAATCGGCGCACGTTATGACTACTGGCTATTTCATTGCGGATTGGAAACACGGACACTAAAGGAGAAAATGGAACGACAAATTGAAAGTGTGCGAAAAGAATTGTGGAGAGATGCGTGGTAGCGACTACGCTGGGAGAGAGAACGAGGAACACTTGGGATAGTAAACAAATGCAGGTTGGAGACATAATAACGTTGACTTAAAAATAGTGCATGGGCTGGAAACAAATGTGGCTACAAGGAATGGTGGCCGATGGACGGAGACTGCCGTCGGAGCACAGGCAGCCAAAGGAGAGAAGACACCCCAGGAAGACGACCAGCAAACCCTCCATGTGCCTCTATTCGTCACCATCTGCGTCTCAATTCTCTGTGTTTGTGGTGTTTGTCTTTGCTTCTCAGTTTATCTCTGTCAGATAGATTTAGTCTACTTTTTGTATCTATCTCTCTATTCACGCCTCTGTTTCGTTGTACATTTATGTGCATTTCTCAGTCTTTCTCTGTAATTACGTAGCTTCGCATTCTCCATTTCCCTCTGCTCCCATGTTCCTTTGTACCTTTGTGTTTCCAAGTCAGTCTCTAATCAAATCTGTAAATGATGAGAAAAACCCATCATGAGTATCAAACAAGACACAAAAATGTGTACACGCCTTCATGCATGGGCAAAATTCCTGTCAGCATTTCCCGAAGACGTGAATTATTATTTTGTCTAAGGTCACCGTCACAATGAATGTGAGCAAATGTCACCAAGTGGCAGGAGCAGCAGCAGTGATGCAGCGATCGACAACTTTGGCCACAATGCACTTCTTCAGGATGTGGTTTTTGCACATGCACAGAGGCTGCGTGCTTTGACACATTTCCGTGCTGTTTGAAGCTCAAAGTCTATCTCTCCCTCCACGTCACTGCATCTTTTTACTATCTTTTTGTGTCTTGGCATTTATGCCACTGAATATCTGCACATCATTGTATATTCCCATGTTGCCTTTTAAATATTATCTTTATGTGTGTCTACATCCCTCTGCGTATGTTTCTGCTTGTGCTTCAGTACAGGGTTTTGTGTTTGTGTCTCTACCTGTACCTGTCTCTCGCTTGATGTGACCCTCACTCAGGGCCCCGTCCCTCCTACTACCAACAATACTACCACTGCTGCTTTTCACAAAAACATACGAAAACTAATTTTGTAACAAAAGATTGACAAATATCAGGAAATGTAGGCGAATGAACTTGCCAATCTGAATTACAACAAATGTTTTCATATAAATATTGTTCCTTAATCCTTAAAATGTGCATTAACACGAGTTCACCGATATGAAATCTGTGGTGCACATCATAATGTGTAACAGTATGAACCAGATGCACGAACTGTACATGATCAGCGCCGTAGCCACTGCTGGATGCTGTTGTTAAACATCATGGCCATAGCCTCGTGCGGTCCGACACTGTGATGGAACCGCTTCAAACAACGCGTGAAGCACTCAGCCTTTGTGCACTATGCTCACACCATCGGCAGCTCCTAAAGAAGTGCACTGCGGTTCTCTTACCTTGGGCCACCAATGCACTTGAGGGACTGATCATGGGTCTTGCATTATGCACAAAGGCTGAGTGCTGTGTACACGTTGTTCCGTGTTGTTTGGAAGGTCTGGTTTTCCGGAATGCACTACTTTTTCTGCTACGTGGATGGGCTTCTCTCGTCATTGATCGATTTGATCACTTTGATGCAGTATTCCAAGCAGCGCTGTGTACTATATACAGTAATAGAAAAAGTCAAAGTTATGTCCTACTCATCGCCTGTCATAGCCCGAGGCCAATTGTGGATATTCCACATTCCTATGGTGGGCGATGAGTCTATCCATGGGACAACCACTATTTGACTTCCCCACTCATGATCCAGTTCGCTCGTGCAAATGAGATCATCCTGGTCTGGAGTTGTCACCAAGTGAATCAATATACAATTGAAAACGAGGATACAATGTGTAATGGTGAACATGTGCATTATGTGTGTAAATGTGAAACGAATGTCTCAACAAGTAGTATCCGTAAGAACCAACAAACACATTAACCACTCTGATTGTGTAAGTGGATCATAACCATGCAGTGCTTCAGTGCAAGTTGCTTTTTTGGTACCCGCTGGGTAATAACACTGTCGGTTTATGCGACTAATTTTGTGAAAATAATTGTATAATCACTAGATTTATAGAAAACTTCATGAATACAGTTGCATAGATATATTGATATGTATATTATCTCATGAAGGAGCTTGCGTACATACTAAAGCTTTGTCGTTTTATATTATCCGTTGATTTTTATTTTGCCACGATGCAAAAAAAAACATTGGATCATATAAACGTAAGAGACTAACATGCTTCGTTCCTGCCTCCCCGTGCCTCCATCCCCACGCTCATCGCGGACTAGCCTGAAGAGGAGGACTCATTTTCCGAGGAGTACACTGGCACCGATTGGGAGAAAACGCTCGAAGGCGATCGAGATGCCGACTATGGCACCACCAGGAAGAACGACAGGGCTGATCATGGCGACGATGATCTCGATGGCACCGATTATGGGAAGCACAAGACGTCACCTCCAAACCAGGATTATGACTATGACTATGGCCTCGGCGAGGCCATCCCCAGTGAAGGTCCGCAGGCCGCTAAAAACAGCTGGGAGGCAGCGGCGCGTGTGAGTGCAGGAGGGCTCTCTGTTATTCTCTGCGCTGTGCAGCCCGCGTGTGTCGTCGGATGCCCGTTGTGTGTGTGGAGAGTGGAGACTGTGGGGAGCGGTGGTGTCGCCGTTAGCGCGCTGTGCTTCGAAGCTGGCAACCTGAGTTAAATTCACACTCACGGCCAACAACAGTGACGATTATTTGAACCAGTCCTGGGCCTGCCCTCGGTCAACTCAGAATCAAATGAGTACCTAGTGCGGTGTGTAAACATCGCCACTGGGGAGACAAAGGCGGTCACCCACCCTCTCGTGTGCCGTGTTCGATAACAGGACTTTCCCCAACAGTCTGTTAAGGCTATAGGGGTATCTTTGTCCTTGCACTCTGCAGTGTATTGCTTGCGTGGAGATGTCATGTAGATAGTCTGTGCATGCTTGTGTGTGTGTCAATCTGTGTATTATTTGCCTGGTAGGTAGATGTGTAATGGTCATTGCACAGGCAATAGTGTACATCTAACTCCACTGAGAGTTGAGCAAGTCGTCTGGAATGTTGTGCGACACCTTTGCCAGATGCTGTGACGGCTCTGCTTTATCTCTAAATGTACGGGTATTTTGATAAATCTGCGTGTTTCGAAATAATACTTTAATGGATTGTTAATTCTAATGCCTGTTTGGCGCTCATTCATGACGGTGTTATTAATTGCATTATTAACATCGCACTTAATGCCGCGTCTACGTGTAAACCTAAACACGCGAACAGAGTATATCCGCAGAGCAGTCACACCATGTGCTCGTTGTATTTGCGCAGCAATGTGGGGGCTTCCTCAATTCATGAACAATTTACACCTTAGGGGCCGCCCATACATGACGTCACGCACCTGGGGGGGGGTCAAACATTTGTGACGATGTGTGACGAGGGGGGGTTGAGAACTGTGACGTCACATCAAAATGCGCAACTTTAAATAAATATAGACAACACGTTCTACTTAGTTAAATAGACTTTTTAATAAATGTTTTCTCCTACAACATCAGAGTGCAGCGCCACATTAAATACGCACTACAATGACAATAGTTTAAAGCGATTTGAAGCATCTTTTTTGGGGGGGAGGGCAGAGCTTTGTCACGTCATATTTGAGGGGGGGTCTAACTTTTTGTGACGCCGTGTGACGAGGGGGGGGGGGTAAAAAATCGTCCAAAATCTCGTGACGTCATTTATGGACGGCCCCTTAGGGCGACCGTGCAGTGGTAACAGTCGAGCCTCGGAGCAGGAAGCACCTGTGGTCGATTACCGACTCCGGTACCTTTCTGTGTGGAGTTTCTATGTCCTCCCCCAGTACTGCACGGGGTAGCTTCCGGATTCCTCCTGTAGCTAAAACAATAAACCACACATTGCTGAGGGTGTCAGACAAACGTTCCAATGCTGCAGAATGACCTGCACACTACTCAATTGGGATTGCACGTGACAGTGCATCCTAACATGGCGGGACTCTTCTGAAAACGAGTCGGTCGACTCAGTGAGGCTTTCCTGGATAAAGAATCGGGATAATACGAGTGGCTTGCGGTTTGTTGTGAGTCTCCATAGGGAGACGAGCATATGGGTTTCACATTAGTGTGAATGTTGGTATATATAAAATGAAAACATTATAATTGTGTCCTAGAACACATGTTTATGTCATAGTGAATGGTGCCTTGTGGTAGCCAGGCCAAAAATTCCCCCCAGATGATTTGGACCCCCCATACACTAAACGTGTGTGTAGGATGAGGAAAAATATGAACAAAAATGTAATGCGTGACATTATGGGAAGCCAAAGTTAGGGCATATACAGGTCGCAGGCACATATGTCTGATGTATCTTAAACGCGTACAGTCACAACCCTGTGTACATTGTGGCATGAGGGTGACCGTGCTGCACTGTTGAAGCAAGCCTGACTGCCGATCTTATATTATCCCAATGCACTTTACAGCAATTATAAACGTTAACATAAGATGGTAGTGGTCGAGGTGACGAGTGGAGTTATTCGAAGTGGGGGTGGAGTCATGGTGACCAGAGAACACGTGGGAGAGGTTAAGGAGGGGTTGGTGTAGGGGGAGTAATGGGGTAGTGGTAGGGGTTGTGATAGGATTTGGGGTAGTAACAGGGGTAGTGATAAGGATATGATTAGTTACAGGAGTAGTTATTGTGGTTGGGGTAGGTCCTAGATGACGGGCGGGTCCATGGAGTAGCAGTCGCAGAACGGGCTAGGGTAGAAGAGTTGGCGGGTGTTTTAAGGGAGGACCGAGCGCCGGTTATAGTGAAGATGATTGTTTTATACGCAGTGGGAGTTCGATCCAACGATGGGGAAGCAACAAGGGAAATGGAACAAGAGAGCCAGAGCGCGCAGGACGAGGGAGGCACAGAGGATCAGTAGAGACTGGGAGCGTAGAGGGCAGGATGGGACAGAGTAGTAAGATATTCGAGAAGCAAGATAAGGTGGGGCAAGGCCTTTGAGGGATTTATAAACCAGAAAGAGTGACAGATGTTAACAGACATCGAGGGTAGACAGGGAGTACAGTGTGGTTGGGAAAGGAGAGTAGAAGTGTGGGGAGTATGGGGGAAGTAAAACATTATCTGGGCTGAGGCATGTTGTGTCTGTTGGAGAGGAGTGAAGGCATGGGCAGACACTGAATGTGCAAATCAGCCCAGGGTTTGCTGGCGTTGAACCAATAGCGCTGAAATGATTCACTTCCAGGAGGAGGGCCGTGTGGCTGATAGGATGTGAGGAAAACAACGTTAATATTTTATGCGGAGAGGCAGGCAATGGAAGCAGGTGAATTGTCCACTTCGTTGTCAGTGCAATTGATGTGGCCTAGGACTTCATCACCTCGCGCCACCCTCCCCACTGCCACATCATTAACGCACGCCTGCCCCCCAAACGCTTTGATTCAGCCATCTCTAGCTCCTTCCCCATGTGGATAGATATCCCCAGTGCTATGTGAGTTATGTAATGTGAGCTGCGGTCGTGTGCATGGATGTTGCATTGGATCTTGTGTGCATTTTTCGTTGCGTTTGCATGTTAGTGGGTATCCAATGTTGATTTGAAGATTTCGTGACTGCAGGAATCCATACTCGTTGGTTCTTTCGGTAAAGTCAAGTAAGTATAAAAAATAATAGATCACGACGTTTCGATCGCAACACAAGCAACCGTCATCAGGTGTGAAACAAACACAGCAGGAGGACTGCTGACGTAAGAGAAAGAGCTGCTGCAACCTTTCTCCTACGTCAGAAAGAACCAAAGAGTATGGTATCCAATGTGTCTATGAAATGGGTTTCCTTCGTGTGTGTGTGTGCATGCGATGCACCGGTGCATAGGATATTTCACATGTGCAGCGTACGATGAGATTGTGCCTACGTGTGTGCGCGTGCCTCTATATAACATGCAAGTGCCCGTATATAAGCGTAATCTATATGTCTGTGTTTAAGTGTATGTGCCTATGTATGTACATTTTCGAGTGTGCAGGTATCGGGAGATTTCGGAGAGAAGGGACAGAAGGGAGAGCCGGCAGTCGTGGAGCCGGTGAGTGTAACACGTGGTGACGGGGTGATGTCATGAAGATCGTGACATTGTTGGTGTAGACCACGGGGGTGATGTTGTCACGAAGGTCGTGACATTAATTGAAGCAGACTTTAGCAGCTTCAAAGAATGCTCCTGGGAAACACTGAACTAGGCAGGTCCCATTGAGCACGGAAAGCGGAGATTTGATGTTTCCCAAGTTGGGACACGGTAAGTTTTGCGCTAAGCTGAATGGTGGCCACAGTGTTTATTCATTGCCCTAGCCTGTACATTACATCAGGCAACTCAGCATCGTTTGTTTAGCAGGCCCCGCTGATGAGGTTCGGGTCAAAACCCATCCAGAGTTTGCCTGCTTAAATTTAAAAAAAGGTCAAATTTAACTTAACTTTCATCTAGTCTATTATCCCAGTAGAATCATGATACTTTGTAAGGCGTTAACTGGGTAAATCGTATTCTATATTTATATGTTGACCTCAGTTCAGGGAGACTGTTGCTTAATGATGTGTATTGTGCACGACACGCCGAAACTCGTGCTACTGAGAGATGCCTCAGCTCTGTGCCTTCATTTTCTACCACCCTAGCGCTGTACGAATCTGGGTGTGCCTTGCCTCAACTCAGATTTAAACGTGAAACGAGCGTCGTTTTGACAAATTAAAGTGGCATCACCAAAGAGACGATTCTCAAGTTGCCACCAATCGATGAATGGCGAAGGCGCTTATTATGGAATCTCCCAGTGAATATTTTCATACACTGCACATGCAGTCCAAGACCACTAGGTAGTGATGCGGGCACAGCAATAGGAGAGAATGGTAAATCATTAGTTCCCGATCACTTTAAGGACAATAAATAAGCAGACAATTCACTTACTATATTATTGTATTGACGTAAAAGCATTTTTTTTCACATCCCATCGGCCACACGGCCTTCTGGGAGTGATTTTTTTCAGCAGATTGTGTTCAATAGCAGCAAACTCTGAACCAGTTTCAATATGCAGTGTCTCATCATCAGCCAGGCTTGCTTAAACCATTTCTGGTGAACTACAAGATGCGTATAAGTCAAAAGGACTCTCTGTAGGATTCTGGGTCCTGGTTCAATGAAAAAAACTCTTACGATGCATAACACACTGTGCGGAATGTAAATAATCAAAGCGCCTCATTTTTTCAAAGGCAAACTGGCAGGGAGTTTTTGTTCTGTGTCACTCGTACCCACACTCAACCGTGAGTGCTGGCATGGCCCAGTGGTAGCACATTCGCCACTTGTCACGGAGGTTCACAGCTTAAATACAGCAGCCGCCCTGATTAATGCTGGGGTTTGTTTTAACCATCATAATAATAATATTATTCACCCATCTGCTTAACAGGGGTCATTCGCGTGAGTAAGCCGTTGTATGCTGGTGTCAGCATCCTAAGTTTGTAAAGTTACACCACAAATGACTGTTGGGATGACACATGGCAACCATCGCCCCTGACTGTGAAAAGTGTCACGACCCTCCTAAAAAAATGACGAGACTTCGGGAGGATATTCTGGGTCAATAAGCATGACAATAGTAATTTAACTATTACTAATGTAAATATATGTTGAACTTCTTGCACACTGTACGTAGCCAACCATGCTAATCTAACTACTTGAGTGTTGAGCAAAACTAAAATACTCTCACTTGATTTGAAGCTTTCGTGAATGCAGGAATTACTCTTTGGTTCTTTCGATAAAGTCTCAAATTTAGTTCTACCTGATGACAGTTGCTTGTGTTGCAATCGAAACGTCGTATTCTATTATTTAATTTATTTTCTTTTTACGTGACTTGACCGAAAGAACCAAAGAGTAAAATACAATATATTCAACATATTTTATTAAAGTATAGAAAAACTAAAAACGTTCACAAAGTTGCATGGACAGATGCATGCATGCTTGGAATGACGTTGAGAGAGTAAGAGGAGCACATGGATTAGAGAGTGCACGCCAGTTTACGACATCCACACTGTTCACGAAAGGGGGCTTAGGCAGGACCACGGAACCTCCGAGTATCACGGTTGGCTACGTACAGTGCAAAAGAAGTTTAGCGTAGAGACGTACGGCAAGGCCAGAAGGGACTATGTCAGTCAAGGAAAGGAATACATTGGAGAACCCATACGCCTAGGAGATGGAACGATGCGATAATTTTGTTTATAGGTGCAGGATGGATTGGGGAGGCATTCATTCAACATTAGATAACTCATGGCTGATGATGACGATGATGACTTAATGCATGGTTTTTGTTTTGATTTCATGTAAATTTGCTTGGCTTCTCACAATTGTACTTTTGTGATATTTTTCTTTCCTCAGGGGATGCTCATTGAAGGACCACCAGGGTTTGATGGCCCCCCAGTAAGTGATTAATTCGAATTTCCATATCATTGATTCACAGACTGTTGGGGCAAGTGTTGTGAGTGAGCACCTATTAAGGCCGGCACTTTAAACGAGGGGGTGGACATTTATCACTACGAGGGAGGGGGTGGATAGTCAGCACCACGCCCGGCCGCTTGTTTCTCCCCAGTGCTGATGTTTACACACCGTGCCAGGTTCTCATTTAAGGCTGAGTCAATCAAGCGGAGGCCCAGGATTGGTTCAAATATTCCTCACCGTTTTCTGGCCACGAGCGGGAATTGAACTCCAATGGCCAATTGCGTAGCCTAGCGCATTAACCACTATGCCACTGCTTCCCACACATACATGTTTATACGTTGTGTTTACAGATTAATATGCACGTGTGTGTCTTGGGAGTGTCGGTGATAAGCAGAGATTGTGGTGTTCGTTCGTAATTGCACATCGATGGTAACACATTTACCTCACAGCAAGAACAGTTCTGGGTTCGATTCCTAACTTGGGTGCCTTTTTGTGTGAAGTTGTATGTTCTCCCCCTGCATCAGTTTCTTCTGTGTTCTCTGGTTTTCTCCCACAACTAAAAAAAACACACGCATACAATGTAACTGTTTTTTGGCAAACAACCCAATTACTCAATTGGGATTGCACACAACAGCAGCATCGCCCCCTACTGGGATAACGTTGCAGGACCGTTCTGATAAAGTATTGAGACTCAGTGGGCAAACAATCGGTCTAGAGAAGTAGAAAAATATTCCTGTATGATGTGTCCACGTGCTGACGAGGTGGTGATTCGTGTGTCCTCAGGGATATCCAGGCCCTCCTGGACCTGTTGGGCCTGCAGGACCTTCAGGAGACAATGGTGATCGGGTGAGATTTCTCTCCACTGTTTAATCTTAAATAGAGTATTAAAATAGACGTACCCTTACATTTTTGTACTGGTTTAATTAGGGGTGTATTTAATGAGAACAATCATTAGGTAGGCAACCCAAAGCTTGTTGAAAGGAGAACTTGTCCAGCCACACAAACACTGACGTTGCTAACTTTAACACAATCTCTGCCGATTCCAAGTCCAGCACAACCTCTAACAATCAACACCACCAAGTACACGGGTTCCCACCCTGGTCATGTAACCCGGGTTTTACTCTCCAGCTGAGCTGGGTTCTCCCTCAACATAGAGCTATTGTCACTACTAAGATATTGTTATTACTAAGCTACTGTCACCACTAAGACGTCATACTGACTGAGCCGCCGCTCTGGAAAGCGATCAAATAGTTGATTTATAGACAATCAGAGCTGAGCACCATGGCTTGGCAAAACATCAAACGCAACAGGTGGACTGAGATCAGCTGCTGATCGAGATGAGACTCGGGTCATCCTCAGCGCCATTCTCAGTACTGCCCCTATTGGTGGCAGTCCACATGGTGCACTCTACCGGTGAGCTGGCGATGCTCGAACCGACAATTTCTCAATGTGGAACATTACAATTGTACTCTTTGCCAACGACACCCACATTTTCTTCTCCTTACCCTCATTTACCCCTCAGTGTTCCTCTCATATCTCCTCCTGCCATTCAATCCTGGATGGCATTTCACTTTCTCTCAATCCTTCCAAACGCCAATCATTTTCTTTATTTCGGCCTCTTGCTCTCTTGCTTGTGTTCCCACCATCTCATTCCCTTCCTTTCTGTCTCACTCCAGTTTCCTCTGCCCTCGACCTTCGTGTGTGCCCTGCGACTCTTCCCACACGTGTTCCGCCCACATTGGCACTTCTTTGCACATCTGCCGCTATCCTCTAACATCAAGAAAATCTTCCCTCATTTAAATCTCTGCTACCAAACCCCTGGTTCATGGTCTGATTTTTATCCATCTTCACTACTGTAATTGTCTTTTTATTGGTCTCCCGGCCTCTGCTCTTACTTAACTTCAACAAATTCAAAATGCTTCCATATGTGTTATTTTCAATCTCCCATTTAATTATCACACTTCACTTATCCTCCTTCAATGCCACTGGCTTTCCCTTTGTGACTGCTGCCTTTTAAAAAAATATTTAAGCAACACCTCTGGACCGGCTTTCACATTCAGGGTCTGCCTTATACCTTCACTCCTCTCCAACAGATGCAACATGCCTCAGCTGGGATAATGTTTAACTTCCCCCACACTCCCTACACGTATACTCTCCTTTCCCACCTACCGTACACTTGCTCCCTGTCTACTATCAGTGTCCGTTAACATTTGTCACTCTTGCCTTCAAATCTCTCCATGGCGTCTCTTATCTCCTTCTATGTCCCCTCTCGTCCTCTTCATTCTCAATCTCCTCTCTGCCTCTCTCTCTCTCCCTCCTTCTTCCTGTGCTCAATTTCGTTTTCAGTCCTTCTCCCTCTTTGCACCTCTCCTCTGGAATCAACTTCCCTTCCACAGCTTCCCGTCCCTCCCCTACCCTTCCGTGATCCCTAAGCGGCCCTATTTCGCTGTTACTCATTAATCTATCCTTGCAAATTCCTGCCATCTAACTCATTCTATTCTGTCGCCGTTTTTTTTTTAAACTACGTCAAGCGCTTTGAGTGAAGGCGCTCTATAAATATAACTGGTCTATAGTTTTTTCTTTGTCTCACTTCTGCCTGTCAGTTGCCACATTTTCTCAATTGATTGTATGTATGTATGTTGAACTTCTTTCACACCATACGTAGCCAACTGTGCTCATCGGAGGTGCCGGGGACAACAAACTAAACACAAAAGCAGTTTTAAAGAAATTAGTTTTCAAGCTTGATTTGAAAGTGGATAGCTCAAGCGGCTTCCTAATATCGGAAGGGAGAGCATTCTCTCCCTTCCGAATCGACCGTAGAAGTGCATCTGAAAATGCACGATGCAGTTACTGTCTTTTTTTTATTGATGGTGACATAAGACAAGATGACCACAATGCAGTTCTTCAGTGACTGGTGGTTTTTGCATAATGATATAGGCTGTACACATTAATTAAAGATTTTTCGGTCAGATCACATAAGTCAAATGTGTGTTCTAAACCCTTCTCCACCTGACACAGCTGATTAATAAAGTTGTCACGTGAACATACGTGCCAATTTATTACTGCTTCAGCACCACCACTGGTCGTGTTGAAGAGAAATCAACAACATTCAACAATTAGGTATTCTGGCGTTTTGCTCGTAGTTAGAATCAACATCAAGAGGCATTTTCCAGAATTCGCGTGTATGTCTCTCTCTAAAAAAAACAAGTATATTTACACATCCCATGAGCCACATGGCCTTTTGGATGCTATTTATTTGCAGCAAAAATTGGCTTAATACTACAAACTCTGGACAGGTTTTGACATTCAGTGTCTCATCAGCAGTCAGGCTTGGGTGAACCAATGGCGGTGAACTGCCAGATGTTCGTAGGCAAGGGACCCTCTCTATTAGATGTGAGTTTACTTATATCAGAAAGCCGTGTTGGTGATGGGATGTGTGAATTTTTTTTTATAGTTTATATGGAGACACAGATATGTGAAAGGAGGCTAATTGTCTACTTTATTTATATTTAGATTTAAAGCTTTCGTGACTGCAAGGGATTCATCTTCTTGGTTCTTTCGGTAAAGTCACGTAGAATGGAAATAATAAAATAATAAAAATAGAACATCATAAAATAATTCTCACGACGTTTCGGCCACAACGCAAGCAGCCGTCCTCAGGTGGAGAGCAGGTCTGTCGAGTAGACAGAGTCTGAATGACTCTGTATATATATTATCAGCGATATTGTGCACAACGACACGAATTATTCATTTGCGTTATGTATAACTATTCTCTCCTTTCCAGGGCCCCTCAGGGCGTCCGGGCCTCCCTGGTGCTGACGGCCTGCCTGGGCCGCCTGGAACCATGCTCATGTTGCCGGTAGGACATCACTCATGGCCAAGGCACTTCCGCTTATGCCCTGTCCTTCTAACTGGAGTAATGCTGCAGAGATGCTTGCTACGTGCAAGATTAATTTAATCGCAGTTCACAGGAGGCCTGTAACGATTCGCCTCCCAAGCAATTGCATTTAAAGAAATAAGAAGATAAGTGTGTTGCTATACAGCGGCATCATTCATGCAAATTGCATCTCAAAACGCCACAGGAGTTCTAATGCATGTAGTTTTTTGCACAGGGCACGCGGGAAACCACATGCAGCCGGCATTAACAATTGGCCACGCTCTCTCTAGCCATAATTTGGAAAGTTTGGTGAACTCCATTAGTGATCACCTTGGCGCCCATGAGAAGAGAGTTTCGGAGCACGTGTGTGATACACCAACCTCCGCCGACTCCAGAACAACTTGGCTCACTTCAAACATATTAGCTCTCATGTCTCCTCATTTAAATCTCAACATAAATGTGCCCACATAAATGTCCTGGTGAGGGGTGGTGGTGACTTTTCAAGTCTTTCATCCAGCAGTGGATAGACCATGGCTGATGATGGTGATGTCCCCATAACCAGAAAGGCCCCTTCTCCAACTAGTCTGGCTCCCTCGAGATTTAACTCAACTCCCCTTCCGAGGGCACACACCCACACTCTACCCTGACCCCTGCTGCTTCACATGGACGTATTCTCACGTCAAATACTTGAGCACGTGCATCATTCTTAAAGTTACAAAGAGTAATGGGCACTGTTTCCATAGATTCAGAGGTATGGAGGAAGGCAGACAGAACCCGGGCCAACGATAGCTCGAGCTCTGTGGTGCTATATTTGGATGTTTGGTCAACTCTATTCATGAGTCTGATACTTGAATTGCAAATTAATGAACTGTAACGATTCCCGGTCGCGATAATGTTTGTGAACACGTTATTCACGCCTTTTGTTGAATCCAGCGAAAACCGGAAATTAGGCAAAAAGCAATTGCACGAAAATAAAATCTTCACAGTTTGGAAAGGAGGGGGGGGGGGCAGGCCTGAAACAACCGCTTCTCTCACAGATCAAGGCATTCATAACAAATATACTGAAATTACCAGCGCCATTTATAAATCTATCGTGTCTATTGCCACGTGATAGGGAAATTAAGTATGTACATCTTTATCATAAAGATAGGATCGTAAAGGCACGAGTACAAATCAACGTAATTTTTTTTTATCGTGTATATTTTTTAATTATTAAAATTAAATGTTTTTTTGATAATGAAATAACGTTTTGGATTCGGACACGGTTTCATAATGTCTACGACATCGTGTTGCAACAAATGTTTGTGTTTCGATGCACCTGCTACAGTATTTCAATTTGATCATTGGAAACTATTCAACATGGTCGTTAATAACACTGGAGCCTTTAAAGGGAACGCATCGATGACGTTTTGGGCAATGGCCCTTTCGTACTTGTGGCGTTTCCTCATTTTCCTTTTATTGCCACTTGCTTTTAGATGGATGTCATCGCTCTCTGGGCAATTTAGTGGTACAATTACATTATATTAATGAATTTAATTTATTTTGAATAAAGCTTTAGCGATTCTCAAAACTATGTTTCACAAGGATCCTGCATTGGGATGTTTTGGTCCATTTTGCTTGAATATGTTTTGTGAATCAGAGGGAACGAGCCTACCCACGTAAATGGGTTTACTTCACCACTTTCTGTAATGTCACCTCCTAGTTACCTTGTAGACCAGGTGTTTCGGCAGTTTCACAAATCCACAAATCCGTTCTTCCAAAGTAAATAAGCAGACCAAACACATCCTTCCCATATCTGTCTCTACATGTAAAAAATATAAGTACTTCCCATGGGCCACGTGGCCTACAGGGAGCGATTTATTTAATACAATCAAAACTCTGGAGCAAGTTTCAACATGCGTTGTCTCATCAGCAGTCAGGCTTGCTTACACCAATGCTGGCGAACTGCTAGAGTGTTGTCCATGTAGGCTCAGTAATGAAATACATTTTACATGAATTACGATGCATATCTGTATATTGCCAGAATGTTCCTTGTATTATATACACATTGCTGCTTTTTGTCTTGTAGTTCCGATTTGGAGGAGACCAGGAGAAGGGACCTGTCTCATCGCCACAAGAGACTCAAGCCCAAGCCATCTTGCAGCAGGCCAGAGTATGTGACCCTGCGTCTGACAGACTTTCCTTTGTTGTCGAATCACCCAAATATTCCCGGACCCCAGTCCTGCAAGTATTACATTCAGGGCCAAATTAATACATAGGCTAATAAAGCCTTTAGGCCGTCAATTTTTGTTGGCCCTTCTTTAGGCTTTCCATTCCATGTTGAAGTAAGAGCTGAGAGACGGTAGCACGGCCATTGGACACTTTTTTGTCTTTGAATTATGATGGCAGCATTCATGACTCTGCCACAGCAAAAGATTGTAAAAGTTTTGTTAAGAAATTAGTGTATTGAGTTAATCTGAACCCGTGACGTGATATTCATTGCATTAATTTGTGTGCATTTTGTAAGGCCGCCATGACACAGACTTATTTCATTTAAAGGTTATAATCCCTTGTTCATCATGACGTCTCAAAAGCATTACGGATATCGTGTGACATGAGGGTTCTGCCTTTGTAGTGAGGGTTGTAAGTTTATGCTGAGGAGGGGGAGGAGGCCCCTCGCCCCCCCCCCCCCCCCATGTGGAGTGACGTCACCTGCTAATTAATATTAATGGTGGAGGGGTCCATTTGGAAGACGTCACCTCTTCATGATTATTAATGAGGGGGGCTTTTCGATGTGGAGTGACGTCACCTGCTCATGATTATTCATGAGGGGGGGGGGTGCTACATGTGGAGTCACCTCACCCACTCATGATTATTAATGAGGGGGGGTCCATTTGGAGGACGTCACTTGTTCATGAGTATTAATGAGGGGGGCTGGCCGACGTAGGGTGACATCACGCCCGGGACACACAGACATTCTTGGCCCATTATAGTAGTAAATTGTCATCATAACCAGAAAACATTCAAACGAACGTGCTCTAATCCAAACATTTACAAAGGGTTTAATCGAGCCTCATTGAGCGAGCAGACCAACGCAGTATTAGCTGCCAGCTCGAAATGTTACATCCCGTGTAGAATGAGAAGACTGTTTCGTTTGGCATTACACTTTCCAACAGAGTGAGTCATTGTGCGTCGAATGTGCGATGACCGATGCTTTTGTTTCAGCTCGCTATGAGGGGCCCGCCGGGGCCTCTGGGATTAACGGGACGGCCTGGTCCTGTGGTAAGCCTTCACACAAAGTCATTGCTTGACACCATCTAAAGAGTGTTTTAAAAGACGACATTTAGTTGTTGCCAAGTTTGCATTTTGGCCTGAATATTAAAAAACATTGAAAGTGATATGATTTTCTGAAGCAGTACCTGCTAGTTAGTGATAGTCATGATCTCAGTTTGATGCTGCAATCGCTATATGAAGAAGTGTGTATGATCTCGGATGGGCATGATTGACTGCAGGACCGTTTGGGAATCGGTCCGTAGAACTGCTGCAAATTGTAGTATTTTTTTTAGGGTTGAATTTGCCCGTAAACAATGAGAAAACCCATTACGAAAGAGACTTGAGTGCAGCACCTCTCCATCAACAGGGCTCCCAGAGGCATATTGCAGCAGCAAGCATTGATGACTGTGTTCTACTGATGAGTCCTAATGAGGACAAAACTAGTCTACTTTGTCTCACCGCAACCTGTTGTGATGGCCACATTTTTCTCAACTCTTTGAGTTGACGTAGTAAGAAACAATATGGCCATGTGTGCAGTTATTCTGAACTGGTAGTATATACAAGGCAGCTGTTAAAGCACTTTGACAGTGGCCCATTGGCCCAGAAAGAACGGGAACCACTGGTCCAATATGTTCACCGTGTCTTCGTTACACAGTGAACATGCGGTGCATACTGGGTGAAGGGAAAGCCTCATCTGCCATGCACATTTCCATGACTCGCTTGATGGTGGAAAGCCATCGTTTTGTGAATTATGTAGAATTCTGTCGAATTCAGTTCAGCACGTGGAGCGAAACGTCCGACATCGTTCCAAATAACACGCAGTACAGCTCGGAAATAAATTGTCGAGCTGCTCTGTAAGCTTCTGAGCGATCTACTCATTTGAGGACAATTACAAAAATTGTTAAATCGGGGTTGTGAGCGCATATGAAAGGTAAAACTGCGAGCGTCTTTACAGTGTAGTAGGGTTAGCAGGAATGCATGAATAACTTCACTATTGTACTAAGATTGATATTGCAATTGTGTCTCTTTATGTGTTTGTGTGTGTGGTTGCCTGTGTGTAAATATGTGGGGGGCGGTGGTGTAGTGGTTAGTACGCTACGCTACGAACCCGGCCCCCTGGGTTCAATTCCCGCTCACGGCCAACACCAGTGACGATTATCTGAACTCATCTTGGGCCTCCCCTAGGTCGACTCGGCCTCAAAATGAGTATCTGGTGCGGTGTGTAAACATCGCCAATAGGGAGACAAAGGTGGCAGGACGTGGTGCTAGCCACCCACCCCCTCGTGCCCGGCCTTCATAGGTGCTCCTAAACAGCACTTGCCCCAAAAGTCTGTTAAGGCTACACGGGGGATCTTTCCTTTTGTTTTTGTAAATATGTGCATAGGCGTGGAATATAGATCTGAAAGAGTGCAGACCTCTACAAATTAAAAAAAAACGCAACACATTCATCAACAACACTGTTGATTTAAAATAAAAAAATATATATAATCGGTAAAATTTTGGGAGATGTCTCCATAACACAGCAATGGTTTGGATGTATGTGCTATGAAGAAGGGCATTTTCTCGAAACGTCACCACTTATATATATTTTTTTCATTTTAATTGTGCTTGCGTACCACTACCAACACAGCAACACCAAATAACGTACATATGCTGAAGTGTGCGTATGTGTGTTTGTGTGTCTTCCCTTTCTTAGGGATTACCTGGCAACTCTGGGATGAAAGGAGACGGAGGAGATATGGGGCCTCAGGTAATAACTGACAAGATTTTACACGAGTGGAGAACACGTGTTCACATTTCACCCGGAAAGTCCCTTGAGGTGGAACATCTTCAGAAGCTTCTGAGTCTAGCCCGTTGAGCGATACAGCTCTTGTTCAAGGGCAACTGGGCCAGGAGACACCCCATTACAAAGGTGTTCAGGGTTCTAGATTTGAAGTTTTCGTGACTGCAGGGATCCATACTATTTGCTTTTTTTCGGTAAAGTCACGTAGGTTAAAAAATAAAACAAATAAATTAAATCACGACGTTTCAGAGGCAACACAAGCTTCCGTGTTATTTTTAACCTATGTGACTTTACCGAAAAAACCAAAGAGTATGGTGTTCAGGGTGTCAGCTGATGCACACAAAGCAAACACCCATTGATAGGTGAACAGACATTTCTAAATCTATTACCTATACAGATCGTGTTCGTATAATATAACAATGCACGACATTCTGTAATGTATGACCTCGTAAATAGCACAGTACTGTACACCATAATGACTATAGTACACACACCGATGCAAGTTAACTGCCTCACACATCAGTCGCAGTTAATTTATTTGATGGCACCGTATGATATTGCATGTACATTTTTTGTTTTAATTATTATCTCTGTGGCTTTGTCTCTACCCCTCTCACATACACAGGGTCCAAGGGGCATTCAGGGACCAATGGGTCCTCCAGGAAAGTCAGGAAAGCGGGTAAGTTGTATAAATATGCTGAAATGCATACAGCCTTGCCAATTACTGTTATGTCTGCATGCGAGCTTATGCAGTCCATTGTAACTCTCGCCGAATCAGCCCCTTATACCACTTTAACGATCGATGTCCAAGTGTGAGATCCTCGCAACGACTCCAGGTGGCGCTCAATAAAACACTGCCGCTGCTGCTGCTTCTATTGAATGTGTGAATTTGGCAGTGCTAGACTCTCTCTGGTTACACTGCACTCTCAGGGGTTGGTCAGAGTCTCTGCGGTAGCATTCCAGGCTTCCTTTCATTTTCCACTTGTGAAGCTGGTGACCGGATCCGCCATCGTGGGGTCGCACAAATTTGATTGAGCTGAGTTGTTTTTTGGGAAGCGGGTGGCTTCGTGGTGGGATCCGATAAAGGACGCCGCGACTTGTACTCGGTCTCTGCAAGGGTGAATGAAGATTGATGTTGATGTTCCACAACCACTGGGAAGCATGATGGCTTGGTTCTTAACCAGGGCTTGCCAGTTCAGGCCATGTTCCCATGGCAACTTTCTGGGGAGCCAAGAGTGCTGAGCTCACAATAGGACATCTTCCAAGACTGCCATTCGATTAAGTGTATTTTGCTTAACCAGAACTCAAGAGACAAGACAAGGATAGTCTCATGTTGCAAGCAACATGGGCCTCAAAAATTACAAGATCAAAACAAATGAAAATCTGCCCAAAAACGAAAAAACTAATGAATTAAAAATATTGCAAAAGTAATTCATTGCTGTGAAAATTAGCTTGGGCAGATGACCTCCAGGTTGAACCCAGAACAATTTTCAAAACAAATATACAGAAACATTAACATATTAAAAGTGGCTATAGTACGAACTTCTAAACAGACGAGGATACATGTGAAATGCTTGTTAATATTAGGTCGGTAAGATTTGTGTAAGTCTGGGAGAACTATAGCTGTGTTTAATTAATATAATGTTAAATAGAGTAGATCTATAAGAGGTTTTTGTGGTTAAATTGCATAATATAAATGTCGTTAAACATGCCACCACCCGACACAGCCAATTAGGAAGGGTTGTCACATTAACTAAATGTGCTAATTACTTACTAGTTCAGGAAACCGGTGCTTTGGAGAGTAATCCCACAACATTTACAATTCGAGTACGACGTTTCGCCAGTAATTGCAACATCCAGAATTGTGGAGAAATCCTCCTTCTGTTTCGATCTTAAATAGGGGGGTAAATGTGATGTCATTACTGTGAACCAATCATGTGTCAACACCAGAGGGGTTAATGTAGTCATGTAAATTACAATGTATACCTATTATTGGTGGGGTTATTCACAGTTAATTAACATACATAATCTTCATTCTCTTTATTATGTATGTACTTTCTACCGTTTTTGTCGTGGTTTATATATGTATGTTGAAAATATTTCGCACCGTACGTTGCCAACCATGCTTATCGGAGATGTGAGAGCTAAATTGTTTGAAAAAAGAGTAAAATTGTCTGAGCGGGCAGTGGTGGCTCTGCTGCACGTGGCCTGTAATCCAGCACTGTGGAGCCGGTGAGGGTTGGTAGATCACCACATAGCTGTCGTGAAATTGCCTTCCCGTGGGCGTGAATGGGCCATACCCTGGCTTGCCAGAAGATGGCAGGACACCAAGTTAATTATTCTCCATCTGATCCATCTTCGTGGGGATTGAGTTTGTGAAAAGGCATAGTCAACCATGATAAATCTAACAACAACAATAAAGCAAGTAGAAATTGGAGCTAAAGTAACTGCATTACAGAAGACATTGAAACGAGTGCGCAACATAAATCAGTATTAAATAAATACAATTTCCTGTAGCATTAATTAAACTAATTACCTTAAAGACAATTAGTAGTATAATTAATTTCCGGAAACGTCACAATGGATCTAGGGTGATTATTGCACTCGTATTAAAACAGACAGGGAAATATTATTTTTATTACATATAGGTTGTTTTTTTATCCATTATTTATTTTTGTTTCATTGTTGCACTTAGTTTTGATGCCATTGATGTTGTTAATTTGGTGACCCAGGTTACTCTCGCATATGAGACTCAACCTGCTCTCTTGCTCTGCTGTATCGTGACTTTTGTCGTCTTGTTTTGCTGTATCATAACTGTTGCTGTCTTATTCTGCCGGGTCGTAATTTTTGATGTCTTCTGTTGTGTTATGACTTTTACTCTCTTCTGCCGTGCCATGAATTTTGCTCTCCTGTTATGGTGTGTCCTGGCTTTTGATGTGTTGGGATTTACGCTCATTTGTCTTTTCAGGGCCGGTCAGGTGCTGATGGAGGTAGAGGATTGCCAGGAGAACTTGGCTCCAAGGTGAAATGAGATTAACTTCTACATTTTTTTTTATGATGCTACAATATCAATATATTTCAATTTACTCTGGCTATGGTCCAGTTCTGCAAGTAAACTGTGTATTCATTATCAGTGGTGTTCACGGTATATTTGATTAAATGTTACCCACGAGGTATGTTGAATGCAGTGGTGTTGTACTTTTATTCCTGCTATACGACTATTAGGAATATAACTGATAAGCATAATACAGAATAATGGCCATTGCTGGATTGTGATTTTGTGGCAGGTACTTTTGGCACTGGTTGAGTTTCCAATTTGTAAACAACTTTTTGATCAAGTCTGCTGGTTTTAAACAGGGTCAATCCTTTATATGACCACACCTCAACACTAAAGTTTGATTCATATTGGATCAGTTTTTACAAGATGTATCATGTTCCATTGTAATGCACAGATCAATGGACAGAACTCAAGCGTGAGCGCTTTAAACTTTATTTGGAAAGCAAAAAAAATAACCAATACGTTCAGCGTGTGTTCTGTACAATATTCTGTACGAGTTCTACTCTAAAGGACCATTTTAGATAGATTATGTTAAGAAGAGAAAAAGAGTAATGGTGATAAAATTGTAAAAAGGAAGATTACTTAGAAAACACGGCGATAACAGTATGATTTGAAAACCACTATTGCACTTAAAGTTGAACCACTTTCTACTCCGGTTGAGTATGTTGACGTTGGTGTTTCTCACGAGATTCCAAGTATTATGGTCTTGTGTACCCACCGCAATGCGCTCGTTGTGAGTGAGTATTGTCAGCGTCAGCACTCGCCCTAGATGGCAGCTCCTGACTGCCATCTTCTCCTCTCCTTCACTTCTCCTCTGCCCTCTTCATTTCCACAAACGCCCAATCTTCCTCCAGCTCCTACGACATTCCTCTCGTTATTTTCTCTTCCATCCTTCCTCCCGTGATGTCTGTATTCGTCAACCCGTGCTCTTGGAGCATGCACCTGGTCCAATTCTCCCCTCTTCTTCTGGTAACTTCCGTTATCATTCTTTCTTTTGTTGATGCCACTCAAGATTTAGCCATCGGTCGTGATCCCTGCCCAGATAACTCTCTGCGTCCTTCTCCATATCCACATCTCTAACAATTCCAACCTCTCACTGCTCACACGGAAGTGAAAATGACGGTGAGTGATGATGCTCTTGTTGTTTCCGCTAGGGGGACCGAGGGTTTGACGGATTGCCGGGTCTGTCGGGTGAGAAAGGAAACCGAGTAAGTAACACACGCAGTGGCATTTGGAACTACGGTACGAGAACACAAGGTGTAATGCAATGTACCACTACATAAAGGCGTCTTCACGGATAATGAGAGACAAAGAGGGGTACATGCATACACAAGTTTCGACGACTCCCAGAATCATACTTTGAAGTGATGGGGTATGCACAGCTAATGCACAGAAGCTGACAAGATGCCTGCCAAGATATCTGAAACTATATTTTTGCTCAATTTCTGTTGAAAATAGGAAAGAGACAGATATTTGCTGTGCCACTAACTACAGTGGAATTATAATAAATTGAATGACTTGAGGCTCAGATCTGCATCCAGATCCAGATTGGTGTAGCTTTGTTACGTTAAGCGAAAAAAGTTAACATCGTAAATAGCTCCATCATAAACGTGTGACATGTTATAGGGAAGGTCATGTTTGTTAAAATTATTATTTTATTTGAACTCTGCCAGATTGTGGTAAAGTGTATCGTTCATAGTTCCATGTATGATTTTTAACAGCACTAAACTACTATATTGTCCAAGCCTGAAATAACGTAGTATTTTTTGGTAATTGAAGTCAAGCATTCAACAAAAAGCGAAAAACAAAGATACAGTATCACGACTGCTCTTCGTGTTATCTCCCTTTCTTTCTTAGGGCGATCCAGGACCCCAGGGACCTGCCGGAGCTGCTGGGGAGACCGGCGAGAGGGTCAGTGATGAACACTTACATACACTCTCGTAGGCAACTAAGTGGCCGTGAGGTCACCACGGCGCATGATGCGTGGAAGGCTCAGCAAGTGACGGGATGAGATCCGTGGCCGCCACCAGAAATTTGGCATGAGAACGAACACTGCATTGCGACCCTTGCCCACTCCCGAAGATGTCGACCGCTCGCCACCACTGAGGCTAAAATTACGTCGAACGTTCTGGACAAACAGCAGAGGCCATTCTGGAATGGAGCGTCGCTCCAGAGGAAAGGTGCCGGGACAAATGAGGGGGCAGCGCAGACTTCAAAAATTGGAGCCTGATTGAAGATGTCACGGATAAACCTCCTGGCTTCACGCTAGCCCTGTGCCAGTGGGCACTCGTAAACTACTCCAGGAATTCACATAACCGTTGTGAATCGTACCTGATGCACGAGTGGCGATACACCTGTGGCGAACTTCAAGCAACAGAATGTATCATGAACAGTCGCTCCTTGTATTAATGTTATTCCGCATCTGATGATGTTCTTAACTGGAAATCAAAACTCGATCTACCCTCGAAAATGTTAATATCTCCATACGACGGAATAATATTGGACATTCTGGTGTTATGGGTTAATTAACTGAGGTGACTGGCAGATGTGCCTGCCACTGCAAACTTTTAGTCACCCGATCGCTCCATTCGTTGTGCGCATCGCTCGTCCGTTCTCCATTGCTGTTGGAGGGCGACCCTCTCCAACTGCCCAGTAGAGTCTTTCGCTAGCCTCCTCTACAGAACCCGATCTTGGCACCGTTTATACACACGTACACGCACACGACAACAGCTGCCATTCTTCGCTTTGTGGTGATTTCACCACCGTGTGCTTGCCAGCATAGGTGGGCACTTATACCCTCTGGTAGATCTTGAATATCTTATAAAAGGAGGTTACTGTGCAGACCCTGATTTTAGAGTAAACAGATCAGATGTGATGAAAAATAAGAATAGGTTTTTACCTTTTCTGGCAATAAAGCAGGAAGTGTTAAGATGTTCAACCACCACATAGATAACTTTGCAAGGAGGCATCAAGTCTGTGTTAACCACACATACTTGTGGCAAAAACATGCAATCCAACATTCTGTGATAATATAAGCATTATCTTTTAAACTGATTGACCTACACCAGAGACAGTCTTCTTCATGGCCTCGTTTCACCAGTGTTAGACTAGAGAACACCAAAAGGCGAACAATACAAAGATAATGCAAGTATCAGAAGTTTGGGTTGAGCCGTTATATATATGGAAATTTTTTACTATATCAAAGATCATTTTTCAAGGCATCAAGTCTGTATTAACCACACATACTTGTGGAAAAACATGCAAACAAACATGCTCTGTATGAGAAAATAATAAAAATTTTATCTCTGAAAATACATAAGCATTGTGCAAATCACGTTCCCCTGTGTGCCAACTTTCTCGAAGTCAGTCGTGGCGTAACCCACACAGCAGGCTCATCGTGGGCACACCGCTCGCTCTCTCCGTTTTGTTCTGCTGGAAGCCAACCACTACCAGTGCCCAGTGGCATCTGTCACACATTCCTCCATCGTACTTCATCCTGTGGCGAGGGTGGATGAGCGATGATAGAGCTAGTAGCAGCCTATGATCCATTTCGCCGATTTTTTTCCAGGGTGAGTCCCTAAGAGCGATGCAATTGCACCGTAAGGTTGAGTTCACATCGGGTCATCGTTATGACAGTTGTTGTGACTCTGCATTACAGACGGAGAGACAGACAGACATTATCCATGAAAGCATTCTTCCTTAGAAATCTTCAAAAAAAGTGGTTACTCATTGAATATATTGCTGTTTAAACAATATATATATTAAAACACTGTAAAATAACGTTTTCTGAGCCTATATATGTACAATGAATGCATATCATCCCTAATATAGTTTTTTTTGGTACTATGATTACTGTTCTTTGATTAGTAATATATCTTGTAACTTTTATCTTTTCACGTTGTTACAATGTGTTGCCTGTATTGTTGCCAAAGCTCCTGATTTGCTTTTCAGGGGAAAGATGGCGAGATTGGTCCCCGAGGACTGGCAGGAGACCCGGTAACAACCGATGCTCTCTCCCTCTTTGCAACGTTTTACACCGTCTAAACCTCAGTCTTCCTCCTCCCCATTGTCCCCAGCGCATTGCATGTCATGGGATCCTCCGGCAATGAATTTGAGCCGCCAACTTTGACACGGCTCGTGTAGAAATCAAAACACTTAATTACAAAGGGAGACGCAAGTTATGGTCATGAGGTAATACGGACAAATCTGCATCAAGTATCGGGCACGGGGGTGGAGTTGACATGGGGTCCACTCACCGATCTCATGATGGCGGCAGTTATAATCATGGTAATTGCCCCAGGGCGAGAGGCAATTACCATTAAATTATATATATAGGTTAAGGCTCATTAATTTGCACAGTTGATGATGTTATTTACACATTAAATATAATTGTAATCATGGAACTTTTTCTTGAAAGTGAACGACTGCAGCCAATTCATTGAAAACGCTATTTGACAACTGTTATTCACAATTAATTTTTTGATAACCATTTAGTATGCCAGGAAAACAGTTTTAGTACTTGTGCGTCACGTGTTCGGCACATTAGTGTGCGTGAATAAAGTTATCCATGAATGCAAAAGAAAAGCCAAGAAGATATTACTTAACCGAAGAGCACATTTCAAGAGGTGACTCGTGCCGAGTGGGAAAATGCAACGTGGGACCTGCAGAGGGATCGTTAAAGACAGCTGCACTCACTTTACATGTGCGTGCCTTCGTTTGCCGGTAGCTGTTGTAAGCCCTTGCTGGGCGGCAGGGTGGTGGCAGCAGCGCAGTGCTAACGCCCCTGCTTCACAGCAAGAAGTTCCTGGGATCGATTCCCGACTCTGTCGCCTTTCTGTGTGTCTCAGTTATTCCTCTGCTCTGCACAGCATTCCTCCGCGCTCTCTGGTTATTCACCTAGCTTATAACAATACTCCATTGCTGACCTACTGAATACCTTCAAATTACATATTTTGGATAACGCCTAGCAACGTCGCCCTCTACTGCAAACACTTTGCAGGACCATCCTGAAAAAAAATGTCTTGAGACTCAGTGAGGCTCTCCTGTGTAAACAAGATTAGCAATAACAATAATGATACGATGCGATAATAATACTGTGTGCGGTGTATGTTGTGCTGACAGGGTGAGCGTGGGTTGCTGGGCCCTCGGGGACCTCCTGGGCTACCAGGATCACCGGTAAAGTTGCCAAAAGGCTCTCTCGTCACCTGTCACACCAATACCATGCGTTTCGCAGAGCAGTTGTGGTGGCATCTATTATCAGAAACAGATAATTGAAGAGTTGCTCGGCGACATAGCTTTGACAGTGATGCACAAGCACACATTTTTCAACAGCAACCAAACACGTGCACTGTGTACAAAAGGCGCATGCAGTCTGCAAAACCACCAGTTCCTAATGAACTGCATTGGTTTTAAGGCATCTTCAGTTGCTTGAATAAGTGTGACCAACAGCCAGCTGTCAGACAAAAATACAACTATAGACCGGTTTCATTCTTATTCGGACTAATCAGTACAGTACAGTCACTAATGCTCACTGCTGCCAAGTCTGCCTCATACATATAGAGACCGCACTTATATCTATGGGGCCAGATCAGCGTGCCTAATAGCAGCAGCAATTGGGATATTTGACTGACGAGAAAAGCCATCAAAAGCCATCATATACAACGACAACTCAGCAGGTTCGTCAATAACTCTGTGGCCTTAGAAGGAAACACATCAATGGGTAGGTGACATTTTAGGCAATGGGCCTTCTCAACAGCATTAATGATAAACATCGCTTATTGCATATAGTTTTGTTTCCTTTTAAGACCAAATATAATTGAGGAATGTCCCGAGTATATTTTTTTTGTATTGAAGAGTTGGGGGTATAATCGACCTTGTAAGTGGCTGAAGCAGTAAAACAGATTTAAATCTGGACCCAGGACTGCAGGAATGCTGTTGTGGCATTACAGCCAAGGTGTTAAACGTTGGGGGGCTGACAGATGGTAAAGGGACTGCACAAGATAGGTCACAGCTGGATGCAGTCGGAGACAGTTCAGCAAGACACGGAGGAAAGGCTGTTCATACATGCCGCTGTGTCAGCGAAATCTTGCCTGGTTTAAGAAATAAACTTTAAACAAAGGCTGCAAACAGGTGGGACACATCCATAGGTGTACATTTCGTGTTGAGGATCCCACGACAAGGTGTTTATCAGAGTTTAATTCAAAGTCATCTTCAACCATCCATGTTTTGAGAAAACACCCATTGACAGTTATAGTCAAGAATCAGGAATCCGAATGCGTCAGTTACATCTCAGAGAAATGGTGCATGTGGGCAGGGGCGGTTTCTTCATTAGGGCGATTGGGCGACGCACCACCAATGTCATTCAACCACAGAGTCACGCTAGCCGTCACTGTGCCTCTGGATATAGTCCAATCAGCGTCATGTCACGTTCTGTGCAGTACCGCCTCTTTGTGGGCGATTTCCCTCCAGCTGAGAATCGCCCCGAGTGGCCCCATAGACTTACATTCAAAGATGTTTTTTTTCGAACGGGGGCGCTGCAATGCATTCTCTATGGCTTCCGGGAGGGCTCGCCCTAGCGTGCTTACGTCATCATACGTGCTCACGTCATCATACGTAAGCACGTTTCATCCAACAATATAATTTGTTGCCACCTAGTGGAATCTTTAATAAAATAAACTTGAGTGGTTTCTTTTAATAGTGAGTATAGAAACAAACAAGATGTATTGTAAGAGTCACTTTATTTTTCATTAATATTAAAGAAGTGAAGTTGCCTTTACATGCTTAAGCTGTTAATTTATCCATTGCATGGGTGGACCTTATCCTTATCAATCATCCAGACATTTGCCCCCCCTGAGAGATTTTGCAGGAGCCGCCACTGCATGTGGGTGATGCGTGTGCTGTGAGTTGGCGCTTGGATATGACTGTCGGGGAAAGCTGTTGAGCAGAACCGAAATGTGTTGAAAGCGTGGCTTTTTGATGGACTATGTAAATCACTTTGGAACAGCAGATGGCCATTGTTGAGAAAGGTGTTTGAGACAAGAGGTACTACAGAAGTAAAAACAAATGCTGAGCTTTAACGAATGCAAAACACGATTCATGTGGCCTTTGGGTTGTGGCGCATACTTAGGTTGATGTGAATTTCTGAAAAAATAATTCAGCAAAATAGTGGCACGTAACAGGTACATTTTGCAGATGTAAATCAGAGAGAGGAGGTTGCAATAGGTTGGACTTGCACACTGTGTGGGAGAGGGCAGACGACTGAGACAAGCATTGCAAGGGGCACCACGGTGGCGAGATGTTAAATACCTCAGTCTGGTATGCAGGAGGTTGTGGGTTCGATCCTGACTCTGATGCCTATTTATTTGGAGTTTGCATGTTCTCCCCTTGGTGGTGGATATTTCTCTGGTGTCCTTCCCATTTCTTCCTCCACACTTAGAGTATTTGGATGCAATACATTTCCACATGCTAAGCCACTTCGTTAAGCTGTCATTTGTGGCAAGGTCACTTCTGAAAAGCTCAGTGGGCCTCACCTGGTAAATAAAATGTAGTTTCAAAATAGTTTAATATGCTCAGATTCCTCAAACTGTGAGATTGGCACATGCAAATTTCAAGTTTATTTTGTTTAACCAGGTGAGAACTCAATAGACCACAATAGTCTCATTTGTAAGAGTGACCAGGGTCATTAAAATGACAAAGGCAATAACATAAACACTCAGTACAACAATTAATAAAATAGTAATCAGAGCAAAAACTACTGCATGACAGAAGAAGCCAAAAACAATGCACAAACATAGCTTCAAATTAAATCCCTACATTTCCAGTCACAAAAGTGGACTCAGACAAATTACATTTCATAAATCGTCAGAGTCAACTTCATGGGACCTCCTTTGCCAGTACCAAAATATGAGAATAGGTTTTCCCCTTTTTTCTGGCAACAAAACAGGTGTTGAGATGTTAAAACACCAAACTGAAACCTTTTACAGGGAATCATGTCTGCATTAACCACAATACTTGTGGTCAGAATGCAAACAAAAAACATATTCTGATAATATATGCATTGTCTTTGAAACTGATTGGTTCAAAAAACAATATCACGTGAGCCCACCGCGTTAAAATAGTGATCAACTACGGCAGTGGTGTTGGTTCTGCTGTGTTTCAAATCTGCCTTGTGTTCGCGAACACGGTCCGAGACATGTCGTTTCGTTTCCCCAATGTAACTGCTGCCTCAGACACAACTTAGTTTGTAGACACCAGGGTATTGCATGTCAGGAATCACATCCTTCACAGATGGGATCAAATCACGGATGTTGTGTACTGTGTTGAATCGAACTTGGATCTTGTGTTTGTTCAAGATATTGGAAATAGTTTTGGCAACACCTGCTATGTATGGCAAGGTGATGGTTTTGATTGGGTCCTAAGATGGTTGTCTCCCCATGGTTGGGGATACAGCTTTGCGGATTGTGCAGTCTGAATATCCATTCATCTTGAGTGCTTGGTGTCCGTGCTCAAGCTCACTGGCTAGGTTGTGCTGGTCAGAGATGCAACGGGCCCTATGGTGTAGTGTTTTTATGAGGGAATTCTTCTAGGCTGGATGGTGGTGGGAATCAGGCTTTAGATAGAAATCCGTGTGGGTGGCCATCAGGTCTCTTCTCAATCAAAACATCCAGGACTGGTAGCTTGCCATCATTTTCCACTTCCATTGTGAATTTGATGGATGGGTGTATGGAATTGATGTGGTTGAAAAATTGGTTCAGTGCTGGCAGGCCATGTGGCCAGATGATCAACGTGTCATCTGCATATTTTTTTCACAAGGAAAGACGTAGGGTGGATGTCAGGATGGCATCTGTTTCAAATTTCTCCATGAAGACATTTGCTACTACTGGTGATAAGGGAGAACCCATAGGGGTACCTTCATTTTGTTTGTAGAATGTACCATTCCAGATGAAGTAAGTGTTGGTAAGGCAGTGCCTCACCAAAGTTGGTACATCAGGATTCAGTCCCTGTTGGACCAAGTCTTCAATTATCGCAATGGCGTCAGGCACAGGTACATTGGTTAACAGAGAAACGACATCGAAACTGACAAGCAAATCATCTGGAGATAGTGAGATGTCCTTGAATAGAGAAACCAAGTGAGCTGAGTTGAGTACAGCTGAGGTGGTCTTGCCTGTGAATGGCAGCAGGGTCTCAGACAGAAATCGGGCCAGTTTGTAGGTGGGTGAGTTAATGGTGAATACGATAAGATGGAGTGGAGTACCTTCTTTATGAATTTTTGGAAGGCCATAAAATCTGGATGGTCTAGCAGCCGAAGGTTTTAGAGAGAGCTGCTTGGTCGGTTCGATTAGAGATGTGGAATTAGTGATTATATTGTTGGTTTTCATGGCCAGGCGGTTGGTAGGGTCTCTGTTGATTTTGGTATAACTGTCATCATTAAGAAGGTCCTGAATTTTGTTGTTGTATGTGGTTTTATCCATGATGACAGTGGCATTGCCCTTGTCGGCAGAGAGGATGACAATCTCATCTCTCTTTTTCAATTGAGCGAGTTCAAAACGCTCGTCCTTGCTGATGTTAGTAATGGGTTTCTTAGCGTTTTTGAGGATAGCAGCGATTTCAGATCTTGCCACGTCTAACAGGATGTGTCCCAAACCTTTGAGGACTACATCGACCTGGGCAATGGTATAATCATCCACTGTGATGTGTTTAGGGGTGACTGCGAAATTCAACCCTTTAATTAGTACCGATTTTAGGCTGTCGGAAATTGGGCTGTTACTCTGATTGATAACAGTCTTGTTAACATCTTCTTTTTAACGTGTGGATCTGGCTTCTTTTTGGACAGGATGTTGAATTTAGCAATCAGGCTAACTTTAAATTTGGTTGACATTCTAGCGGCTGAAGAAACAGTCATGTTATCTGCATGGTCCCAATCAGATGTGGACATCTGATCCGTTAATGCTTAGTGTGATTATAAGAGAGTCTTGTCTAAATTATCAATTTCAAATCGGAGCAGTCTTATTCTCTCTGAGATTAGAGCTAGGCTAGCCCTGAACAAGATCCGTTTTGCGTTAGGGGAAGTGACAGCGGCAATCGGTATTACCTTGTTGTCGCGGCATCTCTTCAGAAAGGTGAGAGACTCGATCAGGTGAGCCTTCTTGTCTCGCAGTCTGTTAAGAGATCTAACAGTTGTGTGGAAACCCTCTCCTTAGAGGCGGTTCAATCTTGCTTTTATCTTCTGAATATCACTGAATGAAATAATTTAAAGAGCAGATAAAGAAAAAAGATTGAACATCACTTTGCGAAACAAAAGTTTATTCCCTTCATGTCACGTGACACGTCTGCGGGAAAAGCACAAAAGCCGAGGAATGTCAGCAGCGTAGTTCCTCGTGGCATCGTGCCCGCAGATGGAGCCACAACTTTTATTTTCGTATAATGTGAAATGTCGTATCAAGCTCTGACTTTTGTATTGTTTGGATTAATCCAAAAATCAATAACATATCCTTTCACAAAACGTAATGAGCACATTTTCTCTTGATCCTAATGTTTTAAACCCATTTAGGAGAACACATTGAATATAATTGGGCAACGCATATTCTAGGCTTTTTAGGTGGCTGAGCCTGATTGGACGAAAGTCAATTTGGAGAGTCAGAAGGTGAACATTTTCTAATTAGAGAAACTGTCTTTGGATCAGTGTTATCTGTCGGGCATGGTTACTTTTACATTGCAGAATTCCCTGGCATAGAGTCTGATTGGAACGATCTCACAAAAGCAAAAAACATTGGTCAAGTTCGCAGAGTTGAGAAAGTTCTGGAGAGAAGGATGTGGTGAAAAGGCCAAGAGGCAGAGAGAAAAATCTACTTGATGACTTGAAGGAAGGAAGGAATCAAGAAGGAATTAAGAGACGTGAGGAAGAAAGCTCACGATGGGATCGGATGGAGGGAGTTTGAGCTGCCATTGAGGAGCAGAGAACTTCAGAAGAAGGCTCGAGGAGGCAGCTTCTGTGGCAACTCTAGTACAGCTTTTGTGCTTTTCAATTTCCTGTGTCAGAGACCATTGTTTACAAAAGACAACTGCTGTTGGTTTACCAGAGAGCGTTACAAATGATATGGACCCTGGCGGGATGATTGGCTCATTCAACCACACAACTAGAATTTTAACCAACACATGTATCATTGTAAGTCAAGTTAACACTTATTTAACTGTGGATATATATTTTTTTTTAGTTAGACATGATCATGTATGAACGTCTATACATTTTATTTCCACAACTGGTTAACGTTTCGCATACATATAATGATGTAACATTTATCTAACAACACAAACAACACACAAAGCTTTATCCAGACGACCAGATCAATAGAACTGCACTTGTCGTCATTTTGTAATTTTAGACCACAAACTCAAAAGAGTTGAGAAAGTGTAGCTCGCCAATAGATTGGTTTTGTCCTGCTTAGGACTCATCAGTATAGCACAGCCGTCGGTGTTCTCTGCTGCCACATGCCTGGGGAGCCTCCCATGTGGAGAGGGCTTGTGCCTTTACCCAATGGGAACCATTTGCTTGCCCAAAAGGCAAATGTATTTCCACATCATTGGAGATTTGAGTTAACATATTGTTTGCGGTGTATGTGTGTGTCTTGGGAACAGGGTGCCAGGGGTTTAGATGGACCATCTGGACCTAAGGGCAACATGGTAAGGAGCTGTTGAAACAGCAGCAGCAATGACATCACTTTATTACAGAACTATTGCCAATAATGTTATGTTACGTGACCTGACCAGTGTGATATAGATCGTGATGAATATTAATTTTTGCATCTATAACCCTCCGCTGCCTGACAAGATTGCCACATTTCCAAAGAATACATTTTATATGTGCCAATGTAGGCATGAAATTGTCACCCAAAAAGCTCCTCACTGGTTGCTTAGGACTTTTCCTGACTGAACTTAACACTGATATAATTTGTTGTAAAATTTCTGTGGAGAAAGAATAAATAATGATACTCTTTGGGTCTTTCGGTAAAGTCACATAGATAGAAAAATAATTTAAAAAAATCACGTTTCGATCACAACACAAGCAATCGTCCTCAGGTGAAAAAATACAGCTTGTGTTGAAATCGAAACGTCTTGATTTTTTTTATTTTTCTATCTAAGTTACTTTACCGAAAGACCCAAAGAGTATGAATTCCTGCAGTCACGAAAGCTTTAAGTCAAGAATAAATAATGAATCAACAGAACACCCATCGGCCTACGGCCTTCTGAGCTATTATTCCCCTGCAGGATTTAGTAGTCGTAATAGGTTTTTACCCTTTTATTTGGCACCAAAACTGACACCTTTATACAAGGGATCATGTTTGCAATAACCACAACACAAGCAGTCAAAATGCAAACAAAAAAAGACAACTCTGATAATGATATGCACTGATTGTTATTCATGTAAACTCAGGACTAGCTTTCAACAATGTCATGAGCAGAGTCAGGCCCGCTAAATAAATCTTGCTGCGTTTACAGATGGTTTCACACGTAGGCTTTTGCTGATTGGCCGTGTCGGGTGGTGGAGGGTTATTACACATATATAAATAATGCAATCTAACCCAAAAACGTTTATTATTTACAGATGGTATTGCTCGACAAATTAGTAAAAGTCAGTATGTACTGTGGTGGAGGGTTCTGGGTAATGAATAATTAGTGAACAGACAGAAAGTCCATCTGCTGACGAAGTCAAAACCAACCAGAGTTTATCTGCTTAAGCAACTTCTTATGGAATGTATTGGTCCGTAATGCACAAGGGCCTGCTGTGGCAACGTGGTACGCAGCCTGGCACAGCAGCACCTTAGTCAAAGAAACCGCACGTTGAGTGAATGGTGGTCCTTGCATTGGCATGTTCTTGCTGCTACTGAGCACGTTTGCTTTGCAGGGCCCACAAGGAGAGTCCGGTCCTTCAGGCCAGCAAGGCAATCCTGGCTCCCAGGTATGTGTCCATCATCATCAGCAATGACCAGTCCACTGCTGGATGATGGCCCGGTATCGGTTATTCCTGCCTTGGAAGTTTGACTTCTAGGTCTTTCACCACTAGTCATCATCTTCTGCCTTGGTCAATCCACTGCTGAATGAAAGCCTTCCAAAACCGCCTCTGTCATTCACAAAACTGCAATGCACAAATCCGCGCAGCACCTGCACACGTGCATATTCCATTGCTCTGTCTTCTCGGTGGACGTCTTCCTGGATGTTTTCCATTCCTCGGCTGTCACTCCGTCATTATCCCTTCTGGCCTTGATGCGTCCTGCCCAAGTCCATCTACTTAAATTTTTTTTAAGTTTTAAATATGTACTTAACCTGAGTGTGTTCTCTGATCCATGTGTTAATTTGTCTGTCTCCTATATAATTCCAAGCTTGCATCTGTCTGTGCTACTGTGCGCACTTCTCAGTTTAGTTCTGCTTGGACAATGACTTCGTTTCTGATTCAGGTGTCATAGCTGGGAGTGAGCGTTCTTTTGCACATTGCTCTGCAATTTTGCAATTTCAAGTTCAGCTTTTCAAGAGCATACCAACTCCTGCCCTTAACTTTGTCATCACTTTTATTCAGTTTTCCCCTTCAACAGCGGTTACAGGTTCAGACGTTCTCTCTTGTGTTTTTCAGTCGCAAACTTTTGCACGTGGCGTAAATGAACCTGTATTTAAATTCCAATTTCAAATTGGCATCATGGTATTTTTTTCATTTTATTGAGACAATGCGCTGGCCCGATCACAGCGTTTTAGTTTATGGGTTTAAGGTGAACGTCAGGGACAAGCGGCCACCTTGAACAATGGCAATGATGCCACTAAACCTCACCAAGAGATCCCCTAGCCATAATGTTGACATGCAGACCCTCAAAGTCTACTATGGCAGTATCCATACCATCTGGCTTTAGGTCTTCGCATTGTTTGTGAACCTTTGGGTATCTGTATCGATAACCTGCCTGCACATGTCCCATCCATCACAACCTCCTTTTTCGGATAACATTCACAGTGCTTCCGTAAAACTCCTAGCCTCTGTAGTGACAGCTGTATTCAAACAATAGATGTGTCTTTTGTAGTTGCGTTGTTCGTTTCAACCTTAATAAGCCCCCTTTTTTCAATGTCCACATTCCAACCAAAACGGTGGTTGGGACCCATCTCTAACCACTGCCGCAAAAATGTATTTTCGGAAACCTCACATTAAGGGTAGCAGGGTGGTGGCATGGTGGTCACACTCGCGCCTCACAGAAAGAAGGGCCTGGGTTCGATTCCCAAGTCGGACGCCTTTCCGCGTGAAGTTTGTATGTCCTCTGTTCTGCATGGGTTTCCTCTGGGTTCTCCAGTTTCTTCCCATAGCTTAAAAGAAAACACAATTTAACTGGCATTGGTCACAAATCCCAATGTTGAGCGATTACCTGCTCACTTGGGATCACACACAGCAAAATTGCCCCATATTGTGAAAACTTGGCATTACCCTCCTAAAAAAGAGTCTTGAGACTCAGTGGGGCATGTGTAATAATTACAAAGACTTCAGTGTCGAAGATCAGCCATTATTTCTGATAAACACTGCAATTCCCCAGTCGAGATCCTCGTTAACAAACGTACATCATCCATACGCTACAAGGGCCCAATTCATATGCACAACTTTATTTCGTGCTTTTGCGGAAATTCCCACCTATCGGTGAAATTCCGCCGACCAGTGGAAATTCTGCAAACGTGATTTGCCAAGTTCACGTGCAAGTTCCTGGCCCTGCGTCTCACATGCACACACGTGCGCACACACTCACATGCTCCTCTGCTCTCAGCAAAGGTTCCCAATCCTTAGCTTAGCACGGCATGGCATTAAACAATGATGATGAAGATATAGATGATAGCAATGATGATAAAGCTGATAATAATGTTGCGACAAGGGCAAGGATGATAATAATAACGTGACTGCTGCAACTTATGATGATCCACCAGCACCCAAACCACCAACCCCCTGTCTTTTGGTGAACCAACAACCTTGCCTCCTAAATAACTGGATTACAGGTGTGCGGTAGTGCCAATGAACACCTCAGCAAGAACGATGTCGAATCATTCCTCTCTTTGTTTAGATCTCCCATTTCCTCTCTGCGCTTTTGGCAATAATCAGCCCTAATCCTCAGCCTTGCTCTCCCTTTTGTGTTTGTTCTTTTAACCTGACCTTATCCTTCCTATCCTTGCTTCATGCAATCGGCTGTATTGTGCAGACCATACGAATAAGACTGCCATTTAAGCATATGTCATATCAACACAAGCGGCATAGTGTTGGTGCATTGGCTCGTGCACTGCACATTGAACCTGGCAACCTCAATTTGGTTCCCAGCCACGGCTAACATCAGTGGCAGGTGATATCTGAACCACTCCTGGGCCGCCACTTTACCAAACTGCACAGCATGGGGAGGCCTTCCTTTAGCAACTATTGAACATTTTACTTGATACAGCTGTCGGGCTGTGACGGTTCCACCTGAAGACGGAAGCTTGTGTTGCCTCCGAAACGTCGTGATTTTTATTTTATTTTACTTTTATTAATTTTAATGTTTTACCTACGTGACTTTACCTAAAAAAACCTAAGAATATAACTATTGAACAGTTTTGTAAATTATGATTGCAAATGTATGACTCAATACATTTGTGTCCATTGTTTTTCCTTGCAGGGTTTACCTGGGCCTCAAGGGCCCATAGGTCCACCTGGTGAAAAGGTAAGGACAATGATACAATGAGGATATTATGATGAAAGTTCAACTCATGATATTTACAGTATATGCTGAACAAGTGCTTTATTCCACAAGGAAACGTGTATTTCACAATCAATAATGATGGTGATAGGAGATCATGTGTGATGTTAATCTGATTGTTTCTCATTGCAGTTTACATGTATTGCAGTACTGTGTTAATGTGCCTGAATTATGGTAATGTTACGGAGGTGAATGCTGTTGATTGTAAAGTTGATGATGTTGATGAATACATTTTCAAATCTAACCAAATAATTGGTACATTTGCTGTTAGCGCCAATCTAAGAGTGCAAGCCGTTATGAATGGATGTGTTGTATTTCACCGAGTCGGCAGTAGTTTCTCGGTAGGGGCGGCGTCACTGTGTATTGACCAGTTGAGTCATATGCGGGTACTATTTTAAAACTTGGGGCATTTTTACCATGTCGCTGGCACACAATGGCCTACCTACTTTTTTTCATTTATGTCATGGGATGTTACATTCACCGTGCAGCAGACAGAGTGTGTTATTTCAGTGAATACACCCACAAATAGTAACCAGGGCGGCCTGGCCAAGTAAAACCGCAAACCTCCGCAACAAGAGAACGCGCTAATCCTGGGCCATGTTGGTAAAGTTATAATTACTGGGGGAATTGATTCCTGGGAAATAACACATTGGTCCTTTGATGTACCACAGCGTGTGGTGCAATGCGTGTGTCACAGATTGAATGCTCTTCTCGGCCAGGTTTGCTATGCTGTGTGAGTGGCTGTGATAGTGGCAAGGCGATTGTGACGTTCAAGGCCTGCGTGTGTGGTGCTATTATAACTGAATGATGAATCATTGCAGGGTCCAGCAGGAAAGGTTGGCATTCAGGGCCTTTCTGGATCTGACGGACCCCCGGTATGAAAACACACTCCTCTCCGCTGTCACCACCATTCATAGAGCCTCTTACCAACGACAGCAACAAAACAATCAAGAACACAGCACATTACCACAACTATATGATGAACATGCACAGAACTAATATTGTTGTTAACATTGTCAAAGTGTTCAAAAGGAAGAGTGGTAGTGAACTAAGAAGTATGCTACTTGTGCATTCTTCTTCTGGCCAGCTGTGGCGTTGCGCATGTAACGTCTTGCTATGTAAATGAATGCACGCCTGATGGTTCTTCGCCCCTAATGTTCACATTCTATAAATACACATTCACACAGCGATATCCCAACGCCATGTGTTGCTTTCGTTGCCCATATTTGTCAACGGATATTGAACAATTCGACAGAATACCACATTATCTGACAGTGTCACGTACGGTATCCGGGGGCAGTAACACAGTGAAACTACTGGTAAGCACATTCCTGCTGTGCCCACGTCTGTGATTCTCCATGCCGCCGAGTGTGTCGGTGACAACCACTGCTCTTTCCAGAGGAATTCTTCCAGCTCACGTGTTTTTAACCGGATGATTGTCAGGCGCTCGCCAGGTTATAATGTGGACATGCCCACCTCCTCCAACATTATTGTTTTTATTGTTATTACTAGCCTCATTGTTTACCCAGGAAAGCCTCACTGAGCCTCAAGGCTCTTTTTTTAGGAGGGTCCTGCCAAGTTTCAACAGTAGGGGGGCGATATTGCTGCTGCGTGTGATCCCAATTTAGTAATTGCAAGGCTTGTTTTTCATTGGGATGTTTGGACAGTACCAGTTCCGTATTTTTTTTTAAACCTTTTCTGGTCAATGTGGAAGAGTAGACCAAGTATCATAGAGAGGGTGGCTCTCTAGAGGTCCCGCGAATGGAGGCCCATCCACCATCATTGGCAATTGCAGGGCTGTATCTTTACCTCTGCTACTAAAAGACGGTTATGTTAATTATTACTGATATAAGTTATAGCTGGTGGTATCCCTTTGATGTTCCACTTGCCTGGATTGTGATTAAACGGAATGTGTTTGTGATTATCTGCAGGGACATCCTGGGAAAGAAGGCCCACCAGGGGAGAAAGGGGCACAGGTACGTCGAATGCGAGTCGATATCCACGTGGGTGCTACACTCCTGTGTATTCGTGGGATGGTTTGTGTATGTGTGTGCATGTGTGTATATATGTGGGGAGCGGGAGTGTCGTGGTTAAAGCGCTGTTTTACGAATCCGGCAACCCAAGATCAATTCCCGCTCAAGGCCAACATTAGTGACCATTATCTAAACTGTTCATGGACCTCCCCGAGGTTGACTCAGCCTCAAGTGAATACCTGGTTTGGTGTCTAAAAATTGCCACTGCGGTGACAAAGGCGGGTGTGGTGTTGACCACCCATCCCCTTCGTGTGCCTTGCCAGCCTTCATAGGTACTTGCTAACATAACTTACCCCAACAGTCTGTTCAGGCTATACGGGGAATCTTTGTTTTTTATTCATATGGAGGTCCTACCAACGTGCCAACGTCTCGGAGCCAAAACTTAGTGGGGTGGCACAGCGAGCAGCATCTGCCAGTCATCTCACTCGGCTAACCCATGACACCTGGGTCTGTCCGATCAACTCCTGCCAACAGTGAGCCTTCCACACTTCACGTCACAGCCTCAAAATGCACATATACTGGTACGGGCGTGATGGTGGCATCACCGCCACTCAGTAATAAATGGGGTTTGCTGTTGTTATTGTGTGAATGTGCAGATTTTGTTGTTGTTGCATCAATGACCACTTACCAAATTAAGCAGGTGGACATGGTTCAGTTACCCCTAGTCATCGGTGTGCATTTTATATGATCGGCAGTGTCAGTTTACTCGGAAAACTACAACAGCTGTATGGATAGAAAGTGATGGGCAATGTGCAGTGACATCCGCATTATTTCCATTCATGCCCAAAAATACCTGGCAAAACGGTACAGGACACATTTTCATCCACAGTTAAACAACACTCACCTTTCGCGTGGTCCTAAAGCAATCGCTCTTTTTTAGTACAGTCCCCTTTTTATAAATCGAGATTATTACCCTGTGGCTCAGGAAGCTGGGATTTCATGTATGTGCATATGTTTGACTGAGTGTGATGTGCATTATATAAATGCTAAACTGTATAAGTTATAGATGTAACATTTTTGTGTATGAGTTCCCCTATTTACAGCTCTACACATTTCGTATTTACAGCCCTGAGCCTGTGGTTTAAATTTCACATTCCTATGACAGGGAGAGTATTCATAGGCCACCACTGTTGCCATTCCCACAAAGTGGTTTCCTCTTTTTGTCGAACCCCAGAGGGATGATGACATGACTCAATCCTCCCAACTGGCGACCTTTTGATTGCGAAGCGTTCGCTCACCCGCTGAACCACCTGGCCGGACACCAATGCAATTACATTGTCATGACAGAATCCGAGGAATCCCTGAGAAGTTTGCATCAGTTGTGTGTTACACTTTACAGCTGAAACTTGTCATGCTAGGCAGCAGTAATGATTTGGTATTTTAGGGAATATCCGTAATTACGTTGTGCCATGTGTGAGACTTCTCAAATCTGATTGTGGTTTTCCTCCACTGTGGTGCTGTAATCATGAGTGTTTAGTCAAATTAATATTCACGTTGGCCGCAACTTACATTGTTCCTTTCAGGGACCTGCAGGTGCTCAGGGTCCTGTGGGCTACCCAGGACCACGTGGCGTCAAGGTAATGTATGGAAAATTACATCGATATCTCAATGGATAATTATACGAGTAGAATATTAACCGCTTAGTTGATAGTTGATTCAGTTCCATTATTCTTCAACCAAAAGTTGGCACATTATGTTTGTCTCAAAATTACTATCCTGAGAGTCGCTCTCACCTCAATAAATACGAGGGGCTGAAGGATTCTGGCATAAATCTGAACATGACCGTGAAATTTCGTAGCCGAAGAACTGTTGAACCGTGCGTTCCTGGTCTCTTGAGTTCTCACCGGCTTTAACAAAATCAACTTGAAACGTATATTTTCGTGAAAGGCGTTTACACAGAAATAAAGACTGATTCACCCCCCCCCCCATCTCCTACCAGCAATTTGATGAATGACTGCGATGTGAGATTACAGCACAACAAGAGAGCAGTCACGAGCACAGCGGGAGCGGGGTCAGGGCCTCCCTCCCTGCCCTCCCCTCCCCTCGGCAGGCTCCTTGCACTCAAATATTGGCGGTGCCTTTTTCTTCTCTATGGCCGATGAAAAGCAACCATGACAAATTCAGTGGCAAGTGACTTAGCCAGTCCATCTCTTTGCTACGAGTGTGTGACTTGCTGATGCACCGACCACTGCCTTGACGTGTATGTTTGGGGCATTGCAAAGTCACGTGCCTCATGGTTTGGCAGTCGTAGCCGCAGTCGCACACAGGAGTTGGATTCTACGATTCTACACCCACGCATCTGGTATCTGCATCTTCTGTGGTGTGTGCCGATTTGGTAAAGTGCTGCTGCTGTTGTATCCATGGAATATGGAGGCCCACTGATGAGCTGTGCATAGAGGAAGGTGAAAGCTGTGCGATGTGGTGGTGGGCTCGCTGATGAGCTGTGTTTGCTGAGCCCTCCGTTTGAAGGCCACGTGTTGGTCGACACCATCTCGATGCTCGATCAGCAGTGATGAGAGGTGCAGCGTGAACTCACGCGCGATGCGTGTGCGGGCGAGGGGACGGGTGAACGCTTCTCCTGGTGCTATTCATCTTTTGCATATGTTACCCATGCTGTTAAGACTACAGTGAACATTATGTATATTTGGATGTTTTTTTTTCCTTTGTAGGGAACAGAAGGGGTTCGTGGTCTTAAGGGGAATAAAGGTGAAAAGGTGAGTGGTCACTTTGCTTTGAAAATGTTTACATTATACATCCACTTTAACATGAAGAGATCGTCATTTACTCATGCAGTAATCACCACTCGCCGTGACAATTTGTATCAATGCCGCACCCTGTCGGGTATAGGTATCAGAACCTCTCATTAAACAGCACACGAACTCGGCACATCCATCAATAACACCATGGCCTTAAAAAGATAACAAAATAATAGCAGGCGTTTTAGGCAACGACCCTGCTTTACAGCGCATAGAAAGGCTGGTGAAGTGGAGTGTGCATCACTGCCAACACAGCATCACCAAGTAATTTTCCAACAAACATCGTCTGCAAGTCACCTGTCAAATTATTTTATTTAACATTTATCGTACCAATAAGTACAGCAATTATACGTTCCAGTTAATCCGCGTGTAACAAACGCTTTGTTTTCTAATGCAGGTGTTGAAGATACATTATCTACACAACTAGCAGCTCGTCAGCTCGCTGTGAATGCTAGGACCATAACCCGGCCGAAGATTGTTGTTTAACTGCCTTAACTCGCCTTTCAGCTTTTGTTGCACACACACAAAACAATCGGTAGGCGTCCTTGTGGAGAATGCAAGTAGCAAAATAAAGAAGCCTCTAACATTACTGCTTCCCGTAAATGGCCCTTCGCATAAACAATGCAAATATTTTCTTTACCCATGCCATCGGCCACACGGCTCGTGAACTGCGTGAGTTCAGCAGTACCGGTTCAACGCAAGCAAAAACTCTGGACCGCTTTCGACATGCAGTGTGATATATGGAGGAGGCCTCGTTAGGGCGGTCATCTTGCCGTGACACAACTTAATTTTCTGCTCATGCTCATTAATTCCGTGTTTTTTTTGTTGCGTGCAGGGTGAAGATGGCTTCCCAGGATTCAAAGGCGATATGGGAGTGAAGGGTGACCGGGTAAGTGCATTTCCATTTTTAAAGCACGACATGAACATACATTTACTTCCTAACAAGTGCACGTGTTTACATAAACACGTTTACAAATATGTGGCGCCCGCAAACACATGTCTATTGATAGATACACTGTCTTGGCATTGCATTATTTTTACGAGAATTTGTTGTATTATATCTTTAGTTTTGTAAACTTAGTGCATTCTGCATGTATATACCGTGTTTACATAATGCACAAATTACAAATTCCCATGGTGTAGGCGAGTATATATAGGGCAATCACTGTCGACTTCCCACAAAGCGGTACTCGTTTTATCGACCCCAGAGGCATGATATGCTGAGTCAAACACAAACCTCACATGGTGCAATTAACCCCAACCAGGATTTTAACTCGCAACCTTTGGGTTGCGAGCCGCTTGTTCTACGACTAAGCCACGTGCAGTGATGGCCAGCACCGCTGTGGTTTACGTGAAGCTAAATGTATTAATCACTCACGCGAATACCCCTTCAGCGAACTCCCAATATGATGGAAAGTCAGACATCGCCCTTTGTTTGGTGTGTCAATGATGCAACTCTTCACTGAACATTTCACAACTTCGTTTAGGATGTTACGCCTAACACATTCCACTTGGTAAATGTATCGGGCTGATGAATTGGAAGCCTCTGCCAACGTCTCTTTTCCCAAGCTCTCATAACCTCGCACAATGTGTCAACTTTCATTTATTACACTATGACAGGACCGTTTGTTGGTGTGAATGTTTGTGCCTGTGTTTCAGGTGTGAATGTGTGTGCCTGCGTTCCAGGTGTGAATGTGTGTGCTTGTGTTTCAGGTGTGAATGTGTGTGCTTGTGTTCCAGGTGTGAATGCGTGTGCTTGTGTTCCAGGTGTGAATGCGTGTGCTTGTGTTTTAGGTGTGAATGTGTGTGCCTGTGTTTCATGTGTGAATGTGTGTGCTTGTGTTTCATGTGAATGTGTGTGCCTATGTTCCAGGTGTGAATGTGTGTGCCTGTGTTCCAGGTGTGAATGTGTGTGCCTGCGTTTCAGGTGTAAATCTGTGTGCCTGTGTTTCAGGTGTGAATGTGTGTGCCTGTATTTCAGGTGTAAAGGTGTGTGCTTGTGTTTCAGGTGTAAAGGTGTGTGCCTGTGTTTCAGGTGTAAAGGTGTGTGCCTGTGTTTCAGGTGTGATGTGGGGAGCGACAGTGTGACAGTTCGCGGATTGCATTACGAACCTCGTGGCAAGAAGTTCGATTCCTGACAAACAACCAATAATCACTGACGAATATCTGAACTGGTCCTAGGCCTCCCCTACGTCGACTCAGCCTTAAATTATTAGCAGGTGCAGTGTGTTAACATCGCCACTGGGGAGACAAAGGCGGCCACGTGCGGTTTTGGCCACCCTGCGTGTGCCGTGCCGGCCTTTGTAGGTGCTCGCTAACATCATTCGCCCTTACAGCGTGTTAATGCTATGTGGGGGATCTTTGTCCTTGTTTGTGAATGTACAGGGCGAGGGCGGCCCTGCAGGAGTAAGGGGAGAGGATGGACCAGAGGGGCCCAAGGGGCGCGCAGGCCCTCCTGGTGACCAGGGTCCAGCTGGCGTGGCAGGAGAAAAGGTACGATGATGTGTTTAACTTGTACCGGGTAATCACGTCCCCAGACTCACTCACCCAATGTTTGGCTGCGTCAGTGGCTTGCTGTTTAATTGTGGGTGAAACCTTCGACATGTTTGGCCAATACCAGTTACATTGTGTGCTTATGAGATTACACCGGAGAACCCTAAACAGGGAGAGAACATATAAACTCTACGCAGAAAAGTGCCTAAGTCAGGAATGTATCCCTGGTGCTTCTTGCTGTGAGGCGCGAGTGTCACCACTACGGTGCCCTAAACCCTGGTATTTTCTGAAGGAGGCGAGTCGGCAAAAACACAAAGATATTCTTCTCCTCTCAGCAGCATTGATTCAAAATAAGCAAACTCCAGATCAGTTTTGTCTGCAACGATAAAACAAACCTCCAGTTGTTGAGTGAACCTGTTATCGCCATGTTTCCCAATCAAGTATGTAATTTGCAAGTAATACATTTGCTGTGGTTGAATAGAGGCTTGCTAACTATATTAATGATTTATTATAATTTTTACACTTGTTTGCCCAGAAATGTCTTTAGACAGTTTTTTTTTAATGTTCTGCTGGGTTTCCGCAGTAATTGGCGAGTAACTTTTCAAACTTGCCACATATCCCCACCACACAACGATTGACTTCAAATGACGTCACGTGATCTTTAACGTCTACCGTACAGTAGATGCCGTAAATTTTATGGTTATGCACCCGCATTATTAACCAGGACAGCCTACTAGATTCTAACCGCAAACCTCTGCAACAAGCGGTGAATGCGCTATCGGGGAACCATGGATGGATAATGCTAATTATGGACTGTCCACCTCAAATGCGATGTCACTATGGAAATCTATTTTGCTTCCAGGGCAAGCTGGGAGTCCCAGGACTACCTGGGTATCCAGGGCGTCAAGGACCCAAGGTGAATTTACCAATGTTACACCCACCACGATTAATACTGTACGATGTTATTGTGACTGATAATCATAATGAGAAGTTAATTTTCTTGGTATAGCCCACTGAGCTACAAAATTATTTGCAATGGCGACTTGGCTGGCAGATATCGAAGCATTCCACAATTAATATTAAATCATAACCATCATCTTGTCACAACACAAGCCACTCTCGTTATTTTTCTATAGCTTTCATCAATAAATGTAATGTAATTAATGTTACTTCTATGTCAATACAGGAGATTACGTGGTAATACTGTAAAGACAACGAGCATAAACAGCAGTGGGTTTTGAATCACACGAGTGCATTAATTTCCACAGAATCAAATGACTTCTCAGTCCATTCATGCCAGGAACAATGGTATTCGACGTTGATCTGTCTCTTCCTATAATCTGGTTGATTGTGTGCATGTGTTCAATGGTTGAAACGTGGTTTCCGAAACACAACTTGCTCGTGTATGTTATTTATTTTATGCTGCTACTTCGTTGACAGTGGTGCACAAGCATATAATAACAATGCTTTGCTATATTCTATATGGTCCATTAATTTAAATCCATCATCATTGTCAGCCATGGTCAATCTGCTGATGAATGAAGACCTCCCCAAGTCGCTGCCACCTCTCCTGCAATGCGACGGTCCATTCACCACCTGCACGCTGAATGATTTAATCGCCCCATCTCCTCAGTAAACGTCATCTCGGACCCGTTCCCTTCCTTGGCCACTGCTCCGTTATTATTCTTGAGCATTACCAAATATCCCTTCTGACCACGAAGTACCCAGCCCAAGCCCACTTACCTTTATTAACTGTTTGGTTGATGCCATGAACCGTTCACCTGGGTGTGTTCTCTCATCCACGTGTCCCTCTTTTGGGCGTAATTACATGCTTCTATGCATGCTTCTTTGCCATTAATTTAATATTGTGATATTGTCTGTGTACTTTTAATTTAAAATGACCTCGTAACATCATGCCATAACTGCCCTCACAATTGTTGTCATTGCCACCTTGTGTTTTTTACACATCAGCAATGTTTACCTTTTTTTTTTTAAAACACTTTTATTTATTGCAGGGCTCCACGGGTTTCCCAGGTTTTGCCGGAGCAAATGGCGAGAAGGGTGCACGAGTGAGTGCCTTCGCAAAACAGTGCCTCCCCGCACACACACACACACTACACGTTTGCTTTTAGTGATGCAGCAATGGGACATGTTCTTTTTTCATATAATATGGAGATGTCTTGAACCTAAACACCCTTTTGTGAACAGGACTCTGACCAATCCTTCTAGGAACCAGAGGCCTGAGCGCAGAATGAATTAATGCAGCCTAGAAATGGCATAAGCTTGGTTCATGATTTGTCATAGGCCCAGGTTGATAGCGGAGTGAAAGACAATGTGGCATACTCGTGTTAGGAGCGACGTTAGGAGTAGTCAGGACCACTTGAAAGTCGATTGTCAAAGTAATCAATTCAATTATAATCATTGAATAACATAATGTGAAAATGTATCATTTATATTGTTAAATGAATACATTCATACAATAATAAGTAATGTAACCAACATTCATCATATAAACATCCTTCCCTCAGCCACAGACCGGCTGAAGTGCACATAGCGATAACGCCATGGTCATCATGTTACATGGGTGACATCATGGTGGCCATATTACAAGGGGGTTGGCTTCCTGGAAACTGATTGGGGCGGAGGGAGGGAGTATGTCATCCCTAACAACCACTGCCACACCCATATCACTGCGATCTCACTTGGATTTGCATATTCCCTTTGAATTTTTATAACTTTTCTCTTATAACAGTTTATAATTGTACTAAAATCGCAGCTACCCAGGTAATACTGCTTATTTAATTATACATGTTTTTTAAGTTAATTATCAGAGATAGGAATTACTTGGTGAATTTTCTTTACATTTGACCCAGACAGTCCGGTAATTGGTATCTGTGTTCAAGTGACAGGAATTAATTTGCACCGACATCTGCTGGTTTTGCGCCGAACTTCATCATAGGCGACTGCATAGTTTCGATAGACCTATGCTAGAGTGGAAAAAGTATCATCCTTACTTTACAGTTATCATCATATTTAAATGAATATTGTTATTAAATGAGTTTTTACCCCTCCTCTACCCACAACCCCCTTCACCTCTCAGGGCTCACATGGAAAACCTGGACCCAGGGGACAAAGGGGACCCACTGTGAGTTGTTGAGTTGAATGTGATCCATTGCATTGATTCAGTCTTGATTTGTTGATTTGCTTCAATGTTTGCTTTTAACGGTGTCCACATGCATGCCACGGTGAATAACTTTTCTCATTGTGGTAATTGCCTCGTATATGTTTGCACACCGTTATGACTGACACAGAATAATAATAATCATCATCATCATTGTGGAGAAAATTGGCAACAAAGTAAATAATCAGATCGTTCGTCTCCTTCCAATGTGTCCCTCCACGTAACAATTAACAGTGTATTACCCATACCATCATCCACACGGCCTTCTAGAAGTGCACCTTAACAGCAGCATTCGTTCAACACGATCAAACTCTAGACCGGTTTTGTCATTTAGTGTCTCATCAGCAGAGTGGGGCTTTCTTGAACCAAAGTTGCTGACCTACAAGATGTTTATAGGCAGCAAAGACCCTCGACAGAGATAGTGGGAGATGTGTAAAGCGTGAGATGTTGGAGATATGTGGAGAGTGAGATGGAAGATGCATGCAGAGTAACTTTGTCTCAATGGAGATTTTTCGGGACCTAAATAACTTAGTTTTATTTAGGAAGATTGTTTAGCCAGGAAAGCCTCACTGAGTCTCAGTGCTCTTTTTAAAGAAGGGTCATATCAAGTTAGTCCGAGTATGGGGAGACGATTGCTGGGCATTATCCAATTAGGTAATTAAGTAATTTGTAAGTAATTTTTAAAATTTGACGCCAACACACAATGGCCTATGCTGGTTTGAGTGATGTCACTGTATCTCGAACGACTAGGTAAAGCAGATGGCACCTGTTTTTATAGCTAATACATCCACATTATTAATCGGAGTGCACTGCCGGATTCGAACCACAAACCACCGCAATGAGCATGCTATCACTGAGCCATGTCGCCGCCACAATGAGATAAAGGATGCGGCTAAATGTTTGAAATGGGAACGTGAGAACCAGATTATACTATACGCGATGTTTCCCGTAATACGTGCGGGTTCAGTGTTATAGCGCGCATTGAAATCCACGCATGTGCAACAGGGTCCACGTGGGGAGAGGGGACAAAGAGGACCCACAGGCAAGCCAGGAGCCAAGGTAACGTCGTTTATACGTTCAACTCTTTACATCCAAGTCAACTACCTTTTGCTAAAATTGTGGACAAATTAAAATAAATGTTAAATTCAGGAGCTCGCTCTCATTATATTACTAAGGGTTATAAACCCAGCCAGCTAAAGAAGGGTCCTGTCACACTCTCATGCAATTATAACCCTCAATATATTCTAATGGTTATGTAACTTTCACGATTAATGTTTTTTTTAAGTAATATGACCAATCCATGTTTCATTATAGGAAAGTGATTTTACATAAAGTTGATATATGTTTGTGCATTGTTTTTATGAGTTTTTGTTCGTAAGGCAGCAGTTGTTTTTTTCTGGAATTTACATTTGGTTGCATGGGCCCTAATTTGTTTTTGGTTTTGTTTGCTTTGATTTCTAATCCGTTCATTTGTAGTGCTTGGTTTTTATGTTAATGCTTTTGCCATCTTGGTGACGCAGGTCATCTTTGCAAGTGACACTCTGCCCTGGTGTCTTGAGTTCTCAACTGGTGGAACAAAATAAACTAAGCATTCGCAGTACACTAGTCCCTCGGTTAATAGTGACATTGGTTAATGGTTTGTTGGTTAACGTTTCGCCTCCCGTAGAACCCCCATGGTTTTGACAAACGTTAAAAAATTATTTACAGCACGTTTATGTTATGGACATGGTGGCGCCAATTTCGGCCAATCCGAATGCTCGTAAGTGGGGCTGAGACACTCAGCCACGCCCGTTTATGAGCATTTAGACCTTGACTGTCTTTGTTCACATTATGTTTTCTGTTTTGGCAGTGGAAACAGCTTACTTGCAGACTCGGTGATTTTTACTTATAACATGTATTTCCTATATTCGATTAACAATTATTTTGGTTCACAGTAGTTTTTGTGGATCTGATTAAAAACGTTAACCGAGGGACTACTGTATACAAACGGTGGCCTAACTAATCTAAGAAAACTTGACACGTGATGTTTGTGTCCAGGGATCGTCTGGAAATGATGGCCCACCCGGGCCTCTCGGAGAGCGGGTGAGTCACCTTTCGTTGTGTTTATTTGTGCTTGTGCTACTTGATGGTGGTTGTGTGATCATGTTCGTGGTGATAATTGGAGCAATGGTAGTTCCGTTAAGATTCATGAAATAAACAATACAAGTGAGGGGGGGGAGGTTAGAAAGTAAACAGAAAACAAATTACGTGAGACATGCTGAGAAAGAGGAGAGGTATACATAGAGATGGCAATGTGAACCAAATGATTGAATACTCAAAACTCAGAAAAATGGATAGAGAATACAAAGAACAGAAATCGGAGAACTCGAATATTGTTAAAGATGTCACAAATTATGATTGACAACTCACAAAAGACAGCCGCTGCAGAGAAATGTGGACCAGAGTACATGACAGGGTAGAACATTCACGTGTACACAGGTCTCTGTTACGAAAAAAAAACATATTTCAACCAGGGAATAAAAGCATGTTCCATGTGAAGATGTGGGTTCCACATGTCACACTGAAGAAGTCAGCTCTGGCAAAAAACTTCTGGACCAGCTGGTATAACTGAACATCATCAAAGATCCGGGACCATTTGTTGCAACAAAAGTAGCAGAACTATTTATATTAATGTCACGTAAATAAGGACCTGAATTGCCTAATGTCCCATTCTTATTTCAAAAACGTGATGAAACTTCAATAAATAAAAGTAAATTACAGATCAATCACTCTATCGCCATTCATCAGGACCTCAATAACCTCCCTCGTCATAGCTTGAAGTCATACCAAGCCCTGTTGGACCCACGCGCTTAACCTTTAACAATGCGAGTTTAACCCCAATGAAGCTTGGAGAGCTGAATGAAGTTAAAAATAATTCACAAACAAACATCTTGTGAAAACCCAACGCAGAAGATCCCTGGGTTTGACTTCCATGAAGTTCATGGTTCACCATAAGCCACATCCACTGCACAAACCATGGCAACAGATGGGGATACCTGATGCACAAATGGGAAATTAAAACGTTCCAGTGTGCGACTGTGGTCATACAGAACAACAACGTATAATGACGCAATGCCCGATCTACAAATATGAAGGAGATATCACAGCGATACACTCTGCTGGCTTTTGATCGCCTGAATGTGAAATTGTAGTTTTTGCTCTGCATATACATCAGCAGCCATATGACAGAAGAGGAAGAAGACCACCCACTGTGCAAATTGTTCACGAAGATCGTTGGGAGTAAAACAACGTAATTTTTTAAGATCAATCTTCTGAGAAAGCTGGGTTCATCAAAGGTTTATATCCCTTCGACCACATACAATGCTTTTAATCAAATAGCAGAAATGAATAATGAATGTACACATTTGTCTTAGTGTAATACGATGCATTCATTAAAGTGCTCACAAACCATTTAGAGGCAAATCTACATAAATTATCATAACCATGTACAGAGATTGAACAGTTCGACTGAGATTGCATTATACATACATAAACAACAGCCATTCACACAACAAGGTCGCTAAACAATTGGATAAATCTGTCAGCAGGGATGCAACACAGCAGGCTACGTGTTCACATCAGAGTGTGTGTATACGTGTATACTTCCCGCTGTGACATAGGGATCAGATGAATGGACATTGACACAATGCGTCATAATCTGACAATTGCGCAAAGAAGTGTGTGTGGGTCGATGCTTGCTTTGAGTTACACTGATTGGGCAAGGAGCACGTGAATTAGAGAATGTTCACAAGGTCGAGACATGATTTTGACTGTTAAGAAGAAGACGTGCTCTGGGCAGTGCACATCTCCATAAGGGATGATGGCCAGTGGCAGCCGAAGGAGTGAAAACACAAGAGAAAGACCACTGCGGAGATGGAGCGCGTGAAATTCACTCATACGTAAATGCTAGATAGATGTTTGCATCGCACTGCCCAGGAGTCTGTTGATCATGGTCAATGTGACAGCGTAAGGATTGTTAAGGACTTGAGACAAATAAAAAAGGCAATTTTTTCACTCAGGCAATCGGAGCAAAAAAGGTATCGTTCCTGCTAGGTTGGGCATTGGTACTGATGTTGGTGAATGGGGAGAGTGACGATGCTTATGATGGTGTTATTTCAGGGTCCTGATGGAGCTCAAGGTCCTCTGGGGCCCCCTGGACCTAAAGGCCCCCCTGTGAGTTCATACACAGTGCCGGTAGAGCTTGGTAGTGCATGGGACATGAGGATCACGACTTTCAGATGCCATCACTCTTTGTGTGTCGTCACATGTGGACATATATTACATTTTATACTCAATTGAAAAACAAAAAAACGGTAGTATGTCTTCAAAGTTATGCCGAGCACAAGCTGCTCAATAATATTACACACAATGTTGTTTATTTGTTTGATACGGCGTCACTCGTGCAAATTGCATCTCAAAATGCTGCAGAATTTGTGAAGCGCAATTTCTTGCATGGAGGTTTTTTGAAACCTCAGGCAAGCGGTAAGGCAGCCAGAACTGGTGCCAATAATTGCCCAAGCTCCGTCGTCCTATATTGCGATGATTGGCCAACTCCATCCATGAGTGTTTATACACGTGGAAGGAAACCGGTATACCCATAGAAAACCTAGGCATGCACACATATACAATAATATCAAGTGATCCTTGTCATCTCATGTGAAACAGATGGCTCGTGTTGTTAAGGTTAATACAGCTGCAGTAATAACCAGGATGGCTTGCCCAAATTGAACCGTGAACCTCTGCAACAAGCGGCGACCACACTTCTGCTCGGTCATTTATACTGCCCTAAATGTGATCGCGATGTGTGTATATATATATGAAAGTGATTATGACGATGATGATTAAATACTTGATAACGTTTAATATTCTTAGGGTCCAGCTGGAAAAGATGGATTGCCCGGACACCCAGGCCAGCGTGGAGAAACGGTAGGACGGGATTTTGTGAATTGTCACATATAGAGCTTCACAGTCAACAATCTATGCAACATTTAAACAGTTCTGTACTGTAGCGTTTAGAAAACCAAAGTTTTGGAGAAAAAAAACCTTGTCATATTTACCCAGAAAAACCTCACTGAGTCTCAAAGATATTTTTCAGGAGGGTCCTGATAAATCGACACTCATACTCTGCACTATGCTAACTGTTCTCATCTGAATGCTAACCCTTTTGTCTTCTGGGTGTCTAAAACCCCCTGTCATCCTGGAGGTTGAGGCTCTGTAAGTACCCAGTTCCATTCTGTTGTCAGTACTTTTTTATGTTACTCTCTACATTCACCTGGGATTAAACATCTTCTTCCTTTGACCTATGTTCATAACTATTCATGGAACTACAGTGTGGAAGGTTCGGCGTGCGATCATCGTGTTTTATCCACTGCTTGATTTTCAAAGCTCTTCATATTTCATGCAATTTCATTTGCTCCATTTTCTTGAGTCCTTGTAGTGACCCGCACACTGACCTTCACACGTGCAGAGCTTTTCATGCTGGCATGACATTACTTTTGCCAGGTGACCATTACTTTAACCAAAGTCTCCACAGGTGCCACCAAACATCATCTCTTGTTACCTGGTGTCGACTTTGTCAACAACAGCCTCCAGTGATGTTACATTGAGAAATCAGGGAACAGGGAAAACCGGACTAAGACAAATTTTGACCTGCACTCCTCAACTCTGCGAGGTGCAGTAGAGACCACCGTCTGGACTCTAGTGGCTACAGTCTCTGTCAGACGAATTTTGCTCTGGAGAGGAGGATTACTACTTGATGTCAGCGTTTTGCTCCATGGATGGACCGGTGATAGAGTTTGCAGGTCCAAGTGACCAACCGATGAATAAGCTTGAGTTGAGCATGAGAGAAAGTGACATTGGAACTACCACTAGAAAGCGAGCACGTGTTGGACTCTCCAACCAGATATTCATCCAATAAAATTGTGGTGCAAAGAATTGTCAACTTGTTCAGCAAGTCTTTGCTTATTTAGAATGGCAGTGCAGTTGGAAGGTCTTACGGATGGGAATAACATTCTCTCATCCTTTGAAACCACTACTGCGATACGTCACCGTTTCAAGACCCATCAGCAAATGACGTCATGAAAATCATGACAAATGACATGACAAATGCTATGTTAAAATCCTGTGCACTTGATTTTCTTCCAAAAATACGCTGAGTTATGTGTGAAACGTCTGCCATTCCGAGTGGACATTTCCAATGCATCACTTCATCATGGCCAACTGCCACTGAGTCAATGTCGACCCTTTTGATATGAAGAACTACAGACCAGCTTCCATCCTCGCCTTCATGTCAAAGATTGCTCAGATACTGGTCTGTCACCAGCTTGGAGCAACAAGGCCTTTATTCGAAGCCTGCAGTCAGCCTTCAGAAGATACCATTCAACAGAGACTGCCATTCTCAAAGTCGCCTCAGGCATGCTTCTCACATCTGACCATGGTGATGTCGGCCACTCGCTCTACTTGATCTGTCGGCTGCTCTCGATACTGTCGATCGCAACATCCTTGTCGATTTTCTTCATCAAGCTTTCTGCATCTGTGGATCTCTGCTGTTGTCGGTCAAGCTGTTCATACAGCGAGTCAACAGTACGGTGTGGTTTGCCGCAAGGACATGCGTTGGGCCGGTTGCTCTTTCTCCTCTACACCGCCGACATCATCAGCATCGCTCATTGTCATGGTCTCGGTTGTGTGTTGCTACGGTGACAACACACAGCTCATCCTTCACGCTGGAGCTGCATCATACGTCGCGCGGCTTCCACGCTTGTGTATCAATATCATTGACCGGTGGATATCAACCAGCTGTCTGAAGAAAAAGGCAGACAAGACCCAGTTTATCAGACTATGACACAGACAGCAGCTGGCTAAGGTTAACTGTCAGACCATCACCGTAAGCAGCGTAGATATTTAGCTGGCAATAGATGTCACGTGCCTAGGAGTTGTCCTCACCAGGGAACTGATGTTTGTAGTAAACATCAGGCAGTTGGCTTACGAATTAATTCACCATCTCCGGCTGCTGCGCCTCAATACATTGCGTATTTACTGCTAAAGCGACCAAGAGACTTGTTCTCGCGTTGATCATTAGCCGCGTGGACGACTGTCATGTCGTCTTTCGTCACGTGGTTGCTCTTCGCCTTTGTCACCTTCACTTGGTTCTGCACGCCGCCACAGGGAAGCACAAATATGATCACATGACAGCGACTATTCGTGAACGAGCTGCATTTGTTGCTCGTTCAGCAGAGGATCGCTCACAAGCTCTGCATGTTGATCCACAAGTGTTTACACCAATCGGCATCATCTGATCTGGCCGATATGCGTGAGCAAGGTTGCGGCTTTCCGCCTATGCCAGTCGCCATCGACTCTGGCTGGCGGCGCACGATGACCTGGCCATCCCATGCACCGAGACTTTGAGATACATACAGCCCCCACAGTTCCGCAGTGCCTGGCCCCATCTACTCACATACCCGCTCACCCGCTCGCTCACCCGCTCACTCGCACATGTTCCTGGTATCTGGCGAATTTCCGTGGAACTCATCGCTGGTGACTGTGCGTGATCTGTCTCTCTCAATCAGTTCTGCAGTAATTGGCTCGAGAAAGAGATGTTCAGTAAAACCTACAAGATATAACCATAGCGCTGAAAGATTGGTGTGAATTCCCCAATGCACTTGTTTATTTCATCGATTGGAATGTTGGTCCCGACTGAATTTAGAACGTGGAGCGTTTTGCTTGGTTGTAGGAGGAAACCCGAATACCCGGAGGGAACTCGCTGCACACACGTTTAGGCAATAGGCAAAGGTGTGATCCTGCAATGGCTTTGCGCGTGCCACTGCTGGTGGAAGGATCTCCACGAGAGGGAGTTCTCAAGAGAGCCATGTAGAGGGCACTTTCTCTCGTTTTCCACTCAGAGCTAAGCTAGTGTTCCCATGCCACTGTGTTCCCATTAATAAGTGGCAAAAAGGAACTGTGTGTATTAAATGCACATGTATGGAAACGTTTATGGAAACATTTTAATTGGTGGCATTTACATCGCCGCAGTGAGATATCGGCATGGAGCGGTGGCTCAGTGATTGGCGCACACTGTGCTTAAAGTATGGGGGCCCGATTTTGATTCCCAGCCACGCTTCATGAACAAACACTGACCGAGCATGCGAATTATGGTCAAACAACTCCCATGACCGAAGCAGCCTGGGGAGGACCTCATCCAGGACTGGATTGTCAAATGATTTTAAATTCGTTTTTTTTTACATTTTTGTCAGATATTACTTTATCAATATGATCAATGGAATGTAAGTTTTTTTTTTAATAAAATGTATCCAGAGTATAATTGCTGATGACCCTACATTTTAGTTGTAATGCAAATCCTTTTCTGGTATTTTTAAAGTAACGTGATGTGATTTTCTCGTACCGTTCTCATGTATTCCTTACGAATAACTGATCGAATCTTGGGAGTAATAGCACGAAACTGTGATTTGCACTGTTGTACTAACACCTGCTTTTGGGAATGATGACTGTAACACGTGACTTGTAACGCACTTCTTCCCAACACTACGTAAACCAACATAAGAGCATCACGCGTTACTTGTGCCATAGGATGACACGTGTTTATAATCCGTGGTCCAAATGTTAATGTAGAGGCGCCGTTATGCCACCTACTCGTCCTGCCGCCCACATTCACTGACACAAGAGACGCACACTCGACACAGACACTCCCACATACACTCAGACACACAAAGATAAAGACCCCCCGTATAGACATAACACACTGTTGGGGAAAGTGCTGTTAGAGAGCACTTATAAAGGCCGGCGCAGCACACGAGGGGGTGGGTGGCCAACACCACGCCCGGCCGCCTTTGTCTCCCTCGTGGTGATGTTTACACATCGCACCTGGTACTCATTTGAGGCCAAGTCGACCTAGGGGAGGCCCAAGACCGGTTCAGATAATCGTCACACTCTCACCCTCACTCAGACCTACACACACTCCCATGGTGATATAGGAATAGGAACCGTTATGAAAAGTGCATGCCGTCGCATACATGAGCACTGTTTACAATTAGAGCAGTCCACATCGATAACAGCTTACACAGTGACACCTGAAACATGCACCCCCCCCCCTCCCCATTCATGCCCGTATCCGAGTCAATCCTCTGTGTTTGTTTGCTCAGGGATTTCAAGGCAAGACAGGACCCCCGGGCCCCGCGGGAGTCATCGGGCCCCAGGTGCGCAGCGTGACTACGTTTTTTTATTGTACTCTGTTTTATTGTTTGTTCGTGAAATATTCCGCCTGGAACATCGCCTTTTAAGGTGGGGGATGTCTCATTCCAGGTGTGCACGCGGCAAACGCGTAATAATGACTGCACGTGTAGTACAACACATGGTTAAACCTACAACTTACACAGTCCGTATTTATGCAGTTAACATCACGCCCAGTCAAAGTAGATAAATAAACACACGTGTGGCTGAGTGGTGCCGGTTCGTGTACAACGCGCGAGTGTTGTGCGAGTGAGTTTTAAGATTTAAATCAGTTGAGACTGCTGGTATATTTCAGCGTGCCACTTTTGGCAGAAACTCTGAAATTATGTTTAGACACGGAATACAATAAATAAGCAGATGATACACCTGTACATGTTTGTCCCTCCACTTTAACAAAAATATAATAAAAGTTGTACACATCCCATCAGCCACCCCTCCTCCTTCGAAGGGGCATTGCTTAAAAGCAAAACATCTGTAGACCAGTTTCGACATTCATTGTCTGATCAGTAGTCAGGCTCGCTTGAACCAATGCTGGTGACCTGCCAGTGGTTTTAGGCAAGAACCACCTCCATTAACAATGGGTTCTTATTTGACGCAGAGCTAATGAATACACAGCACGAACTAATAATTAACGTTGTTGTGGAGAATAGTCAGATTATTTACTTTCTATATTCTGCACAACGATTCTAAATGATGATTTTGCTTGAGATATGTGGTCGATTCCCACCCCCCGGGTTTGATTCTCATGATTGCTGGCTTTACCGCCCCGTGCGTGTGTGTGTGATCGTGTGTAATCATGTGTGGCGTGATTGTCTGTGCGTGATCGTGTGTGATCATGTGTGGCGTGATTGTCTGTGCGTGATCGTGTGTGATCATGTGTGGCGTGATTGTCTGTGCGTGATCGTGTGTGATCATGTGTGGCGTGATTGTCTGTGCGTGATCGTGTGTGATCATGTGTGGCGTGATTGTCTGTGTGTGATCGTGTGTGATCATGTGTGGCGTGATTGTCTGTGCGTGATCGTGCATGGTCGTGATCGTGCGTGATCGCGTGTGCAGGGCTCCACTGGTGAAACGGGTCCCAATGGAGAAAGAGGCCACCCAGGGCCACCAGGGCCCCCGGGGGAGCAGGGCCTGCCAGGCTCGGCTGGAAAAGAGGGCGCGAAGGTGAGTGTGTGTGTACCATCTGATGACCCCGGCACTCACTGAGTCACTACTGTCACTCGCTCACTGACGGTCAGTCACCTCCTTGTCACTCATATCGCTACTACTACTATGGCCACTGTTCCCATCAACTTCAAACGTTGATTACTCCACCCAAGGTTGAGAACTCGGCCTACCAGACACTCACTGTTTGGTCTCATTCCACACCGTGTTCAACAACCGCCACACTGCAGGTCACAACAACACAGCAACTCATCCACTCACCCCCCCACCAACTCACCACACTGCAGGTCAAAACACTTCGCTAGCCACCTTTTTGTGACATTGTTTTCTCAAGATGATTCTACTCCGCGACGAGGCCGAGGATTGTGTGCGGGGTCACGTGTGCTCCACGCTGCTGCTGCTCCAACACACTGGCGGGTGTTCTTTTAGCCACTACCCTCCCCCACCCCCCTCTTAAACTCCCTTCACAGGCAACTCCACCTCCGCCCCCCTCTCTTCTCTGCTTTCTGGTCTCTCATGAACAACTTCCTCTTTAACCTGCATTGCTCCCTCTCTCGCGTTCCCTTCAGTGAGTGAGTGGGAGAGTGAGTGGCTTCATTTGTGGGTGGGTGTGACCTATATCTTTGCTTTATTGACCTGGTACAAGCTTGTGATACCATCAACAGGCCAGGATTGTATGTTGTTATTTGTACTTTTGGGGTCCTTGACTCTATGCTCACAATTATTAAGGACTATTTTGATGGTGGGCAAGCCCTGGTAAAGCTGCGTGGTCGGGAGTCAAAGACGTTCTCTGTTCACCTTGGAGTGTGACAGGGATGTTCTCTGGCTCAAACGTTATTTAACATTTTTCAACCACATAGTTCAAGACGATTTCCATGGCTGTACCAAAGGAACTTCCATCCGGTACAGATGCAATAGGAGGCTGATCAATGCCCAGGTGCTGTCAAGGGATGGCTGCCTATTGATTAATCATGTTGTATATGCTGATGAGCTGCTGATTGCTAATCACTCCTGAGAAGGAGTTGGGGGGGTTCTGCTGCTGAACCTGGAGTATGCCACTAAAGAGGTGGTGCAGTACCATCAGCCTCACCAAAACTAAGCACCTACCTGGGTATTTTGTGTGATTCAAAACCTCCTCAACTCTCCATTAGTGATGACGCAGTTTTGGAGAGAGTGGAGAAGTTTCTGTACCTGGGTAGTGTGCTTATGACCCGCTCCGATTTGGCAGCAGAGGTCTCCCTCCGAATGAGTCAGGCGACATAATTTAATAATCTGCTTAACACTGTGTGGAAGCTATCTGGTCCGCCGCTCCACGTGAAGTTTTGAGTCTTTCCGGGACACGGTCATGCCCTCCTTTTTCTATTCTTGCGAAACGTGGATCCCCCAAAGGAACATCTACGTCAGTTTGAAACATTCAGACTGACCTGCCGATGATCCATCCTGGATTTAACCAGGCTGGATTGTGTGAGGAGCTCACAAATCCTTGAAAGATCTGGACACATCCCCATCAGTGAACTCCTCTGGCAGGCGAGGCTGCATTAGCTGGGCACATAGCCCGCATGCCCAGCCACCACATGCCCAAGCAGCTTATGTTTGGCCAAAGAGAGAGGGAGCTAAACGGGCATGACACAGGCTAGAGAAGAGATGGATTGGTGTGGTACAGGATATGGAACTGATTGAATGTGTCGATGACTGGTACCAGTGGTGTCAATATCTCGCTATATGGAGAAGGCTCATGAAGGATGCTACTGGGCAGTTGGAGAGACACCCTTCCAGAACAGTGGTGGACAAAGGAGATATGCTCACAACAACGAAGTGCTGGGCTGCTAAAATGCAGCAATCTAGCACAGTCGGGAGCACAAGTGGTGCATCTGTTTTCTCTGTCACCGAACTGTACCTGTAACTGTCTTGTGACCTCCTGCCAATGAGCCTTTGACACGTCATGTGGCCTCAAAGTGCACCTAGCCTGGCACCAGCGCTGTGTTTGCATCACTGCCACTTAGGGTTAAATGGCAGCTGTTGTTATGTGGATAGGTTAATGAATGATTGAGTGGGTTGGTCGGTTATTGAATGGGTAATTGAGTGGGTGAATGAGTGAGTCGGTGAGTGGGTATGTAAGTGGATGAGTGAGTGGGTAAGTGGGTGAGTGAGTGGATGAGTTGCCCTCCCATCTCCTCCTGCGCGTGTCTGTGCTCTGAGAGATTTGTCACGCTATTGGTGCATTTTAAATATACGTTGATGATGTTTCCGCGTGCAGGGAGACCCTGGGTTGGTTGGCATTGCTGGAAAGGCTGGGCCACCTGGCGTTCGAGGATTTGCTGGAGATCGGGGTATCCCTGGAGCTTCTGTGAGTTACTCATTCTCATTAATAATATAATACATCTTAATAATTATAATAATAAACTTCACGTATATATAGCCTTTCATGCCACTGGTCAAGAATTTGTATATCAGGTAACAATACAATGCAAATTGGTCAGTATTCTCGAATGAGTACATCTATTTATTCGGTTATATGCTCATAAGAAAGCTACAGTGTTTCATATTGCAGCCAAATAGATCTAAATTGTTATTTATAACCAAAATTTTACAGCAAAAAAGCACTAAACAGTGGACACCAAACGGATTCAATAAAAGCTGGGCAGCAGGGTGGCACAGTGGGAACACCCCGACCTCAGCAAGAAGGTCTTGTGTTCAGTTCCCGACTTCCATGCCTTTGTGTATACAATTTGTATGTTCTCCACCTATTCTGTGCAGGTTCTCACCGGGTTCTCCGGTTTTCCTCCCATAGCAAAAAACCCATACACTTTAACTGGGAATGCAGCAGCAGCACCAATAAGTAATGTGTCATGCTGCAGCAACACCAATAAGTATTGTGTCATGCTGCTCATTGTGCACTGTTAATCTTCCTTAACTGTCTTCATCCTGTTGCGATAAATGCTAAGATTTAGAAGATGTTTCCCTGAGTATTCATTAAACAGTTTTGTTGTCTTTATTTTTCAGGGCCCTGCAGGCCTGAAGGGAAATGAAGGCCCTCAGGGACCACCAGGACCTCTGGTAAGCCCTCTCTTATTCCTGCACCCCCCCACTATCGCACCTCGAGCTGGGCGCATTGATGCATGCTATCGGTGGGGGAGATGTAGCGTCTCGACCTTTCTGCTGCGTGGCTCCAGCTTCCACGGTTCATTGGCCTGAAGCAGTGGCAGCTCATTGCAGCAAATCGAGCAGCTTTCCCCATTGAAACCGGTATCTTTATAACTGCGAAGGTTTCACTTCAACGATGACTTCTTGTACTGCACAAATATTGAATTGTACAGTTGATCATCGATTATCCGGCGTGCTATGATCCAGCTTCCAAGATTATCTGGCGATCCCAGGCCGATCCGGCAAAACCGACAGAACCGCTCCAAAGGTTGTACCAGTCCGGCGATCGGCACCATGTGCGTGACAAAAAAGTAGCTATGCTTGATTTCAGTGTCAAATATTATATGCAGTACATTATATACTACATACGACAACTTCAACAATAAAAATACTGCACTTATGTACACTTTTCATGACTAATAACTACAGGACTAAAAACAGAAAATATACAGTGCAATCCAGCGACAAGTGCATGTAATTCGGTGTTCGCATCAGAATGTGCACAAAATAACCTATTTTGATTAATGATGTAGTGATTATTATTTAGAATAATGATATAGTGATTATTATTTTAAAATTCGGCATCCCTTTCATCCGAAGCCGCCGGATAAGCGATAATCTACTCTATTGTTCAATTTCAACAGCTGTAGCCACACACAGGTCGTGATTTAGATGATTTAGTTTAACTCAGGTGAGAACTCCAGAGACCAAGATAGTCTCATGGTGCAAGGGTGACCTTGGCTGCAAGTGACCTGAGTTGTATTCCCATCCAAGGCTAACATTATTTGGCGAGTAAACAGGTCTTGACCCCTCCCCTTCACCAACTTGCACTGACCAGCATGGTGAAGTATGGTTAAACAAACCACATGATCATGATGGCAAGGGGAAGGACTTCAGCCAGCAATGCATTCATCAACAATTCTATGTCAACATCATTGTTGTTGTTATTTGATGCTGAGCTTTGGTTACTGGATAAAAAATTAGAGATCCACTTTCACCACTACCCCAAATCACAAGGCCACCAGCACCTGAATCTGCTTGACTCTAGATCCCAGCTGGTCATGTGCAATACAATTGGTTGGCATTCACGTTAAGCGTGAGCAGATGGGCAGTGCTGTGTTTGTGAAATGTATTTATGATGAACGTAAAGTGCTTACAGCATAAATTAATCCTATCTCCCAACAGACGGAAGCGCACGATGTTGCCTCTCTGGTGCCCTGTGAGAGTTTGTGTTTGTGTCTGTGCCATGGCATAAATGGCCCCCAGGATAAAACCATACGCATTCTACAACCAATAAAATACCACGGCCTAGTCCACTGCTAGGGCATGATCGTGCGATGTCTCATTCTAGGGCTCCCCGGGCGAGCGTGGCCCGGCAGGCGTGGCCGGACAGATTGGCCTTCCAGGACGACCTGGCCCGCAGGGTCCTTCTGGGCCTGCTGGGGAAAAGGGAGCACCAGTAAGTCTTTATCGGATTGCCAGTGTCATCGCACGACGAGGCCGTGGGTGTGTGTGTGTTTGGTGTGTGTGTTTGTTGTGCGTGTGGGCTATACATTTACACGTATATTATATTTAACAAGGACTGTTGTCTTCTCAGAAACCCCTCTGCTATGGAGTTCCATAAGTCCTCATCTGCAGCTCACTGCTCATCTGAATCTGTTCATGCTGATGAAACCCAACTTGACATGAGCATTCCTCTACAAACCCCCACCTCAGATAACCCTCACACCCTTCCTTGGTGAGGTCTCATCTTGGATTGATGCAACGAATTTTTCCAGAGAAATAAATCTCAATACTGAGGTTCGCCTCTGGCCTCAGATCAGCCTCAAGCAGGTTGAAGGCACCCACAAACACTGGGAAGGAGCTGCCTACACTCTGTGCATTGCTCTGACCACCACTAAGGTTGCCACCTTTCCCAGAGATCAATCTCGGAAATATTTGTCAGTTAGTCTAGGTCTATCAAAACGTATAACGGTCAACTCTGTACCACACCAGATTATCGGTATAAATCAATTGCTGTGAGCCGAAAACAGACGCCAATTAGCACACCGTCTGAGTTACTACCTGGACAGGTGGTAACCCTACAACCACCACAGGTGGCATCCACAGCTGTGGTCATGACGATGTTTTGATCTTGATCTGATATGCATTGTGTGTGCGTGCGTGTGTCCATATAGGGTGAGAAGGGCGTCATGGGGCCTGCTGGGAGAGATGGCATCCAAGGCCCTGTCGGGTTACCAGGCCCAGCGGGACCTGCTGGACCCCCGGGAGAGGATGGAGACAAGGTCCTGTTCCAATAGGAACATGTATATCATGCCAGAAAAACGCAATTACAAGAGTCAATAACCTTAACATTTATGGACAAATGGGATTAATGGGCCAGAGGTATCCAGCAGCATTTGATTAGACAACATAATAACTCCGGGCTGAATTCTTCTTCTCATTGGCAGGCGTGGTCCGTTACATGCTGCTGTTTCCTGGCATCATGCGCAGCAGAGTCTATATTTAAACCTGGGAATGGCATTTACCATTATTTTTTTAGCCTGGCCAATACTCACATGAAGTTAAATACTTAACAACAACAATGGTGCACAGTAGCACACAGTAGCATTTCTATTTACAATCATTACAATCTGCTAAGTGTCTCTCTTGCCACAAAAAACTCGATAAGACGTCACTTCCCATGCCTCTCTGAGTTTGTCTTCTTGTTTCTCTCCATCTAAAGTTCTTACTGCGTCTCTCTCTCTCTCTTGTTACCATAGAGAGCTTTGGAGATATTGATATTAAGATAATAACACTATGAAAAATATCTTGACGATGCTCAATGATGTGTTTTTGTTGCTTTGTTTTTCTTTAGGGTGAGATTGGGGGACCGGGACAAAAAGGGAGCAAAGGAGACAAGGGGGAATCGGTACGTATCTGTTTGTTTTAAAAGGGAGAATCAGTGCATATCTGTTTGTTTTACAAAGGGGAATTGGTACGTATATGTTTGTTTTACAAGGGGGAATCGGTACATGTGTAGTGGGTCCAATCAGGCGCACACTAGAACTTGGAGGCAACACGGTTTATTAACTACATTACATAACCCTTAACGGAATAACAACATAAGGTGGTAACCCTCCATTCCTACACTTGGCTATATACACTTGGAGTAGATGGCTATTTACATTCTGGATGGGCAGGTCAAGAGTAGAGAAATATCTCACGCCCGCCAATGCATCTAGCGAGTCATCCATTCCCGGCAGAGGATAAGCGTCAGCCACAGAGATTTAATTTAATTTGCGGAAGTCGACGCAGAACCGTAGACTTCCGTCTTGCTTCTTAACAAGGACTATAGGGGCGCCCCACGGACTGGTCGATGGAGAGATAATGTCGGCGGACAACATCTCGTTAACCGGCTGACGCACGTGGTCCTTTTCTGTGGGGCTTAACTTGTAGGGGTTCTGACGGAATCGGAGCAGCACCACCTGTGTCAATGTGGTGGTTCAAAAGGGTGGTGCGACCGATATTGTATTTGCTTTTACTGAAAACGTCAGCAAATTCAACCAAGAGTGAGCGCAATTCTAACCTCTGGCCATCTGATAAATTAGGGTTCTCCGAGCAGAGCGCGTTGAGCCAACTCCCATCATCCTCTGACCCTTCATCCTTGGACCCCGCAGCCCCTACTTCCCCAACAAAATCACCCGCGAAATCCGCGACGGACGCGTGGGACAACACAGTGCCCGTCTGCACAACAGACATGTCCGGCCCCGCATTCAGGACCTGAATGAAGGGTACGCAGTCGTTGGACACCAGCGTTTGTGCTCCCACTAGCGTCAGAGCCCGGGCTACTTTATTAGATGGTACGCAATCTAGTCGGGGACGCCAAAAAGGCCATGCGACGGCCCGACAGCAACTCTAGGCACCCTTGATCTATTTAAATTTTAATGGACATTTTCCCCATGAAATCAGTGCCCAATAAACATGGTACAGTGAGCGAGGTTTAAACTAACACCATTCCTGTCAATTGAATGTCACCAATGCACACCGTCACCATTATTTGGTCAATAATTCCAAGGGAGCCACCATTCGCGGCAAAGCACGGAGCTGTAACCGGATGAAGGTCTTGAACCGTGTGGGGTAGGATGTTAAAAATTTACTCTGAAATAATGGTAGCGGATGCTCCGGTGTCTATGAGCACCCGTACTTCCGACGACCCTGCTGCTGCGGCGAATACACGGTGAGCCAACTCCGACCACTGACCAGGGCGGTGTGGCCAGCCGTTTTCCCGTATAACCGAATTGTCCCGCCCCACAACCAACCAAGAAAGTGCCCCGCGTGAACGCGAACCAACAACCGAACGGGATGAATGAGGTGGATGTGAGGGCCAAGCATGAGGTGTGCCGCGACTCGCCTTAGAACCAAGCGGGCTAGGGGACGTCCGTGGGATGACAGCGACGACCCAGAGGATCTCCATCCAGCAGTGCGGGCATCCTGTCGAGATGTGTCCCGGCCGACCGCAATTGTAGCAGAGCACGGAACCGCTCCTCATGCGAGAAGAGATCTTCCGCCATCAGTCGGTTTCCCCCTGTCGCTCCAAGGCGCCTCTCCGCCAGCCGCCGTCGTTGACCGAAGCGCATGCTTGAGCGGGCTCCACTTCTTCAGTGGCAGGGCGACGTTAAGCTCCTTCGCCAAGGCCAGCATACGCTCCAACACCATTGAATCCAAGCTAGCTTGCTCCATCTTGGGAAAAGCCGCTTGTGCTAATGACAAAAGTGCGCTGCGGAAGCCGAGAGGCGTCTCGGCCTTCCCTCGCCTTCGCGCAGAGAACTTCTGCCAAACATTAGATGGAGGATCATAGATCGCTGCCATCTGTGCAAAGGCAAGCTTCAGCGTGGCCCTCTCAGCAGGCGGCATGGCATAAAGCGCTGCTAAGGCATCATCGTCCAGGACGGTGGGGAGCGCCCTCAGCACTTCCTCTTCCATCCAGCCCGCTAACTCACAGTTTGCAGTGAAGCGCCGCCAAAATGTCTCTCAAACCCCTCCAGCGGCTGTGAATTCCTTTACGAACAGGAGCTGATGCTTGGATAATGGGATGTCCATTGGCAATTTTGGTGGGAGGTCTGAAATGGCAGGAACCCTTCCCACGCAACCGCCAAAATGGCGGCCGCGTGCACGCTCCGCGTGGTGGAATTTTCCCGCGTGCGGGAAACTGCGGCGACTGCCTCTACGTCCCGCAACCCAGGCGCTCCCCCCTCCATGACCAGCTTCTCCTGGTCGAGCTCAGTGACGAGCGAGGCCATCGCATCCAGCAGCTCAGCGAGGGGCCCGAGGGGCGATCGGCGCTGTCTCCCTGAAGGCGGCGAAGCGGCAGTGTGGTGGTCGTCCCGCTGCTCCACAGGTAGCGTTGCCTCACCCCCTCTCTCTGGGTCTGCCATTCCCGGGGTCGTCTATGGGGAAGTCCCCTCATTGTCGTCTTCATCCGAAGCTATCTTGGTGAGTTGTAGCCTTACCCAAGGTAATGCTACTTCGTGAGGATTTTTTTAAACCACTTTTGGCACCAGTTGTAGTGGGTCCAATCAGGCGCACACTAGAACTTTAATCTTAACATAACCCTTAACGGAATAACAACATAAGGTGATAACCCACCGTTCCTACACTTGGCTATATACACTTGGAGTAGATGGCTATTTACATTCTGGATGGGCAACTACAAACCGGACCAGGTCAGCCAATGCACTGTCTGGTCCACATGCGTGACACCCGGAGACCTGAAGACCCGCCGACGACGAAGGTTTCTTCTAGCAGCATCGACCCCCCCCCCCACCCCGGGGTTTGGCTTTTATCCTTACGGCTTTGCCAGGCCCCGCCTTTGGCCACACCTCTTTTCCCGAACCTTCGTGAGGGTTCAGGGGCCACCTCACGTGGTCCTCAATCCTGGCACCCCCCCCGTCCACACCACCTCCAGTCACGTGTCTCTTCCTGTTTACCCAGCCTCCCCTGGTATGCCCATCCGGTGTCCGGGGAGAGGCTCTGCCCGTACAGTGGCACCCACATGGTACTGTCTCTACACAACGGTACTCATACCAACGACACTACACATGTCTGTTTGTTTTACGAACTTGAGATTCACCCCTTAACCCCCCCCCCTACCCAAAGTGGGAGTCAGAGTTATTCTGCTGGGAGACTTAAAGACTATGACCTCGGACACACACGAGCAGACACAAAGACACAGATTCAATTCTGCTGCCATCTGGAACGCTCTTCCTTTCGATATTAGGAAGCCACTGGAGCTGTGCACTTTTAAATCATCGTCTCGATTGAAAACGAATTTCTTTAGAACTGATTTTAAAGTGTTCAGTTTGTCGTCCTTCCCCCGCACCTCCGATTAGCATGGTTGGCTATGTATGGTGCGAAAGAAGCTGAACATACATAGACAACAAATGACCTCCAAGAACATTGGCTGCCTTTCATCACTCTAAGTGCCGGTAACATCTTCATGGAGCTTGTGCCAGGCAAGGTGCACTTTAAAGCCATGTGAAGTTTTGAAGGCTCGCTGGCAGGAGGTCATAAAACTGAGATGACTGGCCGATGCACTTGTTGTGCTTCCCACTGTGCCAGATTGCTACCCTTTAGCCGCCCAGCGCTCCACTCGTGAGTGTTGATCCTGCCCAGTAGCTTCCTTCACGAGTCTCCACTATAGAGGCCGATCTTGACACCGCTATTACCAGATACCACTGGTCAGACGACAGTTTTGTTTTTTGTGTCGCATAGCAAGGCACACCCCAGATTCAACTCCTCAGAACATGTGGGCATGCACAACAGTGTGAATTTATCAGAGGCAATTCATTTAATATCACTGGCAACGATCAGCCTTCCATTCTATCTGTACCAGATGGAAATTCCTCTGGTACGGTAATGGAAAGCAACTTGGACTATGCGATTTATAAAGATAGATGTTCGTGTTTGGGCCAGAGGACATCCCAGTCGCACCTCAAGGTGAATATAAAATATCTTTGACTCGCACACATACAACAATCAACCCAAGCACTGACATCTTGCACTTGCCTCCCTCTGCAGCCATCACCCTGGCTGGGAAAAACCTGCTTGGCCTTGCTAAATCGTTTTTTATATACACGTTTTATTATAGCTGTGACATAATTGCAAATTAATACATTACATACGTTAATATTTGTTCAGTTTCTCCGCTCATGCATGACAGACACAAGCTGACACCCAGTAATGTTGATATTTTCAACACTGCAACTTGTTTAGGGAAGCTGCTGCTGCTGCGTTGACAGTGGTGCTCAAGCATAATTAACTAAAATAACTCAACAAACACTGCTGCCTGAAAAGGAAACTTGCATAGCAGGTGAAGTTTCTGGCTATGGCCATTCTTCAGAGGAAATGAATGGGGCCATGACCTAAAACGTCACCTATTGTCTTCGTTTGTATGAGCTGAATTTACTGTATTATAACAGTATGAGTGTGGTGATGAGGATTGATGTTATAATCAGCATTCATTTTACATCTTCAAAATAAAAAAACATATTGTTGACTGTGACATAGCAGAGCAGGTTTTGGATGGGCTGTGGAAACATCGTTGGGAGAGAAGAGAGATGAGTCTGAGTGTAATGAAAAGCGTACTTGAGGTGGGAGTGCTGTCTGTATCGCTGTGTGGATCAGAGAGAGCTGGATTCTAATTTAGCAACTCAAAGATAAATGGCGGGCAATTGAGCTCAGATACATGCTGTGAATTTCTTTGCAAGACTTGGGAAGTCATGCAGATGTTTGGAAGAGAATGTAACAGGTCAGTTTTGTCGCTACGATTAGACAAACACAGCTGCGCTTGGAGGGACACACGTCCTGGATTGGGTGACAGCTGATTGCTGAGACAGAAACCGGAGTGGTTCTCACGACCCCGGCTACCAAAGGGAAGAGAAGACCTAAGGGTGCATGGTGTTGTTACACTGTCAGAACAGTTCTAGGAGGTGACGTGTTAACCGTGCAGCAGCTGCGGATTCTGGCGGAGGGTAGAAGAGCGTTGGCGAGGTGTCGTGACATCAGTGACCTCAGCCAGGATGACAACTTGATCTGTTTTGTTGTGGCCTTCTGTTTGCAGGGCCCTCCTGGACCTGCAGGTCCTCAGGGAGTGGTGGGACAGCCTGGCCCAGCGGTAATATTATTTTGCACTTGTACATTTAACATGGCCTCGTTTGTACATATACACAGATGCACTTGTATAAGTACATCCGTGTCCAACTGTGCGAACCTGTTAGAACACACACTCAAATTTCCACCCGCATTTTTTTCAGTACGCAGAGTCTACAGAGAGTGCGTTTGTCCGTGAATGCTAATATGAATAATACGTGGATGCTCATATCTTGGTGACCTGGATTTGGTCTCTAAGCAAATAAACTTATGCCAATTATTAGTTCACTTTACCTAGGCCTCTGCAGGGTCACTTCAGCCTAGTAATACTCGTCTCAGTGTGTCAGTGTCAGCAGTGAGGAAACTGCTGGCACGGTGCTGGGCATGCCATCCGTTACAATGCTAAAATGGCCCTAACAATTGCAAATTGAACATGCCACTAGGGTCCACCCAGGCTACCAGGGGGTGTGGCAACATCGCCCCTCGGCTTAGTTCCGTGAATGGGGTTGCATTGTGTTTGCCTTGGGACGTTATACCACGACTAGTTGTGTAAATGTACGTGCATCTGAGAGTGAGTTGGGTTGGTGTCTGTGGAAATGCAGGGAGCGGATGGAGAGGCTGGTCCAAGAGGACAGCAGGGCATGTTTGGCCAGAAGGGCGATGAGGGACATCGAGGCTTCAATGGGCTCCCAGGACCAACGGGCTTGCAGGTGGGTGCGCGTATGTGCGCTTATGTGTGTGCGTGTTTGTTGGGAGAGAATAAAAATGAGTCTAAATAAAATAAAATGTTCCATAGGAGTCTCTGTCTATATCGTTGTGTTGATCAGAGAGCTGGACAGACTACGCAGCTCAAACATATATAGTTGGTATTTGAGCTCAGGTGTCTGGGATGGTTGCTAAACATTTCTTGGCAAGAAGTTTAAGCAATGCAGGAGTCTGCAAGAGAACACGGCAGGTAAGTGTTGCAGACATGACGAGGTGGCTTCGCTGGGTGGGGTTTGTGCAGGATGGGGGCTGTCTCTTATGGGGGAAAAGGGAATGTGTGAACATGGCCACTAGGGACCGCACCTAGCGAGACTCACGACAAGCTGCCAGCCAACTCCCAGCGGGTACTGGGGGGAGGTGCAAACACGTGGCTCACATACAGGTATCCCTCGATGTACCAACGTTTGGGTTACGAAATTTTGTATTTCCACAATTGACGAATTATGGACACTTTGATTAACGAAATCGAATTTCCGCAATAACAAAATTTTGCGCGGCACGCACCATGAGATCATAAAACAAAAAGCACCCGGGAAGCTGCATTATCCACCTACGACAGCCTCGTGGTGTCCCTGCCGTACAACTGTAACGCCTCCACATCACCTTTACCGTCATGCCGACATGCAGATCTTTTAGTAATTTTCGTGAAAAGGTTCATTATTTTTTATATTAATTATTATTCAATCGTTTTAATATTTATGTTCTTTGTTTTCATTTTTGTATTGTGAAAAGTGATAAAGGTGTATATTTTTACATTGAGAGTAGAGTTGGAATGACTGTTCGAATGACTGTTCGAAACATATCCACAATTCTTTTTCATTGAATGAATGGGAAAAAAACATTCCGATTTACATGTGTTTTTGAAGGATGCATCCCTTTCGTAAATCAAGGGATACCTATATACACGTGTCCCGTGTGTGTTTTTTGTGTGTGTGTGATTTGTATATGTTCACTTGTGTTTACATGTCGTGTGTTTGCATGTGTCTTGCGTCCATATCATGTGTGTGCCATCCATGTGTTGTGCGTCTTGCCTGCGTTTGCGTGTCTTGCGCACGTTCACCTGTGTGTGGGTCTTGCTTGCGTATCTTATGTGTGCCCGTACATGTTTTGCGTGTGTGTTTGATGTCTTGTCAGTGAAGCACAAGCACTCCATATACTTCTTTGTGGTTGTCACACAACGCTAAGCACGAAGTCACATTATGTGACAACAGGGTGGGCTAACGAGTGTAACATGTGTACATACGTGTGTTCTTTACGTGCTTACGTGAAATGATGTGCGTGTGCACACATGTGTATTCTTCTCAGGGTCTCCCAGGGCCGCCGGGTGAAAAGGGTGAATCTGGAGATGTTGGACCAATGGTAAGTTAACAAATTTGGCCATTTTAGTTCTTTTGTCATAGTTGTTTACATATTTGTCACATTGTTTGTTGTTTTTACCACTTGTAAGGCACATATTTCATGGTGTGCTTTGATTCTGCAATGACCAGTTAAATAGCCGCCAAGTAAGTGAAGTGTAGCGTTGCTTTTGTTAAACATAAATCTTTGTCCAAAAAATGTAAAGTATTGGTGCCAATTGTGATTATTATTATAATACCTGTTGGGCATCTTCAGGAGTTGAATTAGAGATGCCCAAAGTAGTGCATGGCGATAGCTTGAGGACAAAAAATGCCCAAAGCGCAGTCTAACCCGGGATATCGTACTTTGGTTATCTCTTGACGCTTGGGAAACGATTTAATCATCACAAATCGATGGTTTATTTTGCACGCTTGTTTTTTGTAACATTCTCCGACTGTTAAGTTAGATTTCTTTGAGATGTTTCGATGGAGTGTTTGTCATTATTTATGTTCTAATTCGTTTCGTCTCACTTTGTCTCGATGCTTTCATTAGGGCCCACCTGGTCCTCCGGGACCAAGGGGACCTCAAGGGCCCAGTGGCGCTGATGTGAGTTGATCGTCTCATCATTAATGTTATTCCTTACCTTGCTTGAGTGACATTGTTGTACATGCCAAGATAAATGGACCTAAATCCTGCTGTGTTGACCTTTGTCATGATCCATCATTTATGTATGATCCATGTATCAAAATAGCAAACAGCATGCATTCATTATAAAAAACACACAAATTCATGTTGGAGAACATTGCACAAGCCACACATGAGCATGGTTTTTCTTCCCCTGTTAAGTCATTGCCTTTCAGAATCAGTATTGAACTCGCGGCACCACCAGATCACATCAGCAGCAGCACTTGCTGAACACCGTGCACTGAAGGAGTGGCTCAACTGATTTGTGTGCAAACTCAGCAGCAATGGATCCACACACACTTCCAGTCAGGCCGCCCTGCTTCCCATACACAATTCAACCCTCAATGCAATATGGTGTCCTCCTAATTCAGTCGAAGATGTGAAAGGGAAAAAAAAATTCTGCTCACAGACATGTATTTCATCTGCAGTGCTATGATGAATGTGGTGGTCCAGTATGAAATGACAATAAACCAATTTATTGTGGGGCTTTCCATTCTTGAAGGGATGCAGTCAACTTCACTTGTATCTGTGCGTTGCTTCCCTAGGGCCCCCCTGGACCGCTTGGTGGCCTGGGAACTCACGGAGCCACAGGAGAGAAGGTAAGCGGTCGTAATGATAGAATGTGCACAAAGACAAAGATCCTCCATATAGCCTTACCAGACTGTGGGGCAAGAGCTGGTAGTGAGCACAGATAAAGGGCAATACGGCACACGAGGGGATGGTGTGGCTAGCACCATGCCCAGCTGCTTTTGTCTTCCCAGTGGTAATGTTTACACACTACACTAGGTTCCCATGTTAAGGATGAGTTGACCTAGGGGAGGCCCAACACCATTTCACATATTCATCACCGATGTTGATCACGAGTGGAAATCGAATTCGTATTGCAGGGTTTGTAGCGCAGCACTGTTACCACTGCAACACGGCTTCCCACTTACGCTCACATGCATACACACACGTAAATGCACAGGTTCACGTGAACACGCACAGCCCTTTTGTCAATCCATTGCTCGATGAGGGCCTCCATATGCCTGTGTGGAGCGTGAGGACTATTTGTCCTCATTTAGACATGCTGGTGAGTGTATATCTAGTGTACACTACTATGTGTATACAGAACAGACAAATGCAATTATATGAACTGCATACACACCCCATAGCTAAGACAATATCTAATTAAACATGCTGAAACAATTCCACCTCTTCTAGATTTTCTGCTACATTCTTCCTATCTTTTTTTAAGCTCTCCAGTAACACTTTCTGAGAATCTAGAAGAGATGGGATAATTCCATCATTATCCGTACGAATTCATCACCACAACGGTCCCTGCTCTATGAGACATCTCCTTTACCAGTGGAAAAATATAGTAATAGGTTTTTACCCTTTCAACTGGTACAAAAACTGACACCTTTATACAAGGCATCATGTTTGCAATAACCACAACACAAGCAGTCAAAATGCAAACAAAAAGAAACAACTGTGATAATGATAATGATATGCACTGGCTTTGAAGTTGATTGGTCCACACCCGAGACAGATTTTCTTAGAGCCTAGTCTCCATTGGTGTTGGACCAGATGATGCCAAAAGGCGTACAACTCTGTTTTTCTCTGCCTCGTTCTTCACGTTCCTGTTCCTGTGTCTGCGTTTTTCAGGGAGAAGCAGGGGAAGCTGGTAATCCTGGAACCCCGGGAGAGCCTGGCGGAACGGTACGTGTGCCCGTCAGGTCTTTTTCGTTTCAAGAAAATAATACTGGACTGTGATAAGCAATGTTACAGTAAAGGTGTGGCGGTCCTGCAGTTGTTTGCTCACGCCACCGCTGGCGGAAGGATATTCTGTCGAATCTACCGCGTTGAGAAGACGTGTTCGAAGGGGTGGATGTATACCCACACTTCATCCCGCCACGCGCCAGCTGCCGTTCGACCGACTGCGTTGTAAACCATTTAGACTATCGGGTGGACAGAGGCGGGGTAGGATTTGAGAAACTTGCATTGCCGTTTCAACTGCTGCCGCTGGGAGACTGTGCAGCACTAGTTAGGTTGAGTGGCATTATTTTCATTCTCATCGTGGTGGAAACGGCCGGTCCCTCCTCACCATGTGTTGTTTCCCGTGCAGCCGTTGAGAAGCCATTTCTGTGATTCCAGGGCGGCAAAGGCGAACGAGGGGAAAAGGGCGAAGCCGGGTCACCGGGCGTCGCTGGGCCTCCTGGCCTGAAGGGGCCTCCGGGAGATGACGGGCCCAAGGGCAACCTGGTGAGGACCTCTCCAGCACGCGTCCTCGCCTCACAGCCTCTCACCTCATCTACCGTCCAGACCCTGAAATGCACAAGTATAGAGCCAGCGGCCGTTGAGGAAATGCTGACAAACTTGCGCTAAAGATAGATTGTTGGTGATCGTAACCATAACAATGGTTATGGCACTTACAACAACAGAATCACGCGCTTCCTCGTCAAGAATATTAGTACCGAAATAAATAAGCAGATGATACACCTTCCCATATCGGTCTCTTCGCATAAATAAAACAAGAGCACCTTTTTTTACAAATCTCATCAACCACATAGCCTTCTTGGAGACCTGTTTTTTAAGCATTGTGTTAACACACGGATACTCTGGACCAGTTGTGACTTTCCACGTCACATACTCAGAGTCAGGCTCACTTGAACCAATATTTCCAGATTTTTATAGGCAAGGTCCCTCCCTGTGATATATGGGCCTTCATCTGACACAATGAACAAAAAATAAATATTTGCGTTGCTGTCGAGAATATGAAAGTTATTTTTCTGTTTAAAAAAATTATCACGTATTTTAATATCCCACACTGTACCAAACACATCCACAGCCTATTTATGTTTTCACTGAAATTCACCAGTGTCACTACAAATATAATTAATTGTGTGCATGCACATACGTACAAAAACAATCGTCTTCAGGTGAGTGAGAGAGAAAGCTGCTGAGACAAGGTCTTATATAGGCCTGAGATGGGTGCATCAAGGTAGGTGGGTGGAGCTAGAGATGGTCCAACCACAGAGGCTCGGGCAATGGCCTTTGTATTGTGAGAGATTAGCATGTCAATAGCTGGGGCAGTGGCCTTTGTATTGCAAGAGATTAGCCTGTCCTGAGATGGGTGTATCAAGGTAGGTGGGTGGAGCTAGAGATGGTCCAACCACAGAGGCTCGGGCAGTGGACACCCAGCCTGTCAATACAAAGACATCCAACCTAGTAATGAAACTCAGAGAGTCAGTTAACATCGTGAGATAAAATGGAAACATCATAGCAAGTTAAAACTTTACCTGGATTAATCACGTCCTTCCAATGATTGCTCAATTTGTACCCATCTTCTCGGTTGAAGTTGTGTCATAGTTTCTATATATGGATGGCTTCATGAACAAATCTTTGATGGTAGCCCGAAGGTTTGTAGAGTGCCTTGGTCTCGGAAAAAACAATATCGTGTGAGCCCACGCCTGTATAAGACCTTGTCTCAGCAGCTTTCTCTCTCTCTCTCACCTGAAGACAATTGCTTATGTGATGATTGAAACGTCGTGATCTATTATTTTCTATTCACGTGACTTGACTGAAAGACCCAAAGAGTATGAATTCCTGCAGTTACGAAAGCTTTAAATCAAAATATATGAAGATCACCTGTATATCCTTAAAGAGACATACCTAAATGCCTGTAGATACACACACACATGTATGATACACACGCGCATGCATGTGAAACACGCACAACTGTGGTGTGTTTTTTTCCTTTGCAGGGCCCGGTTGGATTCCCAGGAGATCCGGGACCCCCTGGGGAGCCTGGCGTGGCTGTAAGTTGGATCGTTTCATACTAACGAATATGGTTTTGAACACGTTGCTGACATGACTTACGAAAGAAGCACGATAAGTCTAAACGTGGTTAAATAGTAATTGTTTAATGTAAATTAAAGTGGCGGTAATTGTCTTGGGGTGGCGACATGGCCCAGCAATAGTGTGTTCGGCGCTCATTGCAGAGGTTCTTGGTTCGAACCTGACAGGCCGCCCTAGTTAATACTGCGGGTGTGTTAACCATAACAATAGCTACCATCTACTTCACAGTGGACATTCAAGTTCCCATTGTGTCATTTGAAAATAGTAGCGTGCCAGCATCATGATCCACATTTGCCAATTTTACAAATGACCTGCAAATCACTCCGTTGGAATTGCAGACTGTGCCTGCGAAACATAATGCCATCGTGATAGCCTCATGCTCTAAGAATGGCGCACATACCAAATTTTATTGGTAAATTCGTAATGTCTTATGATGGTGATGGTAACTGCGGTGATGGTGAATTTGCAGGGTATTGACGGAGGACCCGGAGAGAAAGGAGACAACGGAGACCCAGGCGCCGCAGTGAGTTCATGAGCCTCGCTCACATCTGCCCACGAGGCCTCGTCCATGCATTTCACTTCCTTCTCTGTGCCTCCTCCGTTTTATTCCTTCTGTCCCACTCGTCAGCTCGTGATTAGCATCTGCCTAGGTTGGCGCCTTTGATTCTGAAATCACACGTGACTTCCTCACTGCCTCTTAATTCAACCCCGACAGTAGCTGAAGAGACAGTGATGAAAGCCCTTGTAAATGTTTTGTTATAACAGCATATTTTCTTGCTGCCTTAAGTCAACATGTTGACACTTTATTATATATTGTTAAACTTTTCGCATTTTCCTTTACTTTGCCCAATCTAGTCAATTTTATTTTACAGAATGTATGTTATATTAATGGTATATTAGCTTTTTTCACACTTTTACTATTATTGTTGTAGTTGGCATCCATGTGTTACATTATTTTTTTAACCGGTAGCCCACATGTCCCTTGGATTTGACCGTCCATCCCTCTGCAGCCAGTCAGCCAGCCAGTCAAACTTTCTTTACAATATAGTATGACATTGTGCACTTAAATGGTCTGGATGTGACCCAAGTCGTTTGGGCAAAAGAGGCAGTGTTGCTCCACGTGTCTCAACGAGGGTTATTTCACTGTGGTGTGGTGACCTTGTCCAATGGCAGCACGTTTGCCGCTTATTGCAGTGGTTTTCAGTTCGAGTTGGGCAGGCACCCCTGGTTATTGCTTGAGGTTTATTAACAATGAAATACTCCAAGTTGAAGACGCTAAAGATCACATGACGTCATTCAGTATCAGTAGGCTTTTGTGGGTTGACATCATAGTCAACAATTGATACGTAAAAAAGAATACCTGCAGATCACTTAATTGGTATTAAAATCATCACCCCCTACTGGCACTAATTTCCAGTTGCAGGACAGGTGCTGAGTCGCCTTGTGCCACAGAGGGACAACTGCCACTGGGGGTGCCTTTTAAATGTGTTGAGATGTGATGCGATGTAAGTCACGTATCACGTGTATAGTGCTCGGAGACTCCCCAGCATAAAAGAGGGTGGCTCTATCCCAAACAATAATCGTGGTTAAATGAAGGATACTTGACTGACTTAAATAAACGACACTCATTCTATCCTTAGTGCACTGCATTATTTGAAGGACTCGTGTTTTCAGGACGTGTTACGTGTTGTTTCGTGTCCCTTACCCAACTCTTGTGTCTGCCTTTCAGGGTCCACCAGGGCCATCTGGAGAGGCTGGTCCCCCGGGGCCTCCTGGCAAGCGGGTGGGTGCTCCACTCGACCGCTGGCCCCTCTCATAGCATCCACTCGCTGTATGGTAGATGCGCTATGGAAACCACGTAGCCGTACAGATGAGTCTTGAGTCTAAAGGGAAGGGCAGTTGAGACAGGAACGTTGCCCGTAATACTGTGTAGATCGGAGATCTGCACCTTACCTAGCAGCTCCAAGAGAAGTTGTTGGTATTTGAGCTCAGGTGTATGAGATGGATGCTGGGAGTTTCTTTGCAAGACGGGAGCAACAGTGCAGAAGTCCGAAAGGGAACGTGGGGCAGGTGAGTGTTGTAGGCATGATGAGGCAAAAAATGGCCGCACTGAGTAGGTTGTGTGCGTGGAGTAAAGGAAGGCCCATTGCTGAGACTTGCCATTCGAGGGGTCTCTACAAGGCTAGTGACCAAGGAAAAGAGGAGACCTAAGGGCAGATAGTGGGAGACCGTAAGGGCTGATTGTGCAGATCGCGTGTCAACTATGCAGCAGCTGCGGGATATTTGGTGGAGGGTAGAAATCGTTTGCGAAGTGTGAGTGCATGACTTTGGCCATGGTGACATCTTCATCTTGTTATTGACAACTCGTGTTACGTAGTAATTCCAATGCAATGACAGCTGTGGTAATTGGTTTTGTTTTAAGGGGCTACCAGGAGCAGTTGGATCCGAGGGAAAGCAAGGAGAGAAGGGCGCAAAGGTGGGTACATTTTCTTGGTTTCAATTACATCATTTTTTTTAATAATAATTCTTATCAAAATATTCACCTGAAAAGATGGAACATCTCGTTTGCTATGGTGTCCTGGATGTCGATTCACACACGCATAGAAAACACATTCTGACACGTGTTCAAAGATGCATTTTACGTGGACATTTACATGAAAATAACCCTGGCAATGGATCAAAGAAGATGTTTGACATAACTCTGAAAATGGTGATCTGGTGTTGCCGCTGATGACAGCAATGATATGAACATCTCTCTGTGCCAGTAATGTTTGAGAGCCCGATGTTGAATGTGCTGCTCCCCTGTGTGTGTGTTAGGGGGAGGGTGGTGCGGAAGGCCCTCCAGGCAAGACAGGACCTGTGGGGAATCAAGGCCCACCAGGAAAGGCCGGGCCTGAAGGACTGCGGGGAATACCAGGCCCAGCGGTAATAATATGTTTGTAATAATTACTTGCTTCAAATTCGAAGTACCCGTACCTGTTTGTATGCCCATTTCAAAGTGTTTGCCTATTTTCTGTACATATACTTTGCCAAAATAGTTAAGTGTGCATATTTCTGCAGGCTGCCAGTCTATGCAACTTGGGCCTGTTTAATCATCTTAGTATAGTTTTGTCATTGTCATCAACCCCTTTATATCTTAATACTTAAAATATTGACATTTATATGTATGTATACGAATAGTATGCATAACAAAAAGCAATAACAATTAAGTACTATTCTTTTTTTGTCCAGTCTTGCTGGAAAGCATTGGGCTAGGATGCTCTTTCATTGCTACCGAGTAACTCAATTAAATCCCAAGCGTAAGTGTGTAATGCTCATTGTTTATGTCTGGTAGTCTGTGTCTGTTGCATGTATTGTCAAATAAGATACAAATAATAATTCCACTGTTTCACATGCAATAGTAATATTCATTAAAATATGCTTATGGCCACATGTTCCTCGCATTACTTATGAAAGAAGTATAACAAATATACATATATAACGATGATGTAAATTGAAAGTGGTGGTTATTATTGGGGTGGTGGTGTGGCCCAGAGAAAGCACATTCGCCGCTTGTCGCAAAGGTTCGTGGTTCAACTCCAGCGGCTACCCTCATGCACACCGGGGTGTGCATCAGCCATAAAACACACGCACCACCTGCTTCAGAGTGGACGTTAAAGATCCTATTACATATTTCGCAGAAGCAGGCCATTGAGTGCCAGCATCATAGTCCACATTTCCCAACGTTGAAAATAATACTCGCACATTAATACATAGCTTGCCATTGCTGCCCCCTACTGGCAGACTACAGAGCTTGGATTGATTGTCCCCCCTCTCGTTAGAAACCTCTCTGATGTTCTGATGTGTTTGATGTTGTGTGCGTCTATGTGTGTGCACAGGGAGATCAAGGATCCCCAGGTCCATCTGGGCAGAAGGGACCTCCAGGTCCTATGGTAAGTCACCTCTGGTCGTGGTGGTGGTGTTTATGTGCTGAACAGGACATTATTTTTATCCATCCAGGTCGTCTGCTTTATTGAGATAGATATTTTAAGAAATTGTATTTAGTCATGATAACTTTGTGGTGGGGTTACACTTCCTAATATTGGACGCAAAAGTGTGTGAAGTGTATTCAGAGGTAAGAATGAGGTTGGGTGATTAAAAATCAACGAGAAGTGCAAAGTATTCACTTTGACTGGATGCCGCGTGGGGAGCAGTCCCACACGAGCCTGGTGGAGAATTTTGCAGCCCTTGGGACAGATTACGTGAAGCGAACCTGAACCAGAGAGAGTGCAGAGAACTTTGACAGCAATTGTCCTCGATACAGAGGTGCAAGGTTTAATCGTAAAGGTTTGCCAGTTTGACGCGAAGGCTTTCACGAACAGTATTATTCATAATCAAGGTTTTTTGGATAGATCGCATAACTATAAATGTCGTTAACCCACCACCACCCGATGATGCTGGATGGAATTACCTGCAAAACGCCATGGTACTCAAATTGTGAATGCTGTGAGTTTACTCTCCAACACCCCCGTGGGCTGAAGTAGTAACTAATTGGCACGTTTTGTTTACATGACAAACCTTACTAATTGGCCTTGTTGGGTGGTGGCGGGTTAAGGACACGTTTATATTTACATGATATATCTCAAAAAACCTTTAGTATGTTTAATCATAAAAAAGACCAAACAGTGGCTGAGGGCTCAAATTAAAGAATCCATAGACGAAATCACTTTACTGATATCTATGGGTACCCTTTTTACACTATGAAGATGATGAAAAATGAAGGTTTTACGTTTTCTGGCAAAAATACAGCACCAAATAGACACAGCTATTACAAGGCATAAAGTCTGCATAAGCCACACGTGGCAAAACATGCAAACAAATATGTTCTGATAATGTATGCATTGTCCTTAAAACTGATAGTCCTACTACGGAGACAGCCTCCAGTGCCATAGAGCAAAGAACTGCATAAAGTGAACCGTACAAGGACAATGCAAACGCCAAGCCATTAATAGCTTGGGTTAAGCAGATATATAATATAATAACCCTTTTTGCATCCTTTGGTCTAACACTGGCGAGACAAATTGATAAAAGGGGCTGTCTCTGGTATGGGCCAATCACTTTTTGAAAGATAATGCATGCATCAGAGCATAGTTGCTTGTATGTTTTACCACAAGTATGTGCGGTTGATGAAGGCTTAATGCCTTGTAATAGGTGTTTGAACATCTTAATACCTGTGTAGTGGGTTCAAGGAGAGTGGAGACGGCTTGTAGAGGCAACACGTTTATTTACAATAACGGTAACAGCAACAGTCCCGAACACAAAGGGGTAGCGGTCCCTTTACCTGCTACCTGGGGAGGTACGGCCTCCGGGCTAGCGTGCCCTATCACTGGGACCACGGGCTCTCTCTCCTCCGGCTACGGGTGACCTAGGGGAGGCTACACTGACCCGACCCAGCCAAGGTACGGGTCTCGACCACTGGCCCTCTCGGTCCCGGCCCTTACAAGGACGTCGGGCCCCGGCGGTTCCCAGGTTCTCACCACTGGCTCAATCAGTCCCGGCCCTTAGAAGGGGAGCGGGTCAGGGGGTTCCCAGGGTCCTAGGCGAGCTGGTCTTCAGGCTTCGGTCTTCGGACTGGCCCCAGACTCGTCCAGAGGTCCGGCTTTATACACCTCCCCAGGTGTGTCCGCCCCTGGACACGCAGGGGGATCCTAGAACACCCCACAGCCCCCCCCCCCCCCCTGCTTTGGGGCAGGGGAATGTAACGACCCTCATGTGGGTCCAAGTTACTGCCCCTGGTGGGCCCTGTCTGCTGCTGCAGGTAAGTACATGTAGCCCATTTACGGAGCTACACCTGTATTGCCAAAAAAGGTTAATTATTTTCTTATTTTATCAACTCTAAATGACGCTTAGGATTTCCATCTACTTGGGAACTGAAGAAATTGATGCAGAGTGCACTGAAGAGGAATGGCATGCAATGTAGAATTTGAATGACTGTTCAACAATAATTGAGCACGACCTAGAGTAATAATAATTAACATTTGTAGGGCACATCTCATTTTTACAAAAAGCAGGAAATAAGCAGAACCAGTTGTACATGGCAGCCAGAACTAGGGGGTAAAAGACAATTTAATGAGGTGAGTTTTCAAGACAGACAAAAGTATAAAAACTTAATTCCTGACAGAAAATGTGGAAGAAGAATTCACAAGGAGACGTTAAAAGAGAGAGAGGAGGGAGGGGGTGGGGTTTGTGGGACGAACGGAGATGGAAAGTTAGAAGATGATGGCAGTGGCTTGCATGTGAGGCAATGTACATGCAGTCATTGTCAGGAATATTTACCTCGAACTGGAACAACTGGTGCACACCAGTATGAAGCGATGATGATGATGATGATGCATAGACCATTCATCTTGACAAAGGCTGGGTTTTAAAAAAAAAGTTAAACATGCAAATGAGTAAGCGTTTGTCGAAGCTTCTATCCAACAATTCATATTAATTCTTAAGGCTCACAGTATAAGCGTCAAATTAATGCTTTGCAAATGACAGCATATGCAAATGAGGCTACGGGGGGGAGGGGGGCAAACAAAGTGTATATACGAGAGAAACCATTTCCAACAACGACAGGAGCAGCAGCAGCAAGTAAACGGATCGCAGAGACTTGAGTCGTGACCCCTGGCGGTTACACGTTTACTCGACCGCTCCTGGGATTCACGAACAAGGCCCCCATAGTGTGAAGGTTACAGCCACTCCACACTGGGGCTTTCCATAGCCACGGGGTAGCAGTGAACATTGGTGACTGTGCTGCACCGACGGGTGCTATGAAGGCTGGCACGGCACACGAGGGGGTGGCTGGCCAGCACCACGCCTGACTGCCTTTGTGGTGATATTTACACACCACACCAGGTACGTCATTTGAGGATGAGTCGACCTAGGGGAGGCCCAGTACCGATTCAGATAATCGGCACTGGTGTTGGCCATGAGCGAGAATTAAACTCAGGGTTGCTGCACGCGGTGTGTATGTCTGTTTCAGGGTCCACCGGGGCTGCCCGGACTAAAGGGGGATCTTGGAATTAAAGGAGAAAAGGTAAGAATTGTATTAATATTGACATTTTTGTTTTCTTTTCCGAAGTTGGTGCCCGCTTTGAGCTTCTTGAGACACCTAAGCATTTTCCACCACTGGACCCAACCATAACCGACCCAGATGTGGCCTCAAAGAAGGATGACTTTCACCCAATTGTATCCATGCCTTTTGGCATAGATAAAGGGGAGCAACCTGCAGGAGGTAGCGATATCCACATTCAGATAAACGTGGATAATGAGCTCGACCAAGGTCACCCCCCACACCCGCACTCGCATCACCTGTACACATGAGCAGAAAATATGCCTCCTTGCCATGATTGTCTCTTCACATGATAAAAATATTTTTTTATGAATCCCATCAGCCACACAGTCTTCTGGGATTGACTCTTTAGGTGTACCTTATTGTTTTTATATGGTACAAGCCACTTAACACTGTTTAAGAAATGGTATGTTAAAATTATCAAAATCAGAATCTTTATTTAGACTGGAGGAATCCGATGAACTATGCAGCTCACAGATGTCCAGTAGGGGCAGGTCAGCAATTTACAATAACAAACAATACAACAACGATAGGAGTGGAAAATAGAGAAAATGTAAGCAAGTCACTATAAATATGAATAAAGTTTATAAGTACATTATACAAATATATTGTGAGTTAGATGGCAGGGGTGTGCAAGGGCTCTGGAATGAGTGACCGCGACGGAGGGTGCATAGGAATTACTAACGAGGAGGGACGGAAAGAAGTGGAGGGGTGAGGGGAGGGTCGAGGAACAACATGGGCAGTCGATAACAGGTGAGGCTTTAAGAGAGGAATGGAAGGAATGCATAGAGGTGGACTGCTTAATGTACAAGGGGAGTTTATGTATTATATGCACTAAACGTTCTTTCATCTGACTGTCTTAATGAACGACATGCTCTTGTGTCACTACTCTCAGGGACACCCTGGGCTGATCGGGTTGATCGGACCTCCCGGAGAGCAGGGAGAGAAGGGAGACCGCGGCCTCCCCGGGACCCAAGGATCACCCGGCAACAAGGGCGACACGGTAATTGTGTAGAAGTTACTGAACACGCAGCCAATGTTATGGTTCTTAATAAATACTTGGGTTGGGTCACATAACGATCTGACCAAAGCTATGTCATTAAGAACCCTCCACCACTCAACACATATTCAAGTCACTTGGTGTACAAGTATTTAACGCATCGATTAGTATTTTTTCAGCTTACCGGTGAGTTGAAGAACACTGCTCAGAACCAAATTCAATCATTGTTTTTTACGTTTAATTGACATTATGTCACACATCAGCAGGTGAAAATTATATTTATTTATGATAGTGGCAAGAGATTGCATTCCATTGCATATTTTGTGATTTTCAGTAAATAATAATAGTACTGAAAAGAGTAAAAGTCGTAAAAAACAATCCGGGTGGCAAAATAAGAATCAAAGAGGAACAATAATGATTAGGAAAAACCTGACTGAGCCTGATCTCCATCAGTCAGCAGTTCCACACCCGGGGGGGGGGGGGGCACAGTAAACGCCCGAACGTCCCGAGGACACAACCAAGATGGAGGTACGCATAGAAGGGCTCGGTGGGCAGAGCTTTAACGACATTGCTGTGGGCATGAAATTGAACTGGTTCCTGACTATAAGGCGGAAACGAGCCCTCGTAAGGCCTTGTAAACGAGCAGCAAGATCTTAGATTACTCTCGAAGACAGACAGAGACCCATTTTAATGAAGCAAATCTGGCTTGGCAATCAAACCTGTGCATTTCATTCCTACCTCGTGGGTGGAATTACAGAATTGGTGCAGTGTAGATATTTTTTTTTACACAGTTGTTGAGCGCAGGCCCAAATGCCCAAAATGGCAAGCGGCGACCGACAGACAGCACTTTAAAAGTTGTAATAGATGAAAGTTGGCACCTTTCTTGAATTGAAGAATGTTTTAGAAAAGAGATGATGAGAGTGAATTGCAAAGTGGAGTAGTGCTAGGAAAGAAGCAGAATGAGAAGTGAGGTGACGTGTAGTGTGGTGAGTGAATGGGTGAGTGGGTTGGTGGGTGAGTGTGTGATTGGGTGTCTAAGAGAGTGAGTGTGTTGTTGTGACCTGCAGTGTGGTGGATGAACACATTGTGGATAGGATGAAACATTCAGCCTGCCCATCTGAACAAGCACAAAGAGAATGGGAAAAGCATGCAGTAACTGGCTATCACTGGAAGCAATCGCTACGAAGCATATGCAGAGAAGGCCAGAGCATCTTTGGAATAAAACTGGATTCAAGACTGCCCGACTCTGTTACAAAGCCACCTGGAGATATCCCAACCGACTCATTATTGAGTCTCACAGATCGTTCTATGCTCTACACGTCAATCAGTCGGCTGGCTATCCCTGTTCAAGTTCATTTATTAGGTATAGCCCTGTGAGCTATGCGGCTCTTAATTCGGGTGCAACCGCAACAAACAAAATATGTGATCTGTGACACATCCTGAAGGGTCTGCTGCACTCCAACCACCCATCAACTAGTCACCCCGGTCTATGCACAGTACTTGTGACGTTCTTCGCCAATAAAATAGTGACGATCAAGACGGAAGATTCTAACTGGAAGGCAATGCATTCTCCCGGTCTGTCATCTGATTTTGATCAACCTGGAACCAATGCAAACTCGAGACCTTTGTACAAACGTCAGTGGCAGAGGTGTCGATGTTCATTGCACGGCTGCCAAATAAGACATCGCTAGCTCCACTACAACTACATGCCGATTCTCAAATTATGCTGAGACGTGCTTGCTCCGCTGATTGTCCACCTGGCAAATATTTTGTTCAGTGAGGGCTGTTTCCCAGACCGGTTCAAAATGGCGCAGGCAACACCCCTCCTGAAAAAGTTGACTTGAGCCATAGTGACCCTGCAATCTATCGGGGAAAGATTTCAAAGGTCATGGACCACGTTTGTTAGAAGGCAGTTACTTCCCCACATCACTGCGATGGGCAGATTCAACCCATTGCATTCGGCATATCAGAAGTTCCACAGCACTGAGACGGCTCAACTAAAGATCACTGATGACCTCTGCAAGATCATGGATGACCGGTGTGCCGCAGGGTTGGTTGGCCTCGAACTCTCAGCTGTCTTGAACACCGTCGATCATGAGATACTCATCAGGCGACTGAGGTCAAAGTTCGGTGTATCGGGTATGGCACTGGGGTGGATTGAGTCATAGGTTGATCACAATTCGTCAAGCTAAGTGACGAACAGTCAGCACCAATGTCATCTCATCACATGACATCAAGTACCATCAATATACTGATGATTACAAGTGTACATTGCAGTAAACTCAAAGTTAGATGTGAACAGCCTCGGTTAATCTTGAAGATTGTACATTAGTGGTGCACATGTGGTTTGCATGAAACGAAATGCTGCTTAATCCAGAAAAATCGGAGGATCTGATGGTTGGCATTCAGTTTCTGGCGAAAACATTTGTGGGAGGATCAGGTATGGCAGTTGCAGACTCCAGAATTCAGTTTTGGACTCATCTAAAGAGCCTCGGCACCTGTACTTAACCAGAATAGTCGTTTGATCACCACATGCTAAATATCGTCAGGTCCTGCAATTTCATATCAGGGCTCTACGACACATTCGACCACGATTGAGTCGTGACATAGCCAACACAGTGGCGTGTAGCGAAGTATATCGACAAGGACTCGATTATTGCAACTCACTACTTCTACGGGACATCTGGCAAAACATTAGCAACCTGCAGCAAGTACAACATTCTTTGGCACGTGTCATGACAGGTACTACAAGATCCGACCATGTCGGTCCAGTGCTCGAACTAATATTTTATAAGGTCGCACTCCTTACACACGAAGCGCTTTCCACAATGAACTTGTCAATGAGCATAAACCATTCGCGAACTATGATCATCCTCGCAGCATCGGATTTTGGCTGGCCATCTAGCAAAAACAGTCACTCCATCGCACGCTTTCAGATGCGCTTCTGCTGCCGTCTGGAATGCTCTTCTGATATTAGGAAGCCACAGGAGCTATGCACATTTCTTTGAAACTGCTTTTTGTGTTTAAGTTTGCTGTCCTTCCCCCACACCTCTGATTATCACGGTCGGCTACGTATGGTGCGAAAGAAGTTCAACCTACATACATACATGCAACATAAGTGGAGGAATCACCGTGTGAAGTTCACGGGAACAGTGCCCATGGTAGTCACAACAGAGGAGTGATGAGATTGCGACTGATCATCGGTGTGTGAGGGAATTAGTGAGTGCTGGATCATCAATCACCCTGACTGCTTTACATTGAATTTTATCCAGTGCAGTGAGGTAGGAACTGAGTGTTTCACCACACATGTGACAGCAGTATTCTAGCTAAAGCCAAATTTGTCCTTTGTGTCATAGACGTATTTGTTTGGAGTAATGGTTTTGGCCTGGCAAAGACATGCACGCTTCTTGACGATGCTGATGATGTGGGCTGCTTCTTTATTTCGCAGGGTATCAAAGGCCCCGGTGGCCCGCAGGGCCCTCCTGGGCCTCCTGGCCTCGCTGTGAGTATTCGTATCATCGAGAAAGGGGCCCGCACTTCATATTCTGCATGTGTTGTCACTCACGTGTATTCATTTTCACGGCTATATGGGGTGTGATCTAATACTGTCCACGGTTCCGGCAACCAAGGGGAAGGTATAAGAGCAGGTGGTGGTGGAGTCAAGACTTTTAGGGCAGATCTTGGAAGTCCCTCCTGTATGTACTGTGCAGCGGCTGCTGGATCTGATGGAGTGCAGACAGCATTTGACGAGGGATGGTGGCATCAATGGCTTTGGCCACGATGCCATCTTGATCTTTATCCAATGGTTCTGAAAGATATCAAACGCGTGCCCCAATTTACACATATTTCATTCTCCCTTTTACTGTCAATAGGGTCGTTTCTTGTTATGATTTATACACAAGGTTTATATCCACTGCTGTGATTGTGTGTCTCAATGTACCGTAGATTAACCTTTCTTTAAACCGATACTTTGTAATTACCATTCCTTCACCACTAGCTATCGCTATACTCTACTGTGAACTCCACAGCACTCACAGCCATGAGTAAGTGCTCATTGGTACTAATTCACACATGTCCATGTGATGACATGCACATTCTCGTGACTATGAAAAATACGCACTGATTGTTGTTTGTCTTTTGCTGTTTCAGGGACCCCAAGGCCCAAAAGGAAATAAAGGATCAACGGTAAAAAAAATATTGTCAATCACACATCGCTGACACCGTGATCAGTGCTAAATCAAGTTGCGTTAAGAAGCCATCGCCAATCTCTATCATTTGATAAACACTGGCTCACTGTGGTATACATGTGCTTCAATGTTATTCCTGGAATGAGACGAGAGGGGGGGTAGGAGATGGTGTGGAGGAGAGTGAGGTGAGGTGAGAGGGGAGTGTTGAGGGTGTGGACGGGAGTAGAGTGAGGTGAGAGGGGCGTGGTGAGTGTTTATCCGTGCTGCCTGCACTAGCTCTGCAGGGGCTGCCACTTGCATCATTTGAATGCGGTTCAGTCACGTGTGTCAGTGCTAATAATCAAAATAGCCAGTGCACTTAACACATCGTTTGAACTGTTGCATGGGACCTAACATCACTGCTGCTGCCGTGTCACTGATGTGAATGTCTGGGTGCAGGGCCCCGCCGGGACAAGAGGAGACATGGGCCCCACAGGATTGCCCGGACCCCCGGTATAGAAGCACAGCACACATCGACGTGCACACACGTCCCTACAGTAATGAACAACAATGATTATCTCGAGATAATTGGGTGTCCGTGCCATTCTCATTGCCGTGTTTCACGGGCAGCTACAGGTTTGCCAATTGAGAAATGTCGTACTTTTTCCAATTTGGCACATTGGGAAAATGAGGCCATTATCCTGTCTATGATTTTCATTGTGGTGACCCTTCTACGTGGAGGCCAGTCGAGTGAAGAATGGCTCGATTTAACTCGAGAGAGGATATCAGACTCCAGTCTAAATGTTAATCCGCCCAGGTGGCTTGGCGGTAGAGGGAGCGGCTCGCAAAGGGAACGTTCCAAGTTCTAATCTTGGTTGGGGGTTGACTCAGCTCATCATCCCTCCGGAGTTGATAAAATCAGTAGCACTTTTTTTTTTGGGGGGGGGGGGGGGGAGTCTGTGGTGGTTGTCCTATGGACACTCATCCCTGCAATGTGAATGTGGAATTTAGACTTTGCAGGGCTGTAAACGGGAGATGAGCACCAATGCCTGAATGCTGATTTGAGCAGACAGTCACTGGAACGTTGATGTGATGTGACAATGGAAGTGGACTACCAAAGACTCACGAAGGCCACGCGGTTATTGCCGCAGGGTCCTCCAGGTGAGGTGGTCCACCCACTCCCCATGCAGTCTGCAAAGAAGGCGCGGCGAGCTGTCCAGGAGCAAGACGAGGACCCCCAGAGCTACATGGATTACACCGACGGGATGGAGGAGATATTCGGCTCTCTCAACTCTCTGAAGGTGGGCGCATTGTGCGTTAACCGCGTATCCAAAGTGCACATCCAAAAACCTGCGCTGACTAGGACTGTAGGCCGGTTGTTTTGGGGAAAGTTTGGAAAAATTTTTTAAATACATTTAGAGCAGTTAATACCACTTTGCATTCTTAATCTTCTTTAAATCATCGTGATGTGACCGTGTCTCCTACGTTCAACGCACGGACTTTTGTAAGCCAGACAATATGCGTACATTCAGGAATGGGAAGGAGGAGCCTCATCTGCTTATTCTGGGACGAATTGTTATTTGTGTTTTATGGTTTTTTGTCAAAAAGCATCCTTGTTTATTAACATCGAGCAGATCAGCAGCATTGGTTCAAGCAAGTCTGACTCTACCGATGAGACACTGAATGTCTCAACGGGTGCAGAGTTTACTTGTGTTTAACTAAATGCTGCTGAAATTATGCACTCCCAGAAGGCACTGTGGCTGAGGGGATGCGTACAAATATGTTTTTTTTATGTGGAGTGTGGATATGGAAGGGGGGTGGGGGAGGCACCGAGTCGGCTTATTTCTATGGATAGCCATAGCACCACTGCCTCGGGTCCGGCCACACACTACCCTCACCCACTGAGTGCGGTTAACAGTGACACCTCCTTCCCGGGTTCACCCCCTCCCACTGCTCTCTCCTTCATCACCATCATCACCAGCCAGGGTAAATCCACTGTTAGATGGGCGCCTCGTCAAGCTGCCACCACCACCACCGCTCTCGATCCTTGCGATGCCACAATCCGTCCAGCGCCTTATGCACAAACTGATTCCATCGCTCCATCTCCTAAGCGTCCATAGTCTCTCGGTACGCGTTTCATCCCTTGGTTGCCACTCCGTTATTATTCGCAACCGTCGGCCATTGTCCATTCTGGCCGTGACGTGGTCCTGCCCAAGCCTGCTCACTTTTATTAACAGTTTGGATGATGTGATAATTGTTTTTTACCCTTCTATCTGGCAACAAAACTGACTCCTTTTTTACAAGGAGTCATGTTTGCATAGACCACAATACCTGCAGCCATAATGCAAACAAAAAACATAACTCTGATAATATATGCACTGTCCTTGAAGTTGATTGGTCCACACCCGAGACAGCTTTCCTTAGAGCCTAGTCTCACATGGGTTGGACCAGATGACGCCAAAAAGGTTTGGATGATAACAGTAACCTGCATGTGTTCTCTACTCCAGGTGTTCCTCTTTCTCTCTCTCAGCATAACTCCAACTGTGCATCTCTTCCCATGCTTCTTTACACACATTTTAGTTTTTTTTTGTTCCCGATCTTCCGTTACGATTGTGTTTATGAGCCGTATGCCTTCAGAGGTATTTCTGCAGCCGTCTGGAATGCTCTTCCATCCGATATTAGGAAGCCACTGGAGCTCTGCACTTTTAAATCAAAACTATGAACTCACTTCTTTCAAACTGCTTTTTGTGTTTAGTTTGTTGTCCTTCCCCCGCACCTCTGATTAAGAGGGTTGGTTATGTACGGTGCGAAAAAAGTTCAACATTCAGTACATAGCTGCTAATACACACTGACAGAAGCCTCTTTAACCATGGAAAGGGGAGTTTCCCTCTGTGCGGATGTCTGCTTTTCGAGAATCTAACCAATCTACCTCATTGTCTTCATTCATTTCAGGTTGAAATTGAACAGATGAAGCAACCATCCGGAACACAGGAAAACCCCGCACGAACGTGCCGAGACCTGCTCATGTGCCACCCTGACATGCCCAACGGTAAGACTGCCCCAGCCACGTGTTCATCAGTGATGCAACTTCTGTGGTCCTTAATGATCCACTCAATTCACGAGTTACAGTAAGCGTAATGTTGAGGCGCAGACTATCTGCAAGTGAAGCATATTTTCAGAAACATACTTTTTTCTCTTATTGTATAGTTGTCTAGATATTCTTACTTTAAATTTATATCCATCATTACAAGCCACAGTAAACTTAAAATGGCATATAACCATCAGGCAGTTCACCAGCATTGGTTCGAGGAGAGCCTGACTCGATAAGATATCGAATATTGAAACGGGTCCAGAGTTTTTGTTGCTGGCGAATTAATAACGCAAAGAAGGCTATGTGTCTGATGGGATGTGTAAATCATAAAATGGATATTTATTGATCTGGAGGGACAGATATGCGAAGTAGGCGAACTGTCTGCTTCTTTATTGTGTCACTCATTACAATGAGTGGTTATGTGCGTACTTGTGTTTAGGAGAGTACTACATTGACCCTAACCAAGGCTGCTCACGCGATTCATTCAAGGTAAGCAATTTTATTATCAGGCAGACTCAACTCAGATCGTTGAGGAAATGCATCCTGGAAAGTGGCACGTCAAGCAAAAACAATTTCCCCAAAAGAAATGTTCAACGTATTTGTTGCAAGATACGATGTACGCACACACACAGTTAGATGGCAGCACAAATAACTGAGGTGAGGGTACGCAATCGCCTACTCTATCATTCCGCACATATACCCAGAATTCCCTTGCCGCTCACCCACGCAGCTCAATAAAGTAGTTAGTCGTCATATTCTTGGTTCTTTCGGTAAAGTCACGTAGAAGGGAAATAATAAAATATAAATATAAAACAACTCTCTGAAGGTGGGCGCATTGTGCGTTAACTGCGTATCCAAAGTGCACGTCCAAAAACCTGCGCTGACAAGGACTGTAGGCCGCTTGTTTTTGGGGAAAGTTTGGAAAAAAATAGATATATTTAGAGCAGTTAATACCACTTAATATTAATATTTATATTATTTTATTATTTTATTATTTCCCTTCTAAGTGACTTTACCGAAAGAACCAATATGAATCCCTGCAGTCACGAAAGCTTTATATCAAAATAGTTAGTCGTCGTCGAACAATCAGAAACCGCGTTTGTAATGGACACATTCCGCCTTGTGTGAAGTGTTCCCCGAAAAGAAGAACAGCTTTGTAGCGAAAACGGGTTGTGTGAACGCGCGTTTAGTGAGGACTTACCCTAGAGTAAACTCGTACAAGTGTGGCTTGTCCGGGTAGGGCCGCGCGTTGAGCATTTCCTTCTCTCAAGCTTGTGCCACGAACGAATGAGACCGGCCCGTCAAGGGAACTAATGAACCTTGGCACTTGCCTCCATCAGTGGCCCTGAGTCCATTGAATAAATTTCACATCCCTAGGGTAGGGGTCAGTCCCCTGACACTATACGACACAACTGCTCCACACCACACCACTAAACTGTCATTTGCTTAATTATTTCTCCCTCATTCCTTCATTTACTCATTCCACTCATGAACTCACTCCATCGTGCCTCCCATTAATTCTCACACATTCTCTCATTCCTCCCTCACTCAAACCTCTCAATCCTTCCAAACAAACCAGCAAACAGGGAGTGGGATTTTATGAATGTATATACGTTTTATTCATCAAAATATTATCACCTGGAAAATCCTTTTGAGATTTTGCTTACATGCCGATGCACCCATTAGTATAGTTGTGCGAGACGTGCTCTGCGGGACGCGCAGCTATAGAACAACAAGTTACTTGGTGCACACCGCTAGTTCACGTCAAATGCACCCTAACGCTGTAACAGTTGGAGGCGTTGTGCCACGGGAGCTTTAATTAAAGTGGAGACTCATGTCACATTCCGGTGTGCCCCAAAAATATTTTATGTTTAAAGTATAAGAAGAAGTAGTTTTGGCATGTGCTGTGTATGATGCACTTATTGTGTTGTGTTTTTTCTTTTATCAGGTGTTCTGTAATTTCACGGCTGGAGGGGAGACATGTATTCAACCAGATGTCAAGTCGGCAAGGGTAATAACATACACATGAGCGTGTTCTACATACAATTAGACCACACCGTAGCTGAGGCAAATACCCCCCACACTTTCAGCCAGTCAATGACGACAATAAATCGAAATCTATTGGACGTTTCATGGGAGAGCGACTCCAAGGTGCCATACAACGTGCCCATTTATCACGTAATTCAAGCTGCGTTCAACCTTTAATGGTAGCGTTCTCGGGCTGGGACACGGGCAGAGGGTAAAGACTGACTCGTCCCGTGGGTTGTGGTCCCTGCGTTTGTCGCCATGGTAGATGGTGTGGCGACGGTGGCAATTCGAGACCTGATGACTAAGTCGCTGGGGAGAGAAACGTTATAGTCCAGTCTTCAAAATAACGATTTATACTTGGGGCGTGGCTCCCTGCAGGAGCAGGAAGAGATGGGATGAGCCCACACTTGCTGTGTTAGTTTCTCCCGGCGAGTAAGGGTCGAGCAGTGGAAGAGATGGATGACGCAGGCCATGAAGTTGAGAGTTTCTTAGCATTGAGATTCGAGCTATGGCACGTAAACTTGACATGCTCCTTTGAATGGTATCCCAAGTACGTGTGGTGATGGTTTACATTTGGTTGTTTTTTGCTCCGATTTATATTTGCTTCATTGTTTGTACTTTGTTTTTCTGTTATTGTTTTTTTGTCATTTTGCAAATGGGACTGTTCTGGTCTCCTGAGTTCTCACCTGGTTAACAAAAATCACATTTAAACCTTTAGTGTTTCATTTTTAACAGAAACATACTTTTAAAAAATAAGTTAATTTTAAAGATATCTACACGAAGCTCAAGGAAACGTACAGAGTCCATGTGCACACTTGCTCACGAGCCAGCCTTGTGCCCACTCAGACTTCCAAGTCAATGGGTCAATGCTGAAACATGTCTGGTGCTGCTAATCTTGTTTTGTGACCCTGAGGCAGAGGCCCCCGATGACCCTGTTTTTTTGACACGGATAGAATCGTCACTAAACAACCAACTGTTTATTCTCACACAATGGTGCTCATTTGGTCGACACTGGAATAATGTTGGATAAGTACCATCTTGTGAGAATTCTCTTCAGACGATGAGTTTCGTTTGCTTAACGATGATCGCTTCACTCAGATTTTACACGTGTGTACACATATTGTGCAAACACAAGGACGACTGCTGTTAAACTTTGGTCCTCTGGCTCTGTCCTCGCTCTGTAGGTAAAGATGTCGACCTGGGCAAAGGAGAAACCAGGAGGCTGGTACAGCAACTTCAAGGGAGGAAAAGAGGTGTGTTTTTGTGTGGTTCATGTATTGGAGGAACAGTGGTGCAGTGGTTAGCACACTATGCTACTAATCCGGCAAACCCAAGTTTGATTCTCGCTCACGATCAATAATTTGCAAATATTTGACCCGATTCCGGTTCTCCCATATGTTGAATCAGTCTTGAATGAGTACCTGGGGCAGCGTGTAAACTTCAGCACTGGGGAGACAAAAGTGGCCGCGCATGGTGTGCCTTGTTAGCCTTCAAAGGGGCTCATTAACAGCACTTGCCCCATCTGTCTGCTAAGGCTATGCGGGGTATATTTATCTTTGGTATTGATTCAAAGCAGTATAGTTGAGCCTGATTAGCCCTGATCAGTGTCGCATTTGTACATGGCAGTGATCTAAATCAGCGGCAGTGCATTTGCGGATGTGTATTAACCATAAAATACTACGTGCCGTCTGCTTTATACTGGATGTGAAAGATCCGGTGACGTAATTCGAATAATGCTGGTGTCCAATTTAACTTTTTTTCATTATACTGTAGATTAGTGCATTGGGAAAACATAGCAATTGTTGCCCCCCTCCTGAAAATAGTTTCTATTTTTTCCTGGTTTAACAAGCATAATAAAACTATAACCATCTAGTATAGCAATCATTTATCCTCTTCCAGTTGGATGAGGTCCATAATGGATGTTTTTTTGGGTGAGATCGTGTAAATATAAATGTGTTGATAAACCCGCCACCACCCGACACAGCCAATTAGCAACGTTTGTCACGTAAATAAAAGGTGCCAATTCGTTACTAGTTCAGCACACCGCTTGTGTGTTGGAGAGTAAACCCACTACAACATTTACAATTCGAGTACTGTGACATTTCACTGGTAATTACAAGCAGCCTCAATATATACGTGATTTAACCCAAAAAATACCTCTCATGGATATTTGTCGCGAAAGCCTCCTATGTTTTAAGTTGTTCTAAAGTATTTGCTTTGATTTTTTCTTTATAGTTTTCGTACGTCGACGCAGAAGGCTCTCCCCTCGGTGTGGTTCAGCTGAAGTTCCTCCGGTTGCTCAGCGCCCAGGCTCGCCAGTCACTCACGTATTTATGCCAGAGCTCTCTGAGCAGCATTCGTATGCGTGGAGCTGATGAGTCCGAGATTCTGAAATCGGGCGCCGCGACAGAAGCCACGGCGGCTGGAGATGCTCACGGTGCGACTGGACCACCAGCCGCAGCAGACGTCGTGTTCGACAGTTGTACGGTGAGTTCACTTGTCCACTCGTGCACAAGATCTGCTTCTTCTGTGTGTCATATGTCACTTGACAACCAATTGCAAATATTAATTTGCTCTCTTGCTATCTCACAAGACTGCATTACTTAGAACTATTGCAATGTATACTTTAATTTTTTACAAATAATTGCATGGCGAAATACTCATTTTTACCCCCCCCCTCCCCCCATTATATTCCTACTGCTCTGGTTACTGTTCCCGTGAACTACACTTGGTGATTCCTCCACCCCTGTTGAGGACTCGTTCCACCAGATGCCGACTTGTTTTGTCTCATCCCCACTGTGTTCAACCACTCGCCACACTGCAGGTCACCTCACTTCTCATTCTGTTTCTTCCCGAGCACTGCTCCAATTTGGAATCCCTGCCCATTGTCGTCCGTTTTCCCCAAGCTCTTATAACAACCTTTGCCCAGTAACCAAGAAACGTGTCAACTATTATGTCTTACAACTTTGACAATCGTGCTGTGTGTTGCCATCCTCATGACGTTTTGAGCAATTGGGCCTACTGTGCTCAGAAACTGTTTAGGTGTGTGTCATGATGGTTGACTAATGGACTATAGATTAATTAAATAAGCAATTTACACCACTGACTCATATAATTGGTGTTAATATTCAAAGCAAACTTGCCTGTCCTCCTTAGCTGGTGAGAAAGTGAATCCTCACCATAGTCCCGACCTAAGTGACTCGGCGGCAGAGCGCGCAGCTCGCAATTTGAAGGTCATGAGTTCAAATCCTGGTTGGGCATGGTTGACTCAAGCCATCCACGGTGGGTAAAGTAGGTACCACTTTGTGGTGAAGTCAACCAGGGTTGTTTTATAGAGAGCCCCCCCCCCCCTGCTATAGAAATGTGGAATATCCACCATGAGTACAGGGCTGTAAACGAGAGAAGAACACCAATGCCTCAGACTCATTTGAGTCTTTGGGACTCAGCATGCAATTTGCGTCGTGGTGATCAATGTGTGGTGTGCGTGTGCAGGGAAGGGGTGCCGGTCGCGCAGAGCTTCTCATCACGACTCCCAGAGTGAACCAGCTCCCAGTGATGGATGTCTCCGCGACAGATTTTGGGAAAAGTGATCAGCGATTTGGATTTGAACTTGGCCCGGTTTGCTTTAAGGGCTAACTAAAAAAAAGGTGACAATACTGACACTACACACATTAAACATTTCTGTCACGTCACGCGCACACGCTAAGCAATGATATCTCCACGGTCGTCATTTACGCACGACGTGCACCAACATGCTCACGTAACATTGGTTTTGCATCACGTGTGTACATAACTGGAAGGTACCTTGCGGCAACCCACCTCAACCTAATCAGATCAAGACTTAGTCCAATGAGCCATGATTTGGAACGAGAAGCGCGTGTTATAAAGTACCCACGCACCACACCAGGATGCATACGCAAGAACGCATGAACATTGACACTCGCATTCGAGAAAACACCTGGGCACGGTAAACATGCTCATGTCTGTGGTGCACACCGACGTTTTAGAAAATAAACCACACAGACCACCTATGTACATTCACCTCCCCACCCAGGTGCATACATGCAATCTTACATTCATAGCCCGTACCGATGAATATGTGTAGTTTAAATGTGCACAAATGTATATAAGCGTATGTAAGTGTGGTTTATCAGACAATATAGATGGAAACTCAAAACAGACATGTGCTTGCATACACGACCCAGTGAATCCCAGAGGGTATAAGCTACGGACAGCCCGTCATCTCAATCGTACGCCGTTGCTTCAGCGACTTCCCCGATTGGCGCATTGTGCACGTAGTGGCCATGCGGAGGCAGTGTCGGAGATGTCACGGCACCAACGCTGCAGTCTCCTACAACACAGTGAACGTTCATAATCCACAACACCCACGCAGTAGGCAATCGCGACACACTGAGAGCCTCCTCTGAGATTATTTATTTTGACTTGCTGCACGTGATTTGCAATTGTGGTAGATGGCAAGAAAGATGCTGCCTTGGGACACTGCCACGCTCGGGATGCACGCCACACTACCCTTAACTTCCAGACATTGTTTTCTGAATCGCATTTTATTTGCAATAGCATTCAGAACCTATAATAAGTTAAAGGCTTCCATACATTTCCACGATTAAACATTAGCTCTCCCACTGCATTTTGCGCAAGGTTCATATTGATGCATTCTAGCTTGTGCTGAATCAAGTTCGTTCTCCTTCAATGATAGTAAATGTAAATTAAAACTTTGTAAAACATAGCACTAGCTTTGAAACAGCACCTTGATTCATAAGTATGTTGGTGCCACGCACAGTGTGAACAAAGGGACATAAACATGTGAGTTCCGGTCAATATTTTGCATTGAGCCTGGGTTAAAATGAATGTTTTAAATGTTTTATGCCCCAACATTTGTTATGGAGTGGCTGTTTTGATTAAGAAAAGAAACGCCTCAACAATAAGTGAACCTTATAAGTAGCAAGTTCAAAACTCGTTTAGCTGGTGGTCACATCTGAAGTGTCCGATAAATGTTATGGTTTGGCATGCATAGCACGACAATCGAATCGTGTTTAAGCACAGCTCTAACAGTCTCTTAATCTCGTTCATTACATTTTATGACGATATTTTACAACTCGACTCGTTCGTTAAAATGTGATATGGCTCTATGTGTAATGTATTGGTAACAAATTCATCTTTCACTGCTGAATCACTTTTACGAAAGCCTTATTGACTAAGAGACTGTCTTTGGCAGTAAAGTGCTCGTGATGGTTATTACTCAACTCTTGTACGGCCATTTTTGTGCCAGCATTACGCATCACTCAAGACTATCATTACGAGTGCATGAGGGATAACACTTGACTGGAATACATCACTCCAATCTGTGTAGAATCCCATCTTTAGCCCTGTTGCTTTTGGAAACAAAATTGCCCTATCTAATATCATTCACCTACAGAGTCAATCTTAACACGAAGTTATGGTCACTGAAACTGCGCAACAGCTTAAGTGAATTGCGAGCGATCCCAATGTAATTCTGAAGGCCTGTCAGTGATCCTTCTAAGTAGGCATGGGTTTACATGTTAACTGGTACACTCTAAATGGACAGGCAAACAAATAATGATCACCTCCATTGACACTGTCTTATGAACCGAGACATATATACACTTTGGGCAATGACTCCACATTCCGAGCAAGAAAAGAAAATGCAAGGTCATGTTCAAGTTTGTTTTTGTTTAACCAGGTCAGAAGTCAAGAGTCCAGGATAGAAGAGCCTTATTTTCAAGAGTGACCTGGGTCACCAATGACAAGAGCAATACCATTCAAGCAAAGTACATCGTTAAGCCAATACTGTAAAGTCAGAGCAAAAACAATTGCATGTAAAATCAGACAAAAAACAACTACATGTGAAATAGGAGAAAAAACAACCGATGATTGAAATGGTTAAATAGTTTAGCTCCTATTACCTGAACAGTGTCTCAATCGAACCAGCCACTCGGACTCAAGTGAATCCAGAGTGGAATACATCCATGACTTGCCTGCACACTGAATGAGACTCACTGGCATTCACGAGAACCCATCTCAGTAGAATTTAACGAGCATCTGTTAAATAAAATTGCAGTCGGATTTTTCTGTTAACTTTCAGTTACGTTTGTCTCCCGACATTTAAACGTTGGCTACTGTTTGCTTTGAAATTGGAAGGGCATTTGTATTGCAGCTCCATTCAAATCATGGCAGTTTTTATTGCATCCTTGTTCACAACAAGGTACAAACTGACATCGGAATGTGCATTGTTTGTGTATAAGGGGCAACATCAAACGCCGTAGTCTCCCCGTGCTCAAGTACGCATTGAGCAGTGCTCATTTCATTTGGCGATTTCTGAGCCAAAACGATGGGAATTCTATAGTCCTCTGGCGAGGAGCTGTCTCTGTACTAAGCGGTGGTGCCGACCTAGTGGTGCTCGTTTAATCAACGCACTGGGGATGTGAGTCAGTTCAAATCGCAGTCTTAATATTGGGAACAATGAACGCTGACCCAACCGAGTGTGACTCTTTTAACACCTTTTCATGAGGCAATGCTGTGACGGTGATACTGTTCCTCGCCTGTACATACGCTCACTGTGAGATTGTACATGCACACGTGTGTCGTATGATTAAACATATTAATTTCTTCACTCGCTGTGGAAACGAAATGGCTACATCGCGATGGGATGGATTTTCTGTGAAAAAGTCACTTTTTCTCCATGTGGGGCCAGCACAGGGAAATAATTAAATATGTTGTATTCTCATCAACATAAAGTTATATGTTTTGAAATGTGATATGCGTGGTTGCCAAGGCAATACAATTGAACAAATATATTATTTCCTCCAGAAAAGGTCCAAGACCCCTCTGACTACTGTGGATATCATGTTATCATTCCTCACGGTTATTAAGAGCGACATCTCTCCACACATGACAATGAAAAACTACAGGCCTGAACAGAAATCCCGTGACAACTGTGGTGGATTGGAAGACTCTTGGATTTTTAAAAGTGTTTTTAACGGTCATAGTTTCATGCACACACACATACACACGCACGCACACACTCTCGTTATATATATTTAAGTGTAATATTCAAGGGCGAGTGAATTATGAGCGATAGATCATTAAGCATGTCAATCGGCTATGACGCTACTTTTGTCTTAAGTGAAAACAAATTAAAAGAAAATTGTGCACAAGCTCGAAGAGACATCGGCCCCTTGTCAAGAGATATTTACTTGATGGCGTGGCGGAGATAATGGCTACAAGGACATTAGTGACGGCTCTAACATGGCAATGTTATGTGCAGTTCCGTGACATGTCCTCGCACGCATCACTAGTATGTTACAGGCATGTTTTTGCAATTTAAATTCTTTTTAAAAGAGCTGTGTATACTTTGTATATTTTTACTTTGGCGCTTTGTAATGTCTGACAATGCATCGCTGTTATTACAGATCATTACTGGATTTGTATACCGTAGAATACGTCCCATTGTCTCCTCATGAATCGACGATTCTATTTCCCATTTTAGCCAGGAGAAATGTACCATGTTTTGTCACTTCAAATGAAACGGCCCGCAGTGTGTGTCTGCCAAGCTGCCCGTCCAGACAAGTCACGTGGTGAACCGCGCGCGTGAGTGCGCTGCTCGGCTCCGCACCGGCCGCGTGGTCGAGTTGGTGGTGCTCGTTTCAGTTTGGCGATTGGCTGTGAACACACACTTTACAAAAGACCCGGTTCATGGGGGCAGGAGTCAATATGTTGCATTATGCTTGTAAACAAGTAAATGTAGAAACACCCATTCAACAACTAGTATTGATATAGTAATGGATATGCAATGTGCTAATGCATGTTTGATATTGGTGCTCTGCTTTGAATTGAAGATCATGGTTCACTAAAGAATAAATGTTTTTAAAACACACTCTAGCACACAAAACTTGAATATACATATTTGAAATTATGTATACATCTATAGTCGTACATTTTTTTGTTTACCTCAATATTTACACGGTTTATGACAAATTAACTGAAATGAAAATAAGTTTTAAGGTTGGCTGGCGTGACACATTTAATAAGAACAAATTGTCATAATGCAAGGCAGGGTTTTTATTACATCTTAATCTGATCTGCACTTGTTCTCGGCGTATTTCACAATTTACGCTTATGCACGAGGAACTTGGGTGCCAATGATCTGGAAGAGGTAATAATTGCTCCTCAGCCGACCGTGTTCAGGGGGACAGAATGAAGCGTAGGTGCTATAAAAGTATACACTGCTCTTAAAAAAAATGAAAAGGCAGGATTCCTGCCGTTGAGAAAATATGCAAAAACGGCACACGTTTCACGGCGTGGGAGAAAGTGAATCTATTATTATTGTTGTTTATACAATGAAATTACAAAGTGTTGAATTTAACCATTGCCTGTACTAATGTATGTTTGTTTTTATGTTAATGTTTTGAAAATGTTTATTGGAAAATAAAGTTTTTCTGGTTATTTTTTTTATTTAAATGATATATTTATATCGACAAAAATGTTGGAATATGTGGATTTAAAATTGTGGCTCACCGAGTCGAGCAAGCGGCTCGCAACCTGAAGGTTATGAGATGAAACCTTTTTGGGGGTTGACCCAGCCCGTAATCCCTCCGATTAGCGAACTAAGTTCAACATGCATACACACAAATGAATACCGTGTTGTGGAGAAATAAAGTAGTCTTGTGGAAACGCTTGTCCCCACCATAGGAGTGAAGAATTTCCACCACTGGCACAGGGCTGAATATTGGATTCATGAAATGGCCTCAAATGTTGGTTACAAGTTAAAATTGTGAAAAACATGCTCAAAATTGCCAATGATGAACTTTACTATGGCGATATTGATAACGCTTACAAAAAAACCCATTCGTTTATCCCAAAGATCAATATTATTTCAGGAGAAACCTACAATCATGTGTTGTGTGGTGGAGAGCTAATGTACATTGGTGAGCACACTGCAGTACACACCCAGCGACATGAGTATATGAACCGATACTGGCCCTCTCCTTGGTAAACTCAGCCTAAAATGCGTACTTCCTACACTGCGTAAACGGCCTAAGTCGCTGCATGTTACATTTGAAAGGGAATCCACACGAGACGATCCTTGATTATGGGAATTTGTTAATTTCTCTCCCGTTCGCGCATGCACTCAGAAGTGCACTCAGAAGTCGTCCCTCTCAAAAAGAACCCTGGCTCACGACACGCTCCACGTTTCATCTTCACTCCCCGTGTTCCTTCACCTCCTTGAAGGTTATCCTCACAATCCCGTCCCTTCTTCATTATCCGCCCCTAATCGTCCTACACTTAGCTTCATGCCCCCGTGCTCTACCACCTTGAACCCCTTGGCCAGGCCAGGGGTCGGCAACAAAAAAATAAATGTTTTTTTTTCGAATTCGGTAAAACAAACTATTTCAAGAGCCGCAATGCAAGTGGTGAATACGAGACGGCATGGTCCTCAAAGAGCCGCATGGGGCTGCGGAGCCGCAGGTTTTTCGAGCTCTGCCCTTTGCCCATTTATACGACAGGCGGCGTCGTTTATTTCACTGAGGTGCCCCTCCGGCGACCTGTACACACAGCCCAATGTCACGGCGCAGCAGCCCTGCGATCGCTCGCCGACGGGCCTCTTGTTCAACGGAGCTCGAGAGGGCATCGACCTCCTCTTCAATGCTGCCGCGGGATGTGTTGGAAGGAAGTGGAGGCACCCACGATGTATCCCAAAAAACGCGACCTGCCCGATCGACTGTGGCATACTCGTTTTACACCATCGATTGGATGCAAGACTTGCCCATCGATTGAGCTGTCGAATCGAACTTTCGATCTCTGCGTCGCCAGGTCGGCGTCCTCACCACTAACACCGCGGCAATTAGTCTCTCAAGCGAAGAAGAATTTGAAAACGTTGAGTGGCAAACCCATAACCGGTTTGACCGGATCTTCCATGCGGTTACCGGTGATGCGGAACACACATTATTGTTATCAAACCTGGATAACCACCTAGGGGCAGTTGGTGGTTTCTGTGAGGGCAGATGTTCGAGGTTGGCTGCGTGTCTCTTGTGAGGCAGCTACTGCTGCAGCTGCAGCTGCTGCAGCTGCAGCTGCTGCAGCTGCAGCTGCTGCTGCTGCAGCTGCTGCTGCTGCAGCTGCTGCTGCAGTAGCTGCTGCAGCTGCTACTGCTGGAGCTGCTACTGCTGCTGTGGGATCCGACGGGGAGCAGAGAGCGTGGGGCGAGGAGCGGTGGCCTCACTGTGCTGACCACGTCTTGATGTGACCCTTATAGCGTGACCCCGGCGGTCGCCATACTGTTGGATGTGCCAGTAAATACCATCACTCACTCACTCTACTGCCATGGTAGAGTTCCCATGGTATTCACTCCACGCATGTTGAGGCTCGGTCCACCTGCCTACCAAACTTGAATCTCATCCACACTGCTCTATCCAACCCACTCACAATACACTGCAGGTGGCAACACTCACGCTCACCCACACACCCCCTCACTCACCGCACTGCAGGTCACAACACTCACCTCCTCACTCACCACACTGCAGGTGGCAACACTCACCCCAATCACTCACCACACTGTAGGTGGAAACACTCACGCCCTCACTCACCACACTGCAGGTGGCAACACTCACCCCTGCACTCACCACACTGCAGGTAGCAACTCACCCCTCACTCACCCCCTCACTCACCACACTGCAGGTGGCAACACTCACCCCTGCACTCACCACACTGCAGGTAGCAACTCACCCCTCACTCACCCCCTCACTCACCACACTGCAGGTGGCAACACTCACCCCTGCACTCACCACACTGCAGGTAGCAACTCACCCCTCACTCACCCCCTCACTCACCACACTGCAGGTGGCAACACTCACCTCTCTTCCGTCTTTTTCCTAGCAACAACAACAACCTTTCCTAATCAAACAGCAGCGTTACACTCTCGACTGTGACAACCATGGCAGTGCTGTCTGTTGCTGGCCGCTTCACGTTTTGTACCTGTGCTCAGCACCTGTGTGTGTGGGGGGGGGGTTGTTTATTCCATTTGAATTGAACGGCTGCGACGACTTAGGGGGGCGAGCGGAGATCGTTGCCGCACTTCGCGCCGGGGGTCGTCACCGCCACGTGGCCCACCCCCCCCCCCACGTGCCCCCCCCACGTGGCCCCCCCCACGTGACCCGCCCCCCCCCCCCCCCACGTGACCCGCCCCCCCCCCCCCCCACGTGACCCGCCCCCCCCCCCCCCACGTGGGCCCGCCCCCCCCCCCCCACGGGCCCGCCCCCCCCCCCACGTGGCCCGCCCCCCCCCCCCCCCACGTGGCCCGCCCCCCCCCCACGTGGCCCGCCCCCCCCCCCCACGTGGCCCGCCCCCCCCCCACGTGGCCCGCCCCCCCCCCACGTGGCCCGCCCCCCCCCCACGTGGCCCGCCCCCCCCCCCCACGT